CTCCATACCTCTCGTGGATAGGGAACGTGGTGGTGGCACCGAGGTCCTATATATGACCAACACCAATCATTTTTTCTAGCAAACGTAGGGATATGTAAGCCGGTAAGGGAGCCAGACGGGACAACTGGACAGGTGAGGGCCATGGAGCTACAGGCGACAACTACTGCAGATGAGTCTGTGAGGGAGACCGGTACCGGTGCAAGAAGCACTTTGAAGGTAGAGCAATCTTGGGAGAAGCAGTGAGACACGCCAGAGTTCAGGAGAAAGGAGAGGGCCGCCACAGCGGCGGTCGGCGAGGAGCCAAGTCTGTCAATTTATACATATGTTGATATATTTAAGTTATAGGCTAGATAGATGTATGTTGTTAGAGGGTACAACTCCAATACTTTAACTCTCTTGCTCTCCCTTATTTCTAATTCATTCGTTCTAGTTAACATGGAATCATGAGCGCTACTTCCTCGTGCTCGTCGACGACTTCACACGTTACACCACGGTGTTTCCCCTGGAGCGGAAGGCCGATGTACTTGACATTCTTATCCTGTGGGTCGTAGCTACACACCTCCACCGCAGTCTCCCTGTGCTGTATCTTCACTCCGACCGTGGTGGCGAGTTCGCCACTAGTCGGCTTGGTCAGTTCTGTCGTGCGGAGGGCATCACCCAGACGTACACCTTGCCGGACTCCCCCGAGCAGACTGGGGTCGCTGAGCGACGCATCGGTTTGGTCATGGAGGTGGCTCGTACCTCCACGATCCATGCCGGTGCATCCCCATTATCTGTGGTCGTTCGTCGTTCGCTACGCCGCTCACCAGCTTAACCTCTGGCTGCGCTCCCAGCGGCCGCAGGTTTCGCCGGCCCTTCTTTGGACCAGGTTCCCTGGTGACGCGTCTGCGTTCCACGTCTGGGGCTGCCTCGCTGACGTTCGTGCCTCCGACGAGGACAAGCTCACTGCCCGCACTGTCCCCAATGTCTTCCTCGGTTTCCCCCGTGACTCGTCCGACTGGCACTTTTACCACCCGCTGTCTCACTGCTCTTTTCACTCTCGTGACGCCACTTTCGACGAGTCTGTCTTCTTTTTACCACCGCTTTCCCCACCAAGGTCTACCAGTTCCCCCCCCCCTGTTTCTGGTTCCCACTCCCCCCGTCGCCCTTGCTCCCCTCCCTCCCCATCCTGCTCCCTCTGGTTTGTCTCACGTCACTCCCCTCCAGTCGGTTGCCCCGGTCGAGGAGTCGGCTGACTCTGGTGGCCCCGAGGCGCGATTTGCACCCCTGGAGTCTCCTCCTCCCCCATCGCCGTCGTCGCCGCAGCAGCAGCCGCTGCCGCCATTGCAGCAGCCGCAGCCGCTCGTAGACTCTGGGGGTGCTGGCGTTGAGGAGGGTGCTAGTCCTGGGGTTCTTGTCGTGGCTTGTCCCGGCGGGCTCGGGGGTGGCACTGGTGCTGGAGAGGGTTCTCGCTCTGGGGGTGTTGGAGTGGAGTGTTCTGGAGGTGACCGTGGTGCAGCTGGTGGTCCAGGTGTCGGCGTCGAGCAGCAGCCATAGTCGTCGCCGGTGTGAGCCCTTCGCCTGCTCGGCCTTCCCTCCCCCGACCGCCCACCCGCGCCTCCCTCGCCACCTCCTCCCCTTCCTGTCCACGGTCCTGTCTTTCCTCCGCCGGACTCGTCCCGGCCCGTTTCCCACCTCGTTCCCCTCTTGTTACTCCTCCTCTGTCGCATGACCGGACGCCTCCGTCTCACGTCTGGTCCCGCCGTCCCTCTCGTGCTCGTCCTGTCTCTCCTGTTCAGCGTTCGCACCAATCTTGCTTCGTTCCCACATGCCTCATCCTCCCCTCCTGCCTTCGCCTCCTCCGTCGTCGCTCGCTGTCACGTCTCCCCCTCTGTCTGACTACCTTCGTGCTGCTTGTCCTCTAGTCCCTCGGGTCCTTGCCTCCCTCGTTACTGACTCGCCTGTTCCTGTCTCGAGTCTTGACACTCTTGTCGTTGCTGTCGCCAACTTCGCCTCTACCCGCCGCCTTGACTACTCCACTGCTCTGGTCTCTGACCGTGCCCGTCCTCCGTCTGTCAGGGGTGCTCCTGCCCTTGGCAGTGACTTCTTAGAGGATAGGCAGTACGAGCTTGCTTTCCTGTCTGAGGCTGCTCCCCATCTCTGTTCCATGCTGCTAGTCCCTGAGGGTGATCCAGACGCCTTTGACATCCCAACCCCTCGCACCTAAGCCGAGGCAACCTCGGGACCCTGGGCCTCTCAGTGGATAGCTGCCATGGAGCAGGAGATGGCATCTTGGAGATCTACCGACACCTACGTCAACGCAGTTCCTCCACCTGGGGTGAACGGAAGTCAAAGGCCGGTGGTGTCACAGGATCGAATGACTCGAGGATCGATTGCACTATCGATCAGTACAAGGTGTTTTTATACTTCCAGAGTACATCAGGTAACCAGGTTTATCCTATCCAAAGGAATAGAGCCTTCTAGAATATAGAATCACCCTGCGTATAGCCACGCGAGGCCATTGGCTTTAAGGGATTACGGCAGGATTACGCTGGATAATGTGCCAGTACATCCCAAGCCTGGTCGGTGATATAATTATAATAGCAGGATCAACCAAAGGATAATGGAAGAATGGAGAATAGGAAACCAAGTGAGATGAGATAAAAAGAAGAATGAAATAGGAAGGAGATAAGAATAGGACAAGTGGTGTAACGGGGTCGTACTCTCGCAGGTGGCTCTTCAAGGTGAAGTGCCCCCCTGGAAAGCAGCCTGTGTTCAAGGCGCGCTACGTGGCTAGTGGCTTCAGTCAGCGAGAGGGGGTGGACTTCTTTCAGACCTTCGCCCCGACCCCGAAGATGAGTTTCTGTTCGGAGACTGCTACACGTAGTATGATAATATAAGTCAGCAGTGGATCCTATCTCAGCCATCTCTAAGTCAAATACCAGCCGCAACGGAAAAGGGCAGGCCACTACGGTGGGACCGCAAGGGGCCCAAAGTGACCACGTAACAGGTCGTCCAGGCGGCAAAATCAGCAAGCGGCGGGATGACTTGTGCGCCCCTAGACCTGGCCGCGCAGGGGGCCGGTCTGGATCTGGTACGAACAGCGCACAGGACCCCCATGCCCTACGCCACCCTAACCCCCGGAGGAGCGACGCAAGCCCCAAGGCAGTGACTGTCCCGAAGCCCACACACCAGGGCCCACACCATGCCCAGAACTTCCAAGACCCCACTACAGCTGCTGCTGCTGCTGTTCCCCCTCGTGCTCGGCACCCACTCCTGCACCAGCTCCCCGAGCCTCACCAATGCCCCCAACTCCCACTGCTGCTGAGGTCTCATGACTACAACGGCATTGCGAGCGCCAAGCAGGGCGGCCGGGGGCTGTGGTCGCTGTTGTCTCAGCCGAGGCAGAGACGGCGAGAGCTGAGGTGGAGGGAAATTCTAAAATATAGGGGCGGCCACCGCGTTAGTGGTCTGAGCGATGACGCAGAGGCGGGTCTCTATCTCCGTCAGGGAAGAGGAGAAGAGGACTATAGTGAGCTTAGTGGGGTGTTGTGCGAGGAGGGTGTGGCATGCTGGGGCGAGGCGGCCAGGGAGGCGGGTGGTGGGGAGGTAAAGAGTGATGTAGGTGGGCGGGGCATGCTCCGCGAGCTAGGCCTCAGTGCACGCCGCACGGAAGCCGGTCTCAAGTGAGTGCAGGTGAGAGACGAGGTCCGCGACCGCGGAGAAAGAGGCCAAGCCGCGGAAGAGAAATAGGAGGAGGAGATGGCCAAGAGAGGCGGAGGACCGGGTCGAGTAGCGAGCAATGATCTCTTCCCAGAGTTCCCAAGCCAAGTACTGCATTTCAGAGTGGGCTTGCTCGTCTACCGGCATACACCGGATGATGGCCACTAGCGCAGCAGCGTTACGAGAGTCCCAGACGGAGCAGCTGACCGGGCAGCTGCAAACGCCTCACGCTGCGCTGACGTCGGCTCGGAGCCAAGGGGAGTACGGCCGGGGGGGGGGGGGGGGGGGGGGGGCGGGCAGCTCACTAGTCACGTGGGCCGCCAGTGCCTCGCCGTCCACACGCTTGCTTAGCAGCTACCACGGGAGAGCAAGGAGCCACGCCAAGAAGCCCACAGCACGTCCCTCGATGTCGAGAGGAAGTACAAACACTGACGCCAAATGGGTCATCATGTCGGCAAGAGGATGTACCCGAACAGGAGAAGGGGCCGGCAGACAGCGGTAGACCCGACAGCAGCACCAGCGGCAGGGCTGGTGACAGGTCCAGTGGCAGCTCTGACGGGTGCAGCAGCGACGGCTGCACTGGCGGCTGCGGAGGCGCATCTGGCGTCTGCGGTGGGCCGGCAGCGTGTGGCTTGGAGCTGGTGGCGGGCAGCTGCGGCTGGCTGCTGGCAGCTAGCGGCTGGCGGCGGCAGCTGGTAGTTGGCGGCTGGTTGGCGGCAGCTAGCGGCTGGCTGTAATTGGCAGGCGGCTGGCAGCTGGTGGCTGTGGGCAGGCGAGTTGCGAGCGGCGAACGGCTGGCGGCGAGCTGCGGGCGACAAGCTGCCTGCGGCGAGCGGGCAGGCAGCTGACAGCGAGCTGCTGGCAGTGGTGAGCTGGCGGCGAGCTGTGGGCGGCAGCAGCAAGTGGCAGTGGCAAGCGTCAACGACGGGGCTGCGGGCTGCGCTGGCGCCAAGCAGCAGGTAGGGCATGGCGGCGCCGGCGAGCAGCTGGCGGTGAGCAGCAGGCTGCGCGCTGTCAGCGCGTAGAGTGGCCAGCGCGGAGCCGGCAGCGAGCAGCGGGCCGCAGCGAGCAGTATGCACAGCCGGGGGTGCTGAGCTGGCGACGAGCAGCGGGCAGCGCGGAGGTTGGGCGGCGGCCTAGGGCTAGAGCACAGGCTAGGGCGCAGGCTAGGTTGGCAGACTAGAGCCTAACCTAGTCTAAGGAGGTAAGCTATGGTGGGAGAGGAGTGGAGAGCATCTAGGGCGGATCGTGGCTGCTAGGAGCTATCCTTGCTTGATACCATATCGAGAGAGAAGATAGTGATGAACACAAGGGCAAGGACATTGTTTCTAACTAAATATGTAGCCTATAGAAACTGCACCTAGCTAGGCTATAGGTCAAATATTCCTAACATACATGCATATGAACTCTAACGAGCGGGCCATGATTGCACGTTGCTGGAAGCACTGCCGGAAAAGTCACACACGCATCACATGACCGCGGCGTGGCACGAGGAAGTCGCAAAAATTTCCCGTGCAACCGAATCAGTACAGGGGTTTTCGATTCTGATGCAACTTCGTAGGAACACGCCCTCCCCTCAGTCAGGTCAGTGTGTTACATAAGCGGCTCAAGAATGAGAGCCAGGGACATGGGCTACAGGGCAGTAAGCAGCATCACTTTGCACATTGCAACACACACGTCCTAAGCCTTGTCGACTCGACACCCTCGCTGTCACCGTGGCCGGCATCGTTGGTGAGCGGCATGACACACAACAGGCGAGGCGGAAAGGAGGCGATAATGCTTCTTTTGTCAGGACTCCAAGCACGCTTAAGCCTTGTCTACACCCTCGCTGTCGCTGTAAACAGCGTCGTTGGTGAGCGGCGTGAGGCAGAAGGGCAGGCGGAACGAGGCAATAATGTTGGCCCGCGACCGCGCGATGGCCCGCCGCCTCTTCGCCTGCTTCGTCTCTGCTTCTGTCGGCGGCGGGGGCGCTTCCGGCACCTCGCACTGGTTCGCCACCACCCATGGGTGCTCTGCAGGGGGACATGTGGGCAGAAGGGGGGAGGGGGCGACATGAATGGAGGGAAGGGGTGCAAGCGAGGAGGGAAGGGAGGCAGGAGGGGGCAGTGCCACGGTGGTGCTTCTGGCACCTAGCACAGGAACAGGGTGGGGAGGGGGGGAGTGGAAGGGAAGGGAGGTGTACAGGGAGACAGGGAGGGCGGAGTGATTGCTCAGCAAGTGGGCATGAGGGCTTGCCCACAAGCCACAGCCCCTCACATCCCACCCTGCTCTCTCACCGATCAAAATGGCTCGCCGATCACAACGGCTCACCGATCTCAACGGCTCACCGATCTTAACGGCTCACCGATCTCATCACTTCCTCCACTGCTACCACACAAGGCTTTAACCTACCACTAGTCCCAGACACAAGAACACACTCATCCAATAACCTTCCCCACTACCACCACACACTGCTATCACCCACCATTAGTCCCAAGACGCCTCACCGATGACTTCATCCAGGGTGATGCGCTGGCTGGCGTCGGACGTCAGCATGCGGTGCACCAGCCCCTTGGCCTCCCTGGAGATGCCTGTCCACGGTCCCGTGCGCGTGTCCACGCTGCCCTTGAGAATGAGCTTGTACACCCCCGCGTCCGAGTCGTGCCAGAACGGCAGCTTCTGTGCCAGCAGCACGTAGAGCACCACGCCCAGCGACCACACGTCGCACTCAAATGCGTACGCACCACCTAATACCTCCGGGGCGATGTAGAAGGGGCTGCCTGCATAGCCTCGGATGCGCTCGCCTGGTAGGAGGGAGAGAGGGTAGGGAAGGGGAGGGGGAGGGGGAGGGGGAGGGGGAGGGGGAGGGGGAGGGGGAGGGGGAGGGGGATGGGGAGGGGGAGGGGGAGGGGGAGGAGGAGGGGGAGGGGAAGGATGGGGGTGTGCCAGCAGCACGTACAGCACCACGCCCAGCGACCACATGTCGCACTCGAAGGCATACGCGCCACCCAGGACTGCTGGAGCGATGTAAAAGCGGCTGCCTGCATAGCCTCGGATGCGCTCGCCTGGGAGAAGGGGGGTTGGGCAGTGGGAGATGGGGGATGGGCAGCGGCAGGGGAAGAAAGGGTTGTGAGCAGCACGTACAGCACCACGCCCAGCGACCACATGTCGCACTCAAACGCTACGCACCGCCAAGGACCTCCAGGGCGATGTAGAAGGGCTGCCCACGTAGCCACGGATGCGCTCGCCTGGGCAAAAGGAGGGAGAAAAAGGGAGGGGAAGGGGAGGGAAGGATGGGGGTTTACCAGCAGCACGTAGAGCACCACGGCCAGGGGCCCATGCCGCACTCTAAGGCATACGCGTCGCCCAGGACCTCCTGGGCGATGTAGAAGGGACTGCCCGCAAAGAGTCGGACGCAGTCATCTGGGGGATGGGTGAGAACAATGAAAGGGGGGGCGGTGGGGGAATAGACCGAAATGGGTGCTGAAACAGGCAGTCGCACACTCTCACAGGCTTCACCGGCACTCACAGGTTTTACGGGCACGAAGACGGAACACAACTGGCATCAGAAAGTATGTGCTTCCGAGTCGACTCAACAATGACTTCTTAGTTGACCGGAAAGTCGTAAGAAAAAAAGGCTGACAGCGTTGATTCCAACGCCATCAAGGTATGCGCCGTTGATTCCAACGCCATCAAGGCATGCGCCGTTGGTTCCAACACCATCAAGGCATGCGCCGTTGATTCCAACGCCATCAAGGCATGCGCCGTTGATTCCAACGCCATCCAGGCATGCGCCATTGATTCCAACGCCATCAAGGCATGCGCCACACGGCCACTCATTCATCCACACCGTGTGCCTCACATCACCTGACCTGCTCTCACCATGGCTCAGATGCAAGAGCCCTGCTGTTGGCAGTACCGCACTGCACCTCTCTGCATCACATACAAATCACATCCCACCTTGGTTTAAGAATGGCTGAGATGCCAAATTCAGCGACCCTCGGGTCCCACCACGCGCCCTTAGCAGCCATGAGGATGCTCTCGGGCTTCAGCTCGCGGTGCAGCAAACCCTGCCGGTAGCAGTACCGCACTGCACCCCCCTTCACCCCTGTCCCAGATTGACCCACCTGGCTTTAGCATGGCCGAGATGCCGAAGTCTGCCACCCTCAGGTCCCACCAAGCGCCCTTAGCAGCCATGAGAATATTTTCAGGCTTGAGGTCGCGGTGCACGACGCCCTGGCGGTGGCAGTAGCGCACGGCGTCCGCCAGGCGCTTGATGATGGTGGCCGCCTGCTGCTCAGATATAGCAGGCGCTGTGTTCACGAAGTTGAGCAGATCGCCCCCGCTGCACAGCTCCATGAGAAGGTGCACGTGCTGGTGGGGGGGCGGGGAGAGGGGACGAGAGGGGAAATGGGGGGGGGGCAGGGTGGGGGTGGGGGTGTGTAGGGTGGGGTAGAGAGGTGGGGAAGAGGTCATGTGTAATGAGTCGATGTTTGAGTCGACTAAAAAATCGACTCATTACACACGAGGTGGGGAAGAGGTCATGTGTAATGAGTCAATGTTTGAGTCGACTCCAAAATCGACTCATTACACACGAGGTGGGGAAGAGGTCATGTGTAATGAGTCGATGTTTGAGTCGACTAAAAAATCGACTCATTACACACGAGGTGGGGAAGAGGTCATGTGTAATGAGTCGATGTTTGAGTCGACTAAAAAATCGACTCATTACACACGGGGTGGGGAAGAGGTCATGTGTAATGAGTCGATGTTTGAGTCGACTAAAAAATCGACTCATTACACACGAGGTGGGGAAGAGGTCATGTGTAATGAGTCGATGTTTGAGTCGACTCCAAAATCGACTCATTACACACGAGGTGGGGAAGAGGTCATGTGTAATGAGTCGATGTTTGAGTCGACTAAAAAATCGACTCATTACACACGAGGTGGGGAAGAGGTCATGTGTAATGAGTCGATGTTTGAGTCGACTCAAAAATCGACTCATTACACACGAGGTGGGGAAGAGGTCATGTGTAATGAGTCGATGTTTGAGTCGACAAAAAAATCGACTCATTACACACGAGGTGGGGAAGAGGTCATGTGTAATGAGTCGATGTTTGAGTCGACTCAAAAATCGACTCATTACACACGAGGTGGGGAAGAGGGCATGAGACCTCACGAAGTTGAGCAGGTCGCCCCGCTGCACAGCTCCAGCAGCAGATGCACGTGCTGGTGGGGGCGGGGAGGGGGACGAGAGGGGAAAGGGAGGGGAGAAGAGAGGGGAAGGGGAAAGGGGGGAAGGGGGCCATGAGACCTTGTGAAGTTGAGCAGTGCGATTGCGGGTCGCTCATCATGGAGTTGCGACTGTAACCTCCATGGTGAGCGAGGCACACACACACACACACACACACACACACACACACACACACACACACACACACACACACACACACACACACACACACACACGGAGGTTACAGTCGCATCATGGAGACATCCGCATCTCCCCGTACTGGGGTACACCATGGCCTGGCTCTTGACATCCTTCGAGTTGACCTCAACCGCAGCATCAACACCCCGCACTCATGCATCAGCCGCCTGCCCCTTATCCCATGCCCCTATCTGTCCCTCTCTGTCTCTTCCCCCCATACATCAGCCGCCTATCCCTTATCCCATGCTAAATAGCTGAAACAAACACGATGCAAGGTAGGAGAGGTGTTTGCATGGGGCAAGACGTTAATGGGGGGTAGAGGAATGGAGGGACGAGTGCGGGGAGGTGAGGAGGAGGGGTTGCAAGGGGCAAGGAGCACGGGGGCGTGTGAGGAAGGGGGAGGGGGATCGATTACAAAGACGAGGGAAACCACCGCCCCGCCCACTTTATCATCTTCCACGGCGTCTCGGACCGACACGATCACCCCGTGCACGGACAGCTGCCTCGTCAGCTCGACCTCACAACCCCCATGCCATAACCCCCCTTACCTACCCTCACCCATGCCAAACCTCACGTCTATCCACCCACCACGCAGCTTGTCATCCTCCACGGCGTCCCTGACGGACACGAGGCCCCAGTGCACAGACAGCTGCTTCATCAGCTCCACCTCACAACCCCCATGCCATAACCCCCCTTATGCCATAACCAAACCCGCACATCAACCCAGCACCCAGCACCCAGCACCCACCTTGTCATCTTCCACGGCGTCCCTGACGGACACAACGCCCCCGTGCACGGACAGCTGCTTCATCAGCTCCACCTCCAGCCTCAGCGCCTCCGCCTTCTTATCATCGTCCAGCGTCTTCTTGTCGATCGACTTGCATGCCAGCGCCCGCCCAGTTTTCCTCACCGTGCACGCATACACCACCACGCCCGGCCGCCCCTCCCCGATCTTCTCCCCCACGTCGTACCTCTTCCTCACATCCGCGTATCCCCGTTTTAAGATGCCCTCTTTCCCGCTGCCCACTGTCCACTCGTCCGGGCTCCCGCCCCCGTCCCCGCCCCCCCGGGGGCTCCTCATGGACCCGGTACCGGTGAGGCTGTGCGCTATACCGCGTGGGCTCTTATCGAAGCGCTTGGAGCCGCTGAACGAGAAGAGGCGCGGGCTGCGGAGGGGGGAGAGGGACGGGCGGGACGCGCTCTTCCTCTCCCCTGCTGCCTCGGCGGGACTCCCGCTCCTCCCAGCAGCAGCAGCACCACCCCCCCCTCCTCCTCCTGCTGCTCCTCCTCTGGGTGAAACCCCCACTGCTGCACCACCACCACCACCAGCAGCGGCCCAGTCGTCTCCCCCAGTGGGGCTCTTGAGCCCAGCGCCCGTAGCCAGGTCGAACGTGCCGGAGAGCCGCGGCGAGCGCAGCCCCTTGAGCAGACCCATGAACGCCCTCCGCCCCGACTTGCTCTGATCTAATACTGCCCCCCCGCCCGCCGCCCTTCCCCTCTCCCCCCCCCCTCCCGCTGCGGCTTCCCCCACTCCTCCCGCTGTCGCCCCCTCCCTCCCCGCGTCACCTGCCCCCGCCACTGGTCCGGAAAACGACGCGCTCGCTGCGCCTCGGGCGGAGAGTTTACCGATCTCCAGAGCAGGTGGGCGGAGGAGAACTCGGTCCGCCACCGGAGTGTCCTCCGCGTCCCATTCCCCCCCCGCTGCTCCGCCCGCCCTCTCTTCCCCCTGCGCCTCCCCCGCGACCTTCTTGAGGGACTTCGAGAAGCGCAGCTTCGCTCGGTTCGCCGCGCGCCCGGACGTCCCTCCGCCCGCCGCCGCCGCCACCAACGCTGCGTCGTCCGCGTCCTCGCTACTGTGCACCCCGCTACCGTGCATTGACCCATGTTGCGGGACCTCCGACGCGAATCGCGCATGTCGCGGGGAGCGGTTCTCCGCGGACATCCCCCGGCGGAATTGGCCGCTTCCCCCGCCTGCGCTCCCTCCGCTCCCCCCACCGCCGGCACTGCCGCCGCTGCTACTGGCCTGCAGGTGCTGTTGGTGGTGATGCTGCTGCTGCTGCTGCTGCTGGTGATAGTGATAATGGCTCCCCCCCACATCGTCTCTAGCCATTAGCGACCCTGAACCTGGCCCTCGCCTCCTCTCACTCTCCTTCAAACTTAGAATCTGCCGCGCAGCCGCTGCTCCCCCGTGCGCGGCCGCGGCGGCAGCGGCTATCTGCAGCTGCTGCTGCTGCTCCCGCCGCAGAGCCTCCAGCTTGTCCAAACCTAGCCCCAAGCCGTCAGCCTCGGCCATGCTCACCGAGGCTCGGGATTTACCGGACCTGGACTGCGGTCCGGAACCATGACCCGACCCTGCGCCGGCAGATGCACCGCCCACACGCGGGGAGTGCGCTGCCTGCGGACCCGAATGAGCCGCTTCATGCGGACCGGAGTGGTTGAACGTAGTCGCGGCGTGCGAGGAGCGAGGATTAAAAGACGCCGACGCCGACAGGCGCCTCGAGGAAGACTTTAGCGGCGCTTCGAGCGACGCTCTTAACGATCCCGTGCTGCTGCTAAAGCCGCCGCTGCCACTTAAATTACTATGCATGCCTCCTCCCTCCGCCGACGGCCTTCTCCCCCCCCCCCTCCCCCTTCCGCCCTGTGGCGTCTCTCCGCGTTGCTGGTAGTGTGGTGGCGCGACACTGCCCCCAAGCCGTCAGTGGGGCTCAGCGGACCGTTCCCCTTGGGCGCAAACCCGCCGTCCTTCGCGCCTCCCCTGCCCCCGCTGATGGCGCGCGCGGCATTCTTTCCGCGAAAGGCATCCGACGCCGTGTGCGCCCGCCGGGCGGGGGGAGCGGGTTCCGCGTCCTCGGGATCTTCGATCCCGTCCTCGTCCTCGTCGTCGCTCCGCAGAAGCTCCTTCCGCGGAGGATGCGCATGCGCGGGTTGCGAAACGGCGGACCAGCGCGCGGACACGTGGCGGGGCGGGGAAGAGGGGTGCTGCCTCATGTCAAAACCGAACTCCCGGGAAAGAGGTGCTCCGTACCCTGAAGATCCGGACATTGCAGTAACCGAACCTGCTGCCGAGCCTGCTCCCGAACCTGAAGAAATGGCGGACCCGGGCCTACTGCCGCTGCTGCTTCCAGGCCTAGGTCGATCTCGATAATAGCTGACTCCTTTAGCGGAAAACCCGGAAGAATCCGAGGAATCGTCATCGTCGAACCCTACATTGTCACAATCGTCTACAAGCAAACCTTTACTGCTAGCCCGAGCCGACCCCCGCTTTCCCCCGCTTTTCCCGCTGTAACGATTTTCGGTGGCGCGCAGCGGGCTGCTCTGGAGATTCGGAATCCCAAGAGCGTTTATTCGGTCAGCAATGTCTTCTACGGGCAGCGGATCGAAAAAAGGCTGAGACAACGACCGGTGATGCTTCTTCTGCGACGGCGGAGGAGCCTGCTGCTCCGCGTGTCCGCGGGAAAGGGGGGAGTTGCGCGGGGAGCGGCCAGTGTCGTGGTAAGGGGGAAAGGCCGGAGAGGGGGAGAGGTCGCGGCGATGCGAGTGAGACAACTCCGCGCGGTGAAAATCCTCCATGCCGTGGAGGTCCGTCCCCGACCGCCGATGGTACGACCGGTTAGCCATGGGTCGGCTATCGTGCGTGGGTGGCCTTTACGAAAATAAGACTTAAATAGTGGACGAAAGGAGCGCCGATGTTGATTCTACGAAGCTGCTTTCCCCGACGGCGTGATATGATTTACGGTAGGACATAGTGGGATGCTGGAGGGGTATGAACCATGGTCCCAAGGTGAAAATTGCGCTATCTGCAATGGAGGTCAGAGAATATGAGGTTGTTGAGTTGAGGGCGCATTCCGCGCTCGTGTCATCCCAACTTCCGGTCATCGTTTGCCAGCGTTTTGGAACTTCGGGTCTTCCGTTATGGGACAAATGATGACCGGAAGCCTGGATGATATGAGCCTAGAATGCACCCTCAGTCGTTATTTTGGTGCTGGAAGTGAGCAGGCCGAGGGACAGGGAAGCCAATAACTGTTGCAGGACTCCTCCGGTTTGTTTGGTGCACCCTTGGAAACTCGATTTTCTGAAGGCGGCTAGTCCTGGCGCTGTGGTACTCGAAAAAGGCATCGTGTTTACCTAGGATATGATGAAAAACTACCTAGCCCGGAATTCCTGGGAGTCGTGCGTAAGTAGCCTGTTTGACCTGATTGGGAGGACGATGTAATCCAGCAACTGTTTTGGGCTCGGGAGAGAACTCGCCTCGCCACGACGATGAACATGATGCTTTGCAATCGACGGCCGTTATGCATCGGACCAGAGGAACAAATGAGCCAGAAATTCTCGAGAGCCCATGGGGAAATGGGTCAGGTCGGGACTGCCTGTTTAGGCAATCGAGCGGCTGAGAATGACCAGATTTTTCAAGATGGAAGTCTCGATCGTCGATGCGACATCGACGTCCTTTCATTTTGCCTGCAACAGTGTTGTGTGGCTGAGAACTGAACCCATGTCCCCGAAATGGCCATTCTGCTTTCCTGTGCACTAGTGCTACTTCGCATGCGGTACCCGCATGCCCGTAAAAAAATTCATTCCAGTTCTGTTGAGTATCACGGTGTTTCATTCCAGTTCTGTGGACTTCGTGCTTTGTTGAGTGCTCATGTTTTGCCAACTTCCTGTTATTTCTTTTTTCTGGTGGCACGGGTAACAAAGGTCTGATCACGCGCAATTTTTGTATCCCTGGTATCTGTTTCGTTCGTCGCCTATGAGTTTCGTCCCGTGTTTGAAGCCCCCGAATGTTTTCGCGTAGTTAGACGTCAAAGTTCGCCTATCTCCCGTGTTTTTTCCCCGGCTCGGCGCGCTTGGGACAGACAACCCCTTCGCGCTTTCTTAGTATTAGAGAAAGCTTGGCCATGGAAAAATTATCACTTCTGGTGGCAGTGATTTGTCGATAAATGTAGTACGAGTTTCCGTTCAGATTGTATATGGGCTACTTACGCTTTATAAGCGGGGCTTGAATAATTCCGTAGCGAGTACTATTTCAAACATTTGATATCCTGTCGTCAGCAACAAGCTCCAACTGATCTGTGGAGAAGTCTTGAGCCAGGAGATATCTCACACAGGACGCGAACTCATTGGTTCTAGTAGTTAGCGAGTAATCGTCAGGTGGCTGCTCTGCATTCATTCACGATTAGGGTTCTCAGCCGATTCTTTAAACACGTCGTGATTTTAAGCCCGAGACCGAGTCTGCACACCTCGTCGCGATGGGAATCAAAGTAAGCGGTGGTTATTTCACGACAGCGCTAGGCCTTATCACCCCCTATCCCGTGCACTACCTCGTGACTCGTGATACATCCCTCGCTTTGACGCATCATCGCTCCACGTCGCCTGTCATGCTCTTCCTGCTGCCACGTGTCCGTCAGGGATTGACGAAGCTGCTAGCGGACAACGCGCCAGGCTGCATGAAAGAGCAGAAGCTAGAGAGTTACTTCGGAAGAAAGATCGCCATTGACGCCAGCATGAGCATCTACCAGTTCCTGGTAATGTCTGTCAGTTCCTGATAACGTCTGTCAGTTCCTGATAACGTCTGTCAGTTCCTGATAACGTCTGTCAGTTCCTGATTACGTCTCTCAGTTCCTGATAACGTCTGTCAGTTCCTGATAACGTCTGTCAGTTCCTGATTACGTCTCTCAGTTCCTGATTACGTCTCTCAGTTCCTGATCACGGCTGTCAGTTCCTGATAACGCCTGTCAGTTCCTGGTAACGTCTGTCAGTTCCGAGTAACGTCTATCAATTCCTGGTAACGGCTCTCAGTTCCGGGTCATGCATTTCAGTTCCGGGTAACGTCTGTCAGTTCCTGGTGACGTCTGTCAGTTCCTGGTGACGTCTGTCGGTTCCTGGTGACGTCTGTCAGTTCCCGAGCAACGTATGTCAGTTCCTGGTAAGGCCTATTAGTTGCTGGCAATGTCTTCCACCTTCTGCTTACGCCTATCAATCCGTTATAACTTTCTCCAAGTTCTGATTAACTTCTAGTTCCTCTGTTTCTCGTCCTAACACATAATTTTGCTCGTCATCTCTTTCCCGCCTTCAGATCGTGGTGGGGCGACAAGGCACAGAAACACTCACCAATGAGGCCGGTGAAGTCACCAGGTGAGGGGCGTTACCAGGTGAGGGCGTTCCCAAACAATGGGGTCACCAGCTGAAAGAATCCGATCAAGTGAAGGTGCGGAAGTATCCAGGTAAGGTAAGGTAACCTCTCAGTTCCTATCTTGAATGAGAAGAGCCGTTTTTTCCTCCGCCTCCCTCTTGCACCCCACCAGTCACCTGCAGGGAATGTTCACCCGGACGATTCGGATCCTAGAAGCGGGGCTCAAGCCAGTGTACGTCTTCCGGAATTTCATTGGTAGCCTCCATGGCCCTTTCACTTGTCCATCCCTTTGCTTTCTATTCTGGCGTCTCGAAGCAGTTAGAAGCACAGCCTCCATCCATCTAGCGTCCTTGGTCTCATATCTCATAGCAGGCATCGGATCGTCTTGCATGCACCACATGGTGCGTGTCTAACTCCCCCCCTTCCCCCCACCCCCGTGTCCTCCTTTTCCCAGCTCACTCTCTTCTATCCCCCCTCCCCCCCCCCCTTCCCCCACCACGTTCCCCCACCGTCTTTTCTCCAGCTACGTCTTTGACGGCAAGCCGCCTGACCTCAAGAGGGAGGAGCTCAAGAAGCGGTGAGCCTTGCCCTGCCCTTCTCCTCCGCACATACGCCCGCTGTGCTTCCATGCATGGCGCACCTGCTGTATTGCTGCTAGGGTCTTGATGCTCCTTGGTCGTTTGAGAAGCAGAGCACGCATTTATTCCGCAGTTGCTGGCGCAACAGAGGGGCTCCAAGAGGCGAAGGAGGAGGGGAAGGTGGAGGACGCGGAGAAGTACATCAAGCGGTTATGTTGCTATAACTGCCTGGTTTCTGGCACATCCTCTCGGCCGCAGGTACGCTCGGAGGGAAGACGCAACCGAGCGGCTACAGGACGCGAAGGAGGAGGGCAAGGCGGAGGACGTGGAGAAGTACAACAGCAGGTGTCTGATGCACCTCCCAACCCAACCTCTCTCCTGCAGATATGCTCGGAGGGAAGACGCAACGGAGGGGCTACAAGAGGCGAAGGAGGAGGGCAAGGCGGAGGACGTGGAGAAGTACAGCAAGCGCACGGTGCGGGTGACGCGGCAGCACAACGAGGACTGCAGGCGACTGCTCAGGCTCATGGGCGTGCCGGTCATTGAGGCGCCCTCAGAGGCTGAGGCCGAGTGCGCCAACTTGGCAAAGCAGGGCAAGGTGAGAGTTGCTGGTGGGGCAGAAGTGGCTCATGGGCATGCCAGGTGACATAAGGTTTGTTTGCTGATGGGGCAAAACTTATATGCTGCTGTGGCAGAAGTGGCTCATGGGCGTGCCGGTGGTTGAGGCGCAGCCAGAAGCAGAGGCTGAGTGCGCCAATGTGGCCAAGCAGGGAAAGGTGAGCAAGGGGGAACGGGTGCAGCGGTAGTGAACCAAGGGCTCATGGGAGTGCCGGTCCTCTCTGTTCCACCGGATACAAACATAACGCTTCACTGCTGTTCCCCCTATCCGGCCGTCAGCTGTTCCGCGAGGCATCGGGGGACATGGAAGGAAGGAAGCTCTCACCTTCTTTCTTCCGTTGACCTGCCTTGAAACACACTGTTCCTTGTTTCCGTTCCCCCTGTTCCCCCTGTTCCCCCTGTTCCCCCTGTTCCCCCTGTTCCCCCTGTTCCCCCTGTTCCCCCTGTTCCCCCCATGGCAGGTGTTCGGAGTGGCATCAGAGGACATGGACGCACTCACATTCGGAGCCCCAAAGTTCCTCCGCCACCTAATGGAGCCAGCTGCCAGGAAGCTTCCTGTCATGGAATTTGATGTTTCCAAGGTGCGTCTAGTGCCCACTTGCTTCAGCGGGCATCACATTAGCTACCGCCACCAAGGCTAGTCGCCCCTTGGGTGCTGGGCCCGTGGGTGCTGGGCCCTTGGGTGCCAGGCCCTTGGGTGCCAGGCCCTTGGGTGCTGGGCTCTTAGGTGCCACATAGTCTCTCGGGTGCTTGTGCGCCTGACATTGTTTGCCTCCACCTCTCACCCACTCTTCCCAGTGTCCGATGCCCCCCAATTTTCTTCCTATCGTCATGTGTGGGACTGGAGGGACTCGGTCTCTCCATGACTTTTGAGTCGACTCAAAGGTATTCGATGCCCCCGAATATTCTTCCTGTCGTCATGCGCTGGACTGGAAAAACTCGGCCTCTCCATGGGCGAGCTCATCAACCTCTTCACGCAGTGCGGATGTGACCACCGTGACTCCACCAGAGGGGCATCGGGCCCACTCCTCTCCCTATCCATCTCTCCCTATCCGCCTCTCCCTATCCGTCTCTCCCCATCCGTCTCTCTCAACCCCGCCTTCTTCCCCCTCCCCGTACTATCAAGTGCGACGGTGCTGGAGGGGCTTGGTCTGTCGATGGGCGAGTTCATCCACCTCTACATCCTGTGGGGCCGTGCATACTTCCTTCCCACTCCGTTTTTCTCTACCCTTTTGTTTCCTTCCCTCCTCTCCCCCTCGTCACTCAATTGCAAGGTGCTGGAGGACCTAAGCCTGACCATGGACGAGTTCATCGACCTCTGCATCCTGTGCGGCTGCGACTACTGTGACTCCATCCGGGGCGTTGGGCCCACCACGGCTCTGAAGCTCATTCGGCAACACAAGAACATCGAGAGCATTCTTGAGAAGATTGGAGACAAGTGAGTTCAGTGCGAGACTGAGTGGGGGTTGAGCAGTGCTGTGGGTGGTGACCTCTGCAACATCTTCACACCCACCATGGCTCTGAAGCTCATTCGGCAACACAAGAACATCGAGAGCATTCTTGAGAATGTCAGAGACAAGTGAGTGAGCGAGTGAGTGACTCAGTGCATAAGTGAGTAAATGGATGAGTGAGTGATGGAGTGAGGGAGTGAGTTGGTGCAGTGGGTAGTGGCATCTTAACACCCACCTTAACACCCATCACGACTCTGAAGCACGTCTGGCAGCGCAAGGCCTTTGAGCCATTCCTCACATTTCTCAGCTTCGACACCCAGTTCCTTTTTTGAGTCGACTCAAAATCCGCGTGTAATGAGTCGATTTTTTAGTCGAATCAAAAATCGACTCATTACACATTTCTCAGCTTCGACACCCAGTTCCCCTTTTTCCTCAATTCCTCCCCGTTCCCGTGCCACGTGCCAGGTACCACGTGCCAGGTACCACGTGCCAGGTACCACGTGCCAGGTACCACGTGCCAGGTGCCACGTGCCAGGTGCCACGTGCCAGGTACCACGTGCCAGGTACCACGTGCCAGGTACCACGTGCCAGGTGCCACGTGCCAGGTACCACGTGCCAGGTACCACGTGCCAGGTACCACGTGCCAGGTACCACGTGCCAGGTGCCACGTGCCAGGTACCACGTTCCAGGTACCACGTGCCAGGTACCACGTGCCAGGTGCCACGTGCCAGGTACCACGTGCCAGGTACCATGTGCCAGACTTCTGAGGCGCCTCAAGTGTTCTTTCCTGGCGTCCCCGTGCTCGTTCCAGGCACCAGGTGCCAGCCTCTTGAGGCGCTACAAGTGCTGGTTGCTGATGTCCTCCCTGTGCCTGTGCCAGGTACCAGGTGCCATACTTTTGAGGCAATCACAAGCTGTTCCCTGACTTCCTCCTCCGCATCTCTCGCCAGGTACCAGGTGCCGGACCCCTGGCCATACGACCAAGCCAGGACGCTCTTCAAGGAGCCTCTAGTCACACCTTCCGAGAAGGTTCCCGAGATCAAATGGACGGCGCCAGATGAAGAGGTGAGGGTGGATTTGACAGGTGGTCATTTCCAGGGCTGGTCTGAATCCATATTGGCGATAAGATAAGAGTTGATTATGATGACGATTGCGCTTGAAAATTTGTCGTCCGGATTTGAGGCGCCTCAAAAAAAAAAACAACAACAAAAATCAAGTGTTCATGTGGAGTGTAGGTCGCACGGGCACTTTATTGTGTGCCAGGCTGTGTTTGACGCAAACTTCATTTTGCTGGCGTCTGAATGCAGGGGTTGGTGAAATTTCTTGTGGAGGAGAATGGATTCAACTTGGAAAGAGTAACTAAGGTACACTTGCAGTAAAACCCTGCGTTTGCTGCACTAGCGTTTTGCGTGAAGCAAAGTGGCTCGTCCCTGAGGCCCCTTGGCGATAGATTCTTTTGCATTTCTACCTTGTCTAATGTTCTGTGCTGTTGTCCCTACCCTGCTGTGCTGCGCTCTAACCTCGTTCATGCCGTATTGTGCCGGTTGGAAGGCAATTGAGAAGATCAAAGCAGCCAAGAACAAGTCATCGCAGGGGAGGTGTGTCTCTGACAGGACTCTCGACTTGACATGCTTGCTTCGTGTCTCTCTTGCACTTCTCCTCTCCCGTTCAGGGTTCAGGGTTCTTCTCTGTCTCCGAGCTTCTCCCACACCCTCTAATCTCATCATCTGAATCGTTCCATGTGGTCGCTTGTGTCAGTATGGTAGCTTTCTGCCTCTGCCTTTTCTCATCGTCTCTTCATGTGTGCATGCAATGCAAACACATATGCTCGATCAGATTGGAGTCGTTCTTCAAGCCTTCAGCTGCACCTCCATCGACTACTCCAAAGAGAAAGGCAAGTGTGATCCGGATACATCTTCATGCATCTCACTGCTGAGCCTTTCTTCTGCATTCTCTCCTCTCTTCCTCTCACTTCTCCGGTTCCACCTCTTTGTTCCCCTGTCCTTCCTGCCATGGCCCGTGTCTGCCTCGCTTTCTCTCGCACTGTTGCAAACATTCTGGTAGCTGCAATGTCAGGCACTCCATGGAATGCCAGGCACTCCATGCAATGTCAGGCACTCCATGCAATGTCAGGCACTCCATGGAATGCCATGCACTCCATGCAATGTCAGGCACGAGATGCATCTCACAACTCATGCTTCACTTTGTTCATGTCATGTCCCCTCCACATGCACAGGAGCCTCCACCAGTGAAAGGAGGCAAAGGTGCCACCAAGGCAGGAGCAGCCAAGAAAGGGAAGAGAAAATGATCAACCATAATGAAAGCAACCATAACGGAATCTGCCCTCTCCTAATCGTTTAGGGCATCCATAATGTTGTGCAGGCGTGTTTCAGGCATCTGGCGAATGCAAGGAAAACAACGGTTTATACATCTCTGGTGAAAGTGTTGTGGCAAAACCGCAGTGGGGACCACAACGGTTTCAGGCATGTCGTGAATGTGATGTGACAACTGCTGTTCGAAGCACAACAGTTTCATGGATCTCACATTGTGCCACAGGAAAGTGCTGTCAGTTCTGGGTGTTTAATTTTCACTTGATGTGCCCCGAGACTCCAGTTTCAGTTGGTATGAGCTCACCCAGGGAAACATGTGTTTCATAGGGTACAAGTGATGTGCCAAATTTTGATAGCATTTCATCTTTCCAAGGTTCAGCATCAGTGCCAGACATCAGCCAGCAAATCTGACACAGGCCAGACAAGAGGCTGATCAACAAACATGACTGACACTGGCTCCTCCCACTCCCAGAGCCTTCACATACAGCATTCCATAGGAACACTGCACCATGCGCCAAGCTGCCACCAGCCACTGCATGAGACAGGTTCAACATGCTGGCAGTACAACTTAGTGCCTCCCAAGTAACAGCACTGCTGGGGCAAGCGTTGTCATGAAAACGGCCCCAGAACTCAGCTCCAGATGGATCCATTCGTACTGCTTCCACACCTTCAGTATGCCTCCACCCCTCAGCTCCTGAGCCTTGTTCTGCCACCAAGGTGAATTCAAGGATTCACACAGCTTGAAATACGCACAAACCACTGCTGATCCGTCGGTGAATCTTCCAACCAATTCTCATCAAACCTCTCAGCTCCATCAGAAGGACCTTCCGCAGGTACCGTACCACCACTCCCACAATCTCAACTCCATTCGGCCCTTCAAGACCTTCCCTTCCAATACTAGTAGCTCTTCATATGCACCCACTCCCCCACACCCCCGATTCGTTTACCAGCCGCCTCCAGTTCCACCACAGCTCCCCCCTGTTCCGCAGACAACCTCCTCATGTATTCCCTCAAGCTCCAACTGCTTCTCCAATCTTTGTCAAGTCTTCAACGGCTTGCACGCCCCACCATTCTTTCTGGCCTAAGCCAGCCACCAACTGTCATCACCTTTTCAGCTGTAAATACCACAAGCATCGCCTCCAAACTGCTGCACCTTCCCACGCCAACTCTTGATTCCCGCGATGCACTCATAACGCTTTCCAAAGAAGCATCCCCCTTCGCAATGACCATCAGAATCAGCACGCAGCCGGCTCCAGCAACAGGATCCCCAACACAGCGGATTCAAAGCTAGTTATCAGCGATCTACACTTGAGTCGAAAACCTGCTGCCTGCTGCCAGCTGCTTCTGCTGCTGCTCCTCAAAAGCTCTGAACAGCCCGCCCTTAACCGCCACTGAACGTTGTCCACCAAGATCTTCAATCCTGTGCCGATCTTCCCTCTTCTCTCCAAATCCTGCATCACCCTTCCCTCATACGGCTCCGAGACAATCACCCCCCATTTTCGCGACCACCAATCTTGCTGAAAACGACCCACCGCTGCTGGACGCCCGTGGTCAAGGCTACATGTCAGTAGAAACGAAAGAAAAAGAGAAGGACCAGGATGTCGTCCGAACTCGCTTACACCGGCTCCCCTCCTCCAAGCCGCAACTTTTTCCCTCCCGACGAATGCTGCTCCGGACCCCTTCCATATATAATCAGTCATGAAGCAGCACGCTTCAGCCGGCTCCTCCACGAGTCCAGCAAGACATCCTTGACACCTGACGACCTACTGTATTCACATTCGACACCATCACACAGCGCATCCTCCACTTGCGACCCACCACAGCTTCCCCCACCCCCTACACCAGTCAGTAGAAGAGCTCAACCCAACTGCTCCAGCCGCACCTCTCCCAGTCCTCTTGGCTCCTAAGAGCAATAAATCGTCCTATCGATCTGAGGAGGAATGGGCTTTATTTCCGTTCCAAGTTCTTGCTCGATCCGGTAACTGCAAGACGCGTTTAAGAAGAAATAAGTTCCAGCGCAACACAAACAAACGGCATTCGGAAATGCGGGAGCAACAATAAAACGAAAACTTACAGATTAAACCGGTCATTGTATGTGATGAGATTGATCGCCAGGCCGAGATGACCAAACCTTCCAGATCGTCCCACCTGCACAACGTTATAAACAAATCTTGCTTAGATCTTGAATTCAACAGACAGATGCGCGCACCGAAAACAGTCACAACACGAACCCTGTGGAGGTAAGTCTCTGATGTCTTAGGGAAGTCGAAATTGATGACGACATTTACTGCCTGGATGTCGATTCCTCGCGTGAAAAGATCTGAAATATACAGGCGAAGATCATGTTTAGACGAAAAAGAAACCACATGGCATCAACGAAGCGGACAATGCCACCGAACGTCGAAGCTTGTCATACCTGATGAGACCAGGTTTCTGCAGGCCCCATTGCGGAAATCATGGAAGACGCGATTGCGATGGGACTGCAGCATCTTTGCGTGGATGTAGAAGCAAGAGTAGCCAAGCTCCGTAATCTTCTTGGCCAAAAGCTCCACGCGGTTGACGGAATTGCAGAAGATGATCGATTGGTTGATTTGCAGCTGCAACACATCGATACATCAGCATTGGAGACAGAAATTTTCAGCCTGAGCCATTCACCGTTTAGCGACATAACCAGATCGGATTGCAAAGAAAGACGCACCTTAGAGAACAAGGTGTTAAGGCAATGAACCTTTTGCCGCTCCTCCACGAAGGCGTAATATTGAGTGATACCCTTAAGGGTCAACTCGTCCATGAGGTTAATGACGTAAGGCTTGTTGAGCCATCTGTCCTTGAACGACTTCACGGTCACAGGAAAGGTGGCAGAATACAAGAGAATCTGTCGCGTTGGAGCGAGATAGCCAATGAGGCGCTCCACAAGAGGCTGAAACTCTGGAGAGAGGAGCTTGTCGGCCTGCCATGATACAATATTCAACAGATCGTTAGTTACCGCGATCAAGAAGGAAAGGGGGCAAAAGAAAGGGAGTATTTAGATCTCTGGTAACAACGCACACCTCATCCATGCACAGCATATTGCATTCTCGCAGGTTGCACACGCCTTTGTTCGCCAGATCTAGAACGCGGCCAGGCGTGGCGACGAGGAGATGCACTGGTTGGTAGAGACGCATGATGTCGTCCTTGAGGCTCGTGCCGCCCGTCGTTGCCATGATCTGAATGTTCATGTGCTTCGCAAGCTCCTTGCAAACTTGAGAGGTCTGCAGCGCGAGCTCTCTCGTAGGGACCAGAATGACAACTGCACCGGAAAAATGGAGACGTTATGGGTATACAGATTAAACCAAAAATCATATATCAATAATGGAAAAAAGGGTAAATCACACGACAGCAGCGACTTGCCTTGAATGACGTTCCGCGTGGGGTCAATTTTCTCCAGTGCTGGAATAGAGAAGGCAGCGGTCTTGCCAGTTCCATTCTTGGCACGAGCAAGGATGTCTCTTCCCGTCAAGGCAATCGGAATACTCTCCTCCTGAATAGGGGAAGGCCTCTCGAATCCTCTCTCATAGATCCCCATCAGAAGCTCCCTCTTCAAGAAATAGTCCTCAAACTCGTTTCCTTTCGTCGCCGTGACATCCTGAAACAGGACAAAGAAAGTTGTCGCTCCGTAAAGAGAGAATTGACGGGGAGAATAAAAGAATATACGTCCCTTAAACCGCGTCACATACCTCGGTCCTGAACCTTGTATCAGATGGAGGTAGCTTCAACTGTGACTTCCACTCTTGATCACTGCAATTTCAAGAGTCTCAAAGCGTTAGTGAAGAGGCCCGAGACCCATCTTAAGCCTCCGAAATAAAAACTGGTCTCTGAACAACATGCCTTGATTGGCCGCTTTGGCTTGGCTGGCTAGGCTGACTTGCTTGGTTCGGAGCGCCAAAGCCTTGAACTTGCGGCGGAGGAAGCAGTGGTTGACCAGGAGCTTGCACTTGGCCTAACTGAGACGGCTGCACGAGGTTGCCTTGCTGGATCCGAGGCTGGTTTCCGTACGCTGAAGGTGCAGTTATCCGTTGATTTGTTTGACCCGAATGTTGTCCAACGGCAGCCATATCGTGTTAGCAGAGAAAAGCGGACTATTTCTCTTTTTTTGCTTTCCGCGATGCTGCACCCGACTAGTAACCCCCACCGAATCCACCTCTTGTCCTTCAACTGCGGGCACCGTCCGTTGGATCTGTGGTCGAAAGATAAGCAGCGACGGACAATAACGCCTTCCTAAACGAAAGTCAAGACAGATTCTCCTTTCCTACAGAAAAACTCTGGTGTCTACCTTACGGCTAGCGTATGTCAAGCAGAGCTACCTCCGTGTGTGAAAACCTAGGTGCTAGATGCAGATTGCAGAGCCTAATGCCAGAAACTACGCCTTGCAGCAGCACAAGTTCCAACTCGGAACCCTCGCCTTGCCTTGCCTGCCACTCTGATGTGGGCAACAGGCCCTTTGCTTGTAAGGGGGGAGTGGTTTGGCATGGTGGAAACGATGGCGATGCCCTGTACCTTGCATCACAAGCAGCCATGTGGCTGGATGGATAAGCGACGTTTGTTACTACAACGAAGACCACCCAAGACATCCGCGATGCTAATCTTTGAGTACACCTCCAAGCTACACTGGTTTCATGGATATTCTGATTCCAGCTTTCCATAATGGCGTTTGTGCGCTATACTTCAGGATACGTTAGAAGGATTCGAGATACCATGAATGTTATGATATCATAACTTCATATGGTCACACTGCTCTCCATAAGCAATTCAACCCTGATGAAAAGCTGATACATCAGTACCAGCCACCTTAGTAATCATACAATCGCATACAGTGCAACATGATGGTAACGATACAAGACACACAAGCAATCAGCCAAGGAACTCCCGAGGGTCAGTGATGTGGCCAGTCAGAGCCGAGGCCGCAGCAGTGAAGGGAGAAGCCAGATAGATCTGCGCCTCCTTGTGACCCATGCGGCCAGGGAAGTTGCGGTTGGTGGTGGACACACACACCTGGAGCAACCAAAACAAGACGGTTAAAATCAGCCAACTTGGGTAGTGTCTGCTCTGACTCCCAGAAAGGCAATACAACAAACACGTGTCTGGTTGACCACTGACCACTTGCAATCAAGCGCCATCACACACCTGGGGTTCGTTCATGCGGGCATACGTATCCCTGGGCCCGCCCAGGCACGCAGCGCAGGAGGGGGCGGCAGGCGTGTCGCAGCCAGCCTCCTCAAAGATCTGCGCCATGGTCTTGCCGTCCGCCCCTGGCACCGGCATGGTGTAGATGTCCATCCACACCTGAGCGCCGTGCAGGGATAGATAGTCGTACGGGTTGCGAGGGGGGAGGGATGGGTAAGGTGGACGCGGACCAGGAGACGAAACAGCAGATACACGGATGCGAACGGCACGTGCCAGGAGCAATGCTGACATTTTGCAGTAAAGATTCGGTAAAGAACAGTTGGAAAAGCTGATTTGAGTTTCGGTCTACAGGGGGTGGGGAGATAAAGGAAATGCGCACCTTCTGAGTGGCAGGCACCAGGAAGGTCGGCACAACCACCTTCTTGCCCTGCACACACAAACACACAGGCACCTCTTAGAATAGTCTATGCAGTGGGCACACGTCAAGTGAAAGCAGCAAGACACTTTTAGATGCTACGAAGTGTCTAATGGACAATCTACTAACGCAGCTGCACCCGCTGACTGCAGAGTGAACGAGCTTGGCGGCAGGTTGCAGATACATTACGATCGTCTCAACTCGCATAAATGCAGCCACTCACAGCGGCATGGAAGAGCTTGGCAGCGGCGAGGAAGTCCTCTGTCTTGCCGCCCGTGCATGAGCCAATGTACGAGCGATCCACCTTCTTGTCACGGCACTCCAGTGCAGTTGCGCGGTTGTCAGGCGAGTGGGGCTGCGGGGTTGGGTTGCGCAGGGTGGGGCAGGGAGAGGAGGGGGGATGTGTGTGGGCTGCTGTCTACCTTCTTGTCGCGACACTCCAGAGCCGCCGCGCGGTTGTCAGGCGAGTGGGGCTGGTTAACAAGGTGAGAGGGGCGGGGCAGGGAGAGGAGGGTGTGTTTTGAGTCGACTCAAAATACACCAGGAGGGTGTGTGTCAAAAGGGGGAGGGGGAGGGGGGGGGGGAGAGGGGGGGATGGAGCAGGAAAGATCGGAAGGCGAGCTGTGGACTGTTGAACAATCGACCACCTTCTTGTCAGTGGTCAGGCGAGTGGGGCTGTTTGAAGGAGGGGGGGAAGGAGGGAGCACGACGAGTGAAGTCACTGACCCGCAGAAGCAATCTGAGGCGCGGCACAAGATTGGCACGGTGGCATGGAGGGAGTGATGTAGCAAAAGGAAGGGAGTGCAGAGAGCGTGCTGAGAGGGGGGGGGGGCTGACCTTGGCAACGACAGGGTCGAGCTTGGAGACGTCGAACCGATACTCCTCATAGAAGCTGCAGGCGGCACGAAGGGGCAGACGACCGGAGGGAGAACAGGAACAAAAAGGAGGAAGGCGAAACGGGTAAGGGCGGTGGTGGTGTGGTGGCACTACATACGGTACCAGAGAAACAGGTGCATGGGACAGAGAAGATAGGGAGAGAACATGCGGATGTGTGGGGAACCTTGTCAGATCGGACGCAGACAGGGAGCGGGCAGGAAGCGGGCAGCTTACCTGGCGTTGCCATCGCTGTAGAGGGGCTCGTGCGTCAATTGGGTCTTGCCCTGCACGCATGGGCACCAGACAATGACATGGGAGATATGTGGGAAGGTTGCCAAGGCAAGGCAACTGCTTAAAGGCCTCTCTCTCACTAGACAACACACGGGCGCAAGACAATGCGGGAAGGAACAGATAGAAGGTAATACAGGGGCCCCAGGCATACATCAAGGTAGGCGAAGGTGGTCTTGTCCGCCGCCACGACTCCGTTCTTTCCCCCACCCTCAATGACCATGTTGCACAGCGTCATGCGATCCTCCATCTGCATGCAAAACACAAGTAAAAAAAGGAGGCGACGAATAGGGGGAAGGGGAGAATGAGAGAAGGGGAGAAGTGAGAAGGGGAGAAGGGGAGGGGCGTGGGGGGGGGTGGTGGTGGATGGAGGGCGGGGGGGGGGGAAGGACGCAGAGGAGAGAAGATGCGGCGTAAGGAGGTGAAGTGGTAGGTGGCAGAAGGCACATGATGCATGAATCGTGGAGGGGGTCGGGAGATCAGAGCATCAAGAGAAGGAGATGGTGTGAGGGGTGGAGCACAAGGGGGAGGGGTGGAGCACAAGGGGGAGGACTACTGACCGTCATGGCCTCAACAGCAGTCCCTGTGAACTCCATGGCGCGGTACGTGCCCCCTGCCACTCCAATCTCGCCAATGATCTGAAAGGGAAGATTGAGAGGGAAGGGGAAAGGGGATATCGCAATGTGACGAATGGTCCATCTATCAATGTGGTTGCAGGCAGAAGCTAGCCTGAAAACAGACACAGGCATGTTGCGCACGGACGCTTTGGTGGGGATGGTAGGCTGATTGGAAAAGAGGCGGGAAAGGAGCACAAACTAAAAAGAGCACGGAGGGAGAGAGTAAAGGAGGGATTGGGGAGGAGACAAACACGGAAGGGGGGTTCACCTGCAGGATGAGGTCCTTTGCCAACAGGTAGAGCAGCACCTCTCCATCCAGCACAAACCGAAGCGTGGGCGGGAAACTATAAGGAAGCGGGCGAATAGGGACGTCACGGGGAAGGAGGCTCACCTGCAGGATGAGGTCCTTGGCCAGCAGGTAGGGCGGCATCTCTCCGTCCAACACAAACCGAAGGGTGGCGGGCACCTGACAGGGGAAGGATGGCCGAGAGAGGGTTGGTGAAGGAAAAAGAAGAGGCAAAGAAATCACGAGACGTGTAGATCAAGAGTGGCAGGCCACAGACGCATGATGGCATGGAGGGGCAAGGGAGGGGAGGCGAAGAGACCAAGGGACCAAGGGACGAACTAGCACAACCCGTGTCTCAGCACGCCCTCTTGAAGCAACAACCAGCGGTACTTGAGGCGATAGTCAGCCACACCGACTAGTTTTGAGGCGCCTCACAACAAGACAGTCAGCCACAGCGACTGACCTTGAGCAGGCACTTGCCCGTGCCGAGGATGAACCCGGCGTCCGTGTTGCCGATGCCCGTGGCGAACTGCCCAAACGCGCCCGCGTTGCACGTGTGCGAATCTGTGCCAAACAGCACCTGCAGGCAATAATGGAGGGCGGAATGGAATGTGAGGGGTGTGCGGACAACGCACAGGGATGGATGCCATGGGACAAGTCACACGTTCCATGGTACATGGCAGACGAAGCATTACCGAGATTAATCTCACACTTGACGAGCCTACTGCCCTTATGCGAGGTGTTCGAACGGGGAGTAGGCTCAGGAATTATGTTCATTCCCTCTCCCCGCAATCCTCTCCCCATTCGAGCCCACTTCCCCTCCCCCCGCTCCTCTTCCCCCACCTTCTCCCTCATTTCCGCACCTCGCCTGGTCGGCAGTGCCCCTCCTGCGCGAGAGCCACGTGGCACACGCCCTTGTAGTCGGGGTTGGCCTGCACCCAGCGAGGGAGACAGGGCAGGGACGATGAGAGAGGATGAGAGAGGATGAGAGAGGATGAGAGAGGATGAGAGAGGATGAGAGAGGATGAGAGAGGATGAGAGAGGATGAGAGAGTAGGCGATAAAGGCTCAGTGGCAGACGCATTCGCATTCCCACTCATCAGCCCTTGATAGTACCAAAAACCGCGGACGAGAAGGGATGCGGGGAAATGGACGAGACGGTGACGCACGAAGTCCCTCAGAGGTTAGACTGTCATTCCAAGAGACAAGAGCAACCGCTCGCCTGAAAGCTGCAGCGGTCTGTGATGTCCTGATGCATCCAAGACACACTTGATCCTCTGCTCCTGCACGAAGCCCTCAAAGGCTAGCCTTGAGAAGCACTCTGCTCTTTCAAGAGACCTCTCCCACATTAACCACTCACCTGGAAGTTGCTCCTGTCGATGATGATCACAGAAGTACTTGATCCCCTGCTCCTGCACGAAGTCCCTCAAAGGCTAGACTGTCTTGGCTAGACTGTCGTAACAATAGCCCTTCCACTTCATCCACGCACCTGGAAGTTGCTGCGGTCGGTGATGTCGTAGAAGTACTTGATGCCCTGCTCCTGCACGAAGTCCCGGAGGATGTCCACGTTGCGGTTCGCGCGCTCGTCCGCCGTGAAGATGTAGTGGTCGGGGATGATCACGATCTTCTCGCGGTCCCACACCTGGCGGGGGAAGGGGGAAAGGGGGGGGATAGGGGCAGTTTAGGGCGTTTCTTCTCGCGGTCACTTTGTGCTGTGGTCAGGGCGCTCGTCCGCCGTGAAGATGCAGGGGTCGGGGATGATCACGATCGTCTCGTCATGGGGGACTTCACCCTTATGCATGGTGAACCTTGTTCAAAGAGCGCGGGGCTTGATCAAATCGGTTAAACCAGTGGGTATCTGCATATAATATCAACGGACTCTGGTTTTCATGGTGATTCAGAATGTGGCAATCTTCTGTTAAGGCGGCTGTTTTTCTGCAGTGATCAGCGTCCCCTCAGGGCCAAGTCGCCTTGACCCCATGACTCCACGACCTTACCTTAGCGTCGGCGCCGAACTCCTTCTTGAAGATGCCGATGGTGCCCGACCGGCGGACCGCATACATTGTGCCACGCAAGCACGTCCGGTTCTCAACTTAACGTCACCCACACATTCACGCATACCGAGGTGCATGGGAGGAGGGACAATCACCTTAGCGTCGGCGCCGAACTCCTTCTTGAAGATGCCGATGGTGCCGGGGCCGCACACGTCGTGCGTCATCAGCACGTCCGTGTTCACCCACACGTTCTCGCCCGGCGCCACCCGCGCCTTCTCCGCCGCGCGCGCCAGGATCTTCTCCGTCATCGTCATGGGCGACTTCACCTGGGGGGGGGGGGGAAGGGGAGGCGGAGGCGGGAAACGGGGAAGAATTAGAAAACACCCTCATGCATGAGGAACTATCTTCGGTGAGTGTGGGGCTTTGTCAAACTGGTCAATCGGTTGGACGGACAGATGATATCGATGCACTCTGGTTGCCATGGTGATTCAGCGAGGCTGGCTGGGAAGGACTGCGACGGAAAGAAATGCGACAGATACGCACGAGCTCGATCCGAAGTAAAAAATAACTAACCGGGATCAGCCCTCGGAGATCGGCGTTCGGTGTTCGGCTTACCGCGCCAGTAGATGCGGGGGAGCTCTGCTTGCTGGGAGCAGGAGGCACTGCGACGGCACGGGTAGCGACAGGCATCCGGCTGGCGACGGCAGGCGACGCCACGGGGAGGAGCCGCGACGACGACACGCCTCCTGCGAACGTCGCTGATGATGATGCATGGTGCACCGCCGCTCCCTGGGGGAAAAGACGGAGCGAAAAGAAGGAAAACGGCCGTCAGAACGATGGGAAAAGCTGACAGATTCAACGGGCACAGACAAGCTGCGAACTTTACGCGACGCTGAAGGTGCGACCTTCAACGAAGTAATCACGGATGCTAGATCTGCAGCAAGTATTCCTCAAGTCCAGTGAACAGGTAAGATGAGCGGCTAGTAACATCGGCTTCCTGAATGGATCCAATTGGTCGAAAACATATATTGCACATGTCGGAGAAGTCTGCGTGGCTGGTGAAGTGAGAAAAACGGGGAATCCGATGGCGAGCCTTACGGGTGCACGGAATGCAGTCGCCGGCACTAAGGCAGCCATGACGCCCTGTCCACGCTAACGATCTGCGGCAACCACCAAACACGGAAAGTCTTCTCTTGGTAGAGTGATGATCGCCGGCAAAGCTGTCAGAGCTGACAGGAAAGTGGCTGCTTGTAGGCTAGCCACAGACCAACTTTCAGGAGAGGTTTTCTGAGGTTCCTAGAAAAGCACATGGAAGTAGGGAAAACTGGACCACTGTACTATTTACTGGCCTGCTCTCAACCCAAGCACGGTAATGAGGTTTTGACAGGGTTTGGAAGCGGCGAAGTTCGTTGCTGCTGGTGAGGGAACGGCCAAACCAAGCGAAGACAATGCTGCTGTCTTCCTGAAAAACCCACGTGAACAAATCTCGAGGGCCTTGGGATTGTCGCGCACTCAAGCAACCTTTGGCGAAGAGTGACGTGAAGATGCGAAAGTTTCCCGCTGCCTCCGCAGAAGATGCGACGGTCGCGAGTCTGGGTTTTGCGAAAGGGTGTGGTGGTGTGAAAGGGTTTTCGCGAAGGCTTGGGAGAGGTGGCGGATTTCTACTGGTGGAGATTTCTCAAGCAGTTGAGTTGGAGGGAGTGGATCTGTCTGCGAAAACTGCGAAAAGGGGAGGCAGTCCACCCTTGAGTCGCGGGATATTTTTGCAGGACGAAGGTTACGGCCCTCCAGCAAATGTCGCAAATAGTAGACGGCGAAAAGTCGTGTTACCCACGAAGGGTCTGTTTCGCCAAAATCAAAACACCCAACACAGCAGGCTCCAAACAAGCAGGCAGAGGCAGAACTCAGCATAGACACTTGCATCCTGAATCCTGATCACTTAGTTTCCTAGACCTAGAGATAGGCCAGAGAAAGATAGTTTGCCATGGCGAAAAAAATCTCAGGAATCTTAAAGAAAACAGGTTTGCAGGGAAACGCATCCAAGGGAATAGAAGAGCCTAGTGTCGTAGAGAGGCCGTCCAGCTCGGAGGAAGAGGAAGTGGATGGCGGAAGTGCGGAAAATGGGGAAGATGGGGAAGAGCCGTCGGACGTCGACAAGGAAGGAGACGATTCCGACGAAGAGAGCGGAGAGGAGGAGGATGCTGAGGCGGAAGGGGAAGACGAGGAGGATTTAGGGGAAGAAGAAGGGGAGGTGGGGGAGGACGAGGAAGGGGATGAGAGTGACGACGAGGAAGCGGAAGATGGGAAACTAACTGGAGGGTTTAGTATAGTAGGTCCAGGGAAGCCGAAATCTACTGCTTCGCATCCCGGGGCTCTCTCTGGCTCAGCTCCCGCGTTAAACCCGGTCAGAACCTTCGACGAAATGGGGCTGGACCCGCGTCTGCTGCGCGGGCTGGTGAAGCGGCGTCTCTTAAAGCCCACTCCCGTGCAGCAGTACTGCGTGCCGCTCGCCATGGTGGGTTGACGCGCTCAGCTTGGTGGGTAGTTTTGGTGGCGATTAGGATTCTTGGAGAAAAGATTGACGAACGCCGTCTGAAGCCCATGGGGCGGTCTGCGCTTTGTAAGGGCGTTTTGCAGCAGCTCAAGGACTTCCCGCAGAAGCTCGCAGCAGGATTCCGCTCAAAACCCCGAGCCTCCCAAAAACCCTCGAGACTGCCATTCCTTCCCCAAACACTCTCATCCCCCTCCTCTCCCCTCCCTTCGCCTCCCTCCCGGCGTACCCACAGGAGGGTCGCGACGTGGTGGCGAAGCTCACACGGGCTCTGTGAAAACCCTCGCTCCCGTACCTGCTGCCGTTGGTTCACCGAGAGTCATGAGGCACATCTACTCAGAACAGGTTCATTTCCCTCCTCTCCACTCCATTCGTCTCAATTCGTCTCAATCTGTCTCAATCTGTCTCACCCCCTGGCGTGCTTACAGGAGGGTCGCGACGTGGTGGCGATGGCGCACACAGGGTCGGGCAAGACCCTCGCGTACCTGCTGCCGCTGCTGCACCGCGTGCTGGCGGACAAGGACTCCGCGGCAGGGGGAGGCGGGGGGATGGGCGCAGCTGGGGGGAATTGTCCGCGCGGAGTGGTGCTGGTGCCCACGCGGGAGCTGTGCCAGCAGGTGAGGGGGAGGGGGAGATTGTGGGGGGGAGGAGGGGGGGGGTGAGGGGGCGACTGGGATTCGAGTGGGTGGTGATGTATTCCTTTCCGCTCATGTCTATCTTACAAGTCTGTAACGTCTTGGAACGTCTGACCGCTTCTCAACGTCTGACCCGCTATTCTGTCCCCTTGATCCCGGGCAACTGCCCAACGCGATGGCAGATGGCGGAGGAGGTGTCAGCCATGGCGCAGTACTGGGGGGGATGGGGGGGCTCTCACTGTGCAGCGACCCCTTGGAATCTGTTTTCATCGCTTAGCCCACTGCTCTGTTCTTCCCCGTGGCAATGCCCCACTGCGTGACGCCAGGTGGCGGAGGAGGTGTCAGCCATGGCGCAGTACTGTGGGGGAGCGCTCAGTGTGCAGCGACTCACAACTGGCATGAATAACGCCGCCATGGTGAGCCATAGATTCTTGAAGATCTTTCCACCCTTTTAGAGTTCTCCCACATTTGCCCATGTCCCTCAGTCCACCGTCTGCTGCCCCTCTGCATGCCTTGCTCCATCCCCCCTTCCCCTCCTCCATCCCCCCTTCCCCTCCTCCATCCCCCCTTCCCCTCCATCCATCCCCCCTTCCCCTCCTCCATCCCCCCTTCCCCTCCTCCATCCCCCTTCCCCTCCTCCATCCCCCCCCCTCCTCCATCCCCCCTTCCCCTCCTCCATCCCCCCTTCCCCTCCTCCATCCCCCCTTCCCCTCCTCCATCCCCCCTTCCCCTCCTCCATCCCCCCTTCCCCTCCTCCATCCCCCCTTCCCCTCCTCCATCCCCCCTTCCCCTCCTCCATCCCCCCTTCCCCTCCTCCATCCCCCCTTCCCCCTCCCTCCATCCCCCCTTCCCCTCCTCCATCCCCCCTTCCCCTCCTCCATCCCCCCCCCCTTCCCCTCCTCCATCCCCCCTTCCCCTCCTCCATCCCCCCTTCCCCTCCTCCATCCCCCCTTCCCCTCCTCCATCCCCCCTTCCCCTCCTCCATCCCCCCTTCCCCTCCTCCATCCCCCCTTCCCCTCCTCCATCCCCCCTTCCCCTCCTCCATCCCCCTTCCCCTCCTCCATCCCCCCTTCCCCTCCTCCATCCCCCCTTCCCCTCCTCCATCCCCCCTTCCCCTCCTCCATCCCCCCTTCCCCTCCTCCATCCCCCCTTCCCCTCCTCCATCCCCCCTTCCCCTCCTCCATCCCCCCCTTCCCCTCCTCCATCCCCCCTTCCCCTCCTCCATCCCCCCTTCCCCTCCTCCATCCCCCCTTCCCCTCCTCCATCCCCCCTTCCCCTCCTCCATCCCCCAGAACTTTCCCTCTTTCCCTCAGCGAGCGGCCATGGACAGGCGGCCAGACGTGGTGGTGAAGATAGAAAGGAAGCACTCATGGCAGATAGGCGGCACTCATGGCATGGCAGCATGCTCGTTCTCCCTCCCCCCCGCCCCACCCTCAATCCCCCCCTCCCCTCACCCCCTCTTCCCAGGGATTAGTTGTCAAAAGTCACCCTCAATCCCCCTCTCCCCTCACCCCCTCTTCCCAGGGATTAGTTGTCAGAAGTCACCCTCAATCCCCCTCTCCCCTCACCCCCTCTTCCCAGGGATTAGTTGTCAAAAGTCACCCTCAATCCCCCCCTCCCCTCACCCCCTCTTCCTGCCCTCTCCCCCCTCCAGCGAGCGGCCATGGACAGGCGGCCGGACGTGGTGGTGGCGACGCCAGCGCGCATGGCAGCGTGTGTAGCGGAGGGCGTGCTGGCGCCCATGGCGCTCAAGACGCACCTGGCGGTCTTGGTGCTGGACGAGGTGAGGGGGGATGGTGTGGGGGGTATGACATGCAATGGGATGGGATGAGGCAGAGTCTCATGTGTGAGGGCATTCTGCCGCCCATGGCGCTCAAGACGCACCTGGCGGTCTTGGTGCTGGACGAGGTGAGGGGGGGTGGTGGGGGTGGTTGCGATGGGATGGATGGTGTGACCTGAATGGGATGGCATGAATGGGATGGCATGAATGGGATGGCATGAAGTGGGAGGGAGCCACTGTTCACATGTGTCACGGATGGCGCCCATGGCGCTTAAGACGCACGTGGCTGTGAGCGGGGTTGCCCATGGCCATGCCTCAGCTCACTGGTGATTGCAACCAGGCCATGGGCATGATGCCTCACTCTACCTCGTGGTTCAGCAGTCCCAGTAATACTCCCTCCGCGTCCATGTGCTGTGCAGGCGGACGTGCTTCTATCGCATGGCTACTATAACGAGGTGCAGGCCATAGCGCGCCATGTGCCAGTCAGCTGCCAGTGCCTCCTGCTCACAGCTACCTTCAGGTCAGCCTTAACCACTTGCTTTCCCTTCCCTTCTGCCCGCCCTTCCTCTTTCCCTTTCGCCTACCATTCCTCCCCCCCTCCCCCCCCCCCCCCCCCCCGTCCTCCCCCCTCTGCGATTCATGTCTCATTACCTTCCCCTGGAACGATTTGGTGCCACGCTTTCTCTTCCCCCTCCCTCCCCACCAGCAACGACATCGAGCGCCTGCAGAAGCTGGTGCTGCACAACCCTGTGGTGGTGCGCCTGGGAGACAGCTCAATCCTCCTAGGGGATGGCGAGGGGGCTGCTGGGGGGGAGGGGTCGGGGAAGGAGCAGGGAGGAGAAGGGCAGGCAGCAGAGGCAGCAGGAGGAGCAGCAGGAGGAGGGGGAGGAGGGGGGGGAGGAGCAGTAGCAGCAGGAACAGGTGGGGCTGGGGGTAAGCAGTCGCTTCTGCCGCCCAATATCCGCCAGTTTGCCGTCCGCTGCGAGGAAAAGGACAAGCTGCTCCACCTGCTGGCGCTGATTCGCCTGCAGCTGCTCCAGAAGAAGGTTCTCATCTTCACCTCCACGGTCGAAGCTGGGTTCCGGGTGAAACTTTTCCTCGAGCAGTTTGGCATCCGGGCAGCCGTGCTAAATTCCGAGCTGCCCGTGGCGTCGCGCCTGCACATCTTGCATGATTTCAACGTTGGGAAATTCTTCTTCCTCATTGCTACGGATGATGACAATGGGGGGCTTGCTGCTAAGGAAGGGGGGAAGGGGGGGAGCGATGGGAGGGGGAACTCTGGTCGGGACCCAAAAAGGCGCAGAGTGCGAATAGCAGAGGGGGCGGATGGGGGAGAGGGAGGGAGGGGGGAGGGAGAGGAGGGGGTGGAGAGGGATACGGGGGAGTATGGAGTGGTGAGGGGGATAGATTTTAAGAACGTGAGGACGGTGATCAACTACAGCGTGCCGAACCAGCTGGCTCCGTACGTGCATCGCGTGGGGAGGACCGGCCGAGCCAGCAGCGTTGGCATGGCGATAACCCTGGTACGTCAATGTTCAGTAGTGCCTGCCTGCTGCAGTTGCCTCGATTGTCCCATCTCTCTCAAATGGTCCGGTTTCTCTTATCTCTCTCATTGTTACATCGTTTAGCAGTAGTGCCCTCCTGCTTAATTTCACACCCTCATTTCACACTGTTGTTCTCCCCTCCCCTCCCCCAATCCATGTGTGCCAGGTGTCCCCTAAAGAGGCACCGCTACTGGAGGCGATTGACAGGAAGATTGCCGAGTCCATAAAACCACAGCCACCTGTGGATGCTGCAAGGGGCAGAAATAAATTGATGGAGCAGGGGGTGAGAGGAGGAAGGGGGGATGGGAGCAGTAGGAAGAGAGCGAGGGAAGAAGAGGGGGAGGAGGGGGAGGAGAGTGAGGAGGAGGGTGAGGTTGAGGAGGATGGGGAGGAGGGGGAAGATGAGGATGAGGAAGAGGAAGAGGTGGAAGGGGAAGGGGAAGGGGAAGAAGAGGAGGAATCAGAGGAGTCGGGACAAGAGGAGGAAGAAGAGGAAGAGGCACCGAGGAAGCCGAAGGCCTATGAGTGCCGGGCCATCTTACCCTACCCATACCTACCAAAGGAGGGCGTGGAGGCTCTGCGGTACCGTGGCGAGGACGTGGCAGTGAAGATCACGCGAGTGGCCATCCGAGAGGCACGCGCCAAGGAACTGCGGATGGAGATACTCAACTCGGAGAAACTAAAGGATCACTTTGAGCTCAACCCCAACGATCGAGGTGGGTGTCCTTGTGTCCTTGCGACTGAGGTGGGTGCGTCTCGGTTGACTCGAGGGCCAACAACCTGAGTGCCACTTTGAACTTAACACCAATGATCGAGGTGGGTGTGTGGGTGAACCGCGCCTTGCGCTGGTTGGGTGAACCCCACCCCATGTGTCGAGGTGGGTGGGTGTCACAGCGGGAAGGGGTGGGCGGGAGCATGGGTGCTCTTGAGCATGGGTGCTCTTGAGCGTGGGTGCTCTTGAGCGTGGGTGCTCTTGAGCGTGGGTGCTCTTGGGCGTGGGTGCTCTTGAGGGTGGGTGCTCTTGAGCGTGGGTGCTCTTGGGCGTGGGTGCCCGAAGTGGCCCCTTCCCCTCATCATCTCACCCCCCCTCCTTCCCCCCCTTCCCCCCCCCAACTCCCCACATCCTTCCTGCCATTTCTACCCTTTCCCCCTTTCCCCCCTTCCCTGTGTGCTCCCCGCCCACAGACCTCCTCAAGCACGACAAGGTGCTTGCCAAGGTCGCCCCTTCCCCGCACCTCAAGGTCCTCCCAACATACCTGCGTGCCGAGGCTGTCACGGAGGCTCGGCGCAAGTTCCTGACCGAACTTCCTCCTGCAGAGCAAGACAGTAGGGACGGGGGAAGAGGAAGGAGAGGGGGGAGAGGAGGGAAGGGAGGAGGGGGTTTCAATCGAGGACGCAGGGGAAGGGGTGGAGGAGGGGGGCGGGGAGGGGGTGGTAGAGGAAGGGCAGGCAGGGGTAGATCGAACGATCCTCTGAAAACGTTCAGTGCGAAGTAAGGGTTGACTGCATGTCATGAATGAATGCATTTGTCATACCAGTAAATGAACGGTGTGTTGGAAATGATAAAAGCATGCTGTAACAATACGCGAAGACCACAACATCAAGGGCCGATGAGTCAATCCCTTCTACAGTACTTCTGACGGTTGACGGCAGGGCTAATTTTTCATTATACGGAGGACACAGGGTTCGCCTCACAGAAGAGACCTTGAAAGTTCAGAATTCCCAGGAAAATCCCTCTGTTTCTCAAGATTCCCCTGAAGCTTTCATATTTCCCGCTTTGCACATGCAGGATAGTTCGGCACGAAGCGTCTTAGAGCATCGAAATACACAATAACTGTCAGCAAACTTTCACCTTCACGTGAAGTACCGTATTCCCCCATATATAACACCTGCCAAAATAGTCACTCCATGGGTGTCATATGCGGGGCATAGCTTATGATATGGTACATTTTTTAGAGCACCCGTTTTTTAGACCTTGCATTGTACATAACACCCTCTATCGTTTTTTCACGTCAAATCCTTTTTTTTTTTTTTTTTTTTTTTGGGAATGTTACAGCATCAGTTGCAGCAAATTACTCAAAGCTACTCTACCTATGCTAGCTACACCTACATGGCGTACTCTACTGCATCTACAACAGGACGTCAAATCTAGTCAATAGCTATGTCTACTATCAATCCTCCTCCTCCTCATATTCCTCTCCAGCATGCCACACCTCTGCATCTTCATTGTCGGAGGCAATATCATCCCAGTCAAAATCATCAGTCCAATGGGACGCAGCCAGGCCAGCAAGAACCTCCGCCTCCAGCATCTCTCCGCCATCGCCCTCGTCATCTTCGCCAGCAGGGACCTCTGCTCCTGTTGCTGCTATTGCTGAGGCTTTTGCTGTTGCACATGCTGCTGTGTCCAGGGACGAGTCTGCTACTGCTGTTGCTCCTGCGACATCCGCCTGCGGCGTTCTAGAGGACGAGGCAGAAGTCGCAGCATCGATCTCGGTCTCCACATCTGGCTCGTCGTCCTCCACGTCTGGCGCAACACTGGGCTCGATGTACTCCACGTCGTAGAAGGGATACCGTGCCCCACTCTCCTCCATTTCGGCGTGCACATCGTCCATTACCTCGACCTCCGCGTCGTCCCGCATGTGGTCAAGAATCACCTCGTCCTCTGTGCCGTCGGTCGCGTTGGAGATGCCGCACGTCTTGAACGCGCGGCGGATGAGTTCTGCCGGCACCGCGGCCCACGCGTCAGCAATCCACTGCAACACAAGCTCGGCCGGTGGTTTGCGAAGGTTCCCTGGCAGGCAGAAACATAAACAGGGCACGATAGTTAGTCTTGAGTAAATAACGGGGCAAACGCAAGCCATGTGAACCAGAGTCAACAAAAGACTAATCACAGAATACACGTCGACAACAAAACATGGTGCTCACCAGCAGTAGTGGTCGACTCGCAGCCGAACTCTTCGAACCACTCGCTGTACGATCGACGGACGCGCGCCTTGACGCAGCGGTTCACTGCCACGTCCAAAGGTTGTACGATAGGCGTGCATCCGCCGGGAATGACTGCACGGGAGAGCTTGAATAGGCGCATCAACTGAGACACTCCCTCAGTGAGGTGACCCTTGTACGAGTCGAGGACCAACAGCGCCTTCTGACGGCCACCACGCCTCACATGGATGGTGCGCAGGAATGGCACGAGGACGGTGGTGACCCAATCCTTCACGTGCGCCTCGTCCATCCAGCCCTTCTCCTGGGCTTTGATGACAATCCCTGCACATGCAAATAAAGCGAGATAATTAGTGGTCATCGTTATCTTGGTGAAAGAATATTCACTGGATGCATGCGTAAACAGTTACAAATGATTATTACCTGGTGGGACTCGAATGCGCGGCACAGTTTTCTGCTTGAAGATGACATACGGCTTCAGTTTTTTGCCGCTTGCTGTGACTGCCAGCATGACGATCAATCTCTCCTTCTCGTACCCGGCCGTCCGCACATGAACCGTTCTTGAACCGCGGACCTCGAGGGTGGTTTCCTGCGGCATCTCTAGGAAGAGTGGCGTCTGATTGGCGTTGATGATCAGGTCGTCGGGGTACTCGTTCAGCATGCGGAGTTGCCGAACGAACTCCTATGATTTCTCAACCTTGGCTTCACAGTCTGCCAGTATCAAAAGACACGATACAAGAAAGAAGAGCATCAGTACTAAATGGCCAGGAAGCAATTCAGTCGACTGTAACAGATGTCGCATGAACGCAACATAGAAATAGAGTGGCAAGAGAGGAAAGACCACGAGATGGGACGACAGCTTACCGGCGGTCATGCGTTGGCCCATCTTTGTCTTCACGCGCTTCGTCAATCCCCAGCGGGCGCGGAACCGAAACGTCCAGCGCGAGGAGGCACGCCAGTCGACGCCGGGGTGGTGCTTCCTCATGTACTTCCGGCTCCATTTCTGCAGCGTGCTGATCGAGACAGCTAGCCCACGCGCGCGGTGTCCAAGGAACTTCTTGTAAATCTCTTGCTCCATCGTCGGGTACTTCGACTTTCTTCTGGAGCCGATGAGACGACGCCTGCAACCAGTAGCAATAGTGAGGCGAGCCTTGTTCTTCTTCCAGTCACGAATCTGGCACGGCTGCACTCCAGCCATGCGAGCGAAACAGCGCTTGGACAAATCCGGATCAGCCTCCATCTTCGCCAGCCAGTATAGCTTCTCAGTAGCCATCCGCGCAACTCGCTTTCGATTCGTCCTGCGAACCCTGGGGGAGGGAAGTGCAGCATCATGGTTAACCCTGGGCATGGTAGGACGACGTTGTGCTTGTGGGAAACGGGGAACGACAACGCGAGGAAGCAAGCGGGGAGGTTCAGGCTCGCCGTCGGCGGCCTCCTCCCAGTAGAGCTCGTCATCGTCATCTTGCCACGCGTTGTCCCACTCCGGGGCACGAGTGGCTATTGGCGACCAACGACCAGGTGGAGCAGGAGGAGCGGGTGGCGCCGGTGGGGTAGGAGGAGCAGGTGGCGCAGGTGGTGCACTGGATCCGTAGCAGGGCAGGTGGAGCAGGAGGTGCGGGAGCTGCCGTAGAAGTTCTTGGAGCCGGGGGAACTGGTGGGAACGGCCTAAGCAAAGTCTGGTTCCCAAACTGAGGGTGATGAGGTCGTAACAAGACAACACCACTAACTGCTTGAGCGGCCTTGGATCGAATGCTAGACGAAAAGGTGTCGGTGCTAACTAGGCGACATTGAGCAATGCCCGAGCCTCTGTTAGAGCGCCCGGGTATTACGACAGGTTTTGAGAGTGAGCGAACCGATTGAAGAGCAGGAATTCGTTACAGGTGGTTTTCGGTCAGGATGATTTTCGGGCCCATGCGGATGGCTCCGGGTCCCGCAAGAAAACGTTCTGAAATAGTCAGGAGGTTTGTGAAATCGACCCTATTAAAATCCAGGTTCCAACGCAAAACACCCAGAATGTACCTGACATTCCGGATGTTTACCTGTGAACCGAAAGCCCTGGTTGACGCATGTTGGCGATACCTCGCAGAGGTTACGAAAGGTCAACGGTCGCAGACAGTTGATCGTACAACCCAACAGTCAGAAGTACAGGAGTCAAGTTAGCGCGACAACAATGACAAATAAACGTCACGGTATTACAGCATGGGTGGTTACCCAAGTCGCTCTTATCGAGTCGTAAAAGAAATGTACCCCTCGAAGAGCATAATCAGTTAGACTATTCGTATTCTCTTGTATTATTATATAAACCTTTGTATCCTTTTGCTATAATCAATCACTTGTTCTCACATACCAGTACAAGGGTTTATCCAGATTTCCACTGTGCTATCAAGCACTCTGTTAACAAGGACTTAGTCTTATGAAAAGTGTCAACGTATATATTTTATATATATGTGTGTATAGGCTAGGTAGGTGTATTGCATATCCTAGATCCTATTGTAGAGGGTACAACCCCCTTCCTGCATCCCTCTCTCTTCTAGTCCCTACCCCTTCTCTCTCGACATTTTCTCCTAGCCTAAAACCTCTTGCTACTTTCCTATGCCTAGCTCCTAAGCTAAGCGATCTTGACATGGTATCAGAGCAGGTCCATAAACTCGGGCCTACTCACCACGCTTCCGCAACATTCGCTCATCCCTCCTGTCCTCTCCACGCTGCCGCCAGGCCATGTCGTGCTGCCGTGACGGTGCCGTCGTGCTGCCGTGGCAGCGTCGACGCGCCAGCGCACGGACGGCACGGACGGCAGCGGCCAGCACCCGGTCTTAGTGCTGGCCAGCACGCCCGCATGCAGCCAACACGCCACACGGGGCGGCACGCTCCCTGGCTCCGCTGCTGAAGCCCCACCCCCCTTCCCCTGCGTCCCCTCTGCCTCGCCGCAGCTGATGGCTGACTCGCGTGGGCCTTTCCACCGTCGCGGAGTCAGGCCACTCCGCCGAGTGCTGCGAGCTCCGCCGCCGCCGCCACCACAGCTAGTGCCGCTGGCCTCGCCGCCGCACGCTGCCGCAGCCGCCGCTATCGTCGCTGCCGCCGTCGCCGCTGTTGCAGCCGCTGCCCTCCTTGCCGACGTCGCTGCCTCGCACGCCGAGGGTTGACCATGCTGGAGAAGCCGTCACTACTGTTGAGTATGGGGGTGCTAGGCTTAGGGGGTGTGTGGCTTAGTGTGTTGAGTGCGTGGTGTGTTTTCTTTTGATCTGCATTACTACTAAAACTAGTGGACATGCTAGTAGTACTGCCCTGGTCTATTCTCTGTATATCGCCTACCAAGCCTAGGGGGTGTGTCAACATATATTATATACATATATATACATATATGTATGTATATGTATGTAAAGGCTGGGTAGGTATACTGCATATCCTGGATCCTACTGTAGAGGGTACAACCCCCTTCTTGTATCCCTCTCTCTTCTAGTCTCTACCCCTTCTCTCTCGACATTTTCTCCTAGCCTAAAACCTCTCGCTACTTTCCTATGCCTCGCTCCTAATCTAAGCTATCTTGACAAAAAGATCCTACGGCTATTCTCAGCCCAACACGGTGTATTGTTTATATTGTGAAAAACTGTAAAAACGTCTGTGTGAAGGAGTGGTTGAATGCATGTCATGAATGAATGCATTGTCATACCAGTAGGGTGCAGTAGCAGCAGCAGCAGGAGCAGCTCCAGTCTCCAGCATTAAGGTCCCTATGTCTAAACTTCCAACAAACCAGGGTTGACCTGAGGCTCTAGTCCAACCAGGGTTGATTCTGATGCAACTTTGTAGGAGTACACGCAACGCAACAGTACCCAGTGAATGAGAAAAATCTATATTGGGAAGGGAGGAAGCAACCAGGGCGCATTCCTATGGCAGATGTTCCCCTTACTAAACGTGCCCCTTATCAGACTGGACGACAGCGCCTGTGAAGGGCAAACAGCACTAGGCATTGCAGAAAACTCTAAAAAACACATTGGTTGTTGTTATGTCGAAATAATGAGCGGGGAGTGGTTAGGGGAGTGGCACTAAGGAAGCTCTTCTTTCAGCCTATGAAAGCGTACTGTACTGGCGATGCTTTCTTTCTGGATATTTGCAGTGACTGATCCATGGCGTTGAGGAATTGGCTGAGGTTCGTTTCGCGAGCTCATTTAATAACATTGAGCCTCTTGCCCAAGGAACGGGAGCCGCTAGCGTTACAAGGTAGAGGCGCGAAGAAACAAGAGGGACTACGCTGTACCAATGCCTAGGCAGGGAAGAAGAAACAAGGGTGGGATAGGACTGGTCACTGGATTGGAGTTGGGACTGCTTTCCGCATAGTTGATTCCCGCATAATTTTCCACTCTTTTTGTTATCTAAGCATTGCCTGATCTATGGTGGTGAAACATGGCGGTGAGGACCAGCGCGAAGGAAGTAAGAGGTTCTGGTAGGCAATACAAGAACTTGGCTTGGGGGGTGGGGCTGGGTTGAAACTGGGAGGTTTGGGAGGGAAACGGAAACGGAATCAGTCAGTGACGGAATCCTCGAGGTTTGTGAACAGAGCTCGTCAGTACAGCTGATTCTGTGTATGTCAGATTCTGTGACATCCGCCGCACCAAATTCCCCGTTACCGCGCTCAATGTCACATCGACCTTTCCATGAGTTCATGGACAGTTGTGATTGGTCTCTCGTGAGCGGCTCGCGGAGAGTTTTTAAATTGTGTCACCCTGGTTTGTTTTTTACACCTAAAACGTTTTAGTCCGACGTTTCTGCGTGCGTGTCAAGTGATTGTTGGAGATCGTGAACGAAAACGAAGTTGAAACCACCGCTATCATCATGGAGACAATTTGGATGCCACTTATAAAACAATGGGCTTACATAAGAGTAGTTCTCAAGACAATTTCTAGAGATATCCTACATATCCGACCATAACCCCAGCGGGTCACTTATTCTCAACCTGCAACTTACAACTTGACCCCTCTTGGCCTCACTTATTCTCAACCTGCAACTTACAACTTGACCCCTCTTGGCCACTAGGGGCAAGCCCCTAGCGTTCACCCGAGCACCACGATGAGGTGGGGGTCATTCGCTCGGGAAAAAAGGGGGGAAAGAAGGAAATTTATTAGTTCTGCCACGGGCAGAAAACCACCTCAAGAAGGCCTCATGCTCATGGGGAGAAGAGAGGAGTGCTGCTGCTGCAGAGTGGCGAAGGTCGATGGTGATTGTAACGAGCAGCTGCAGAGGAGGTTGCGAGGAGAGACCGTCCCTACTGTAACGCGATCGTCCTATGTAACGCCGTTCGGTAACGCGATCGTCCTATGTAACGCCGTTCGGTAACGCGATCGTCCTATGTAACGCCGTTCGGTAACGCGACCGTCTTATGTAACGCCGTTCGGTAACGCGTCGTCCAATGTAACGCCCTTCGGTAACGCGATCGTCCTATGTAACGCCCTTCGGTAACGCGATCCGTCCTAGGTAACGCCCTGCGATCGTCCTAGATAACGTGCCTGTAGTAACGCCGTCAGTAAGGTACCGTCCCCATACTTAACCTTTCCGCCCATCCATTCTCCTCTCCCCCTTGTGCGCATACCTGAGGTATGGCGGGAGGAGGGGAAGAGAGAGAGAGAGGAGGGAGTCATGACGTCCGTAGCCTCCACCCGTGCCGAAACCTGCATCTTAGAGCCAACCGAAATACGTTAGTACGGGAAAACAAAAAAAAGCAGAAGCAAAAAAGCACGAAATTGATAGTACCTCAAAGGTCCGCCGTTGGCGTGGGGACCCGAGGAGAAGTGGGAGAGGGAGGGTTCGATGGAGAGGACAGGGCCGGGGCTGCCATGCCTCTCCACCTCCCCCTGCCCCCATCCCCCCCCCCCACGACCCCCACAGGCCCCCCTTGAGCAGTCGTAAGTCTTGGACGGTCTTCGACGTCTTGGACGGTCTTCACTTGGACGTCTTGGACGGTCTTCACTTGGACGTCTTGGACGGTCTTCACTTGGACGACTTGGACGGTCTTCACTTGGACGTCTTGGACGGTCTTCACTTGGACGTCTTGGACGGTCTTCACTTGGACGTCTTGGACGGTCTTCACTTGGACGTCTTGGACGGTCTTCACTTGGACGTCTTGGACGGTCTTCACTTGGACGTCTTGGACGGTCTTCACTTGGACGTCTTGGACGGTCTTCACTTGGACGTCTTGGACGGTCTTCACTTGGACGTCTTGGACGGTCTTCACTTGGACGTCTTCGACGGCCTTCACTTGGATGTCTTCGACGGTCTTCACTTGGACGCCTTCGACGGTCTGCACAAACAGCTGGAAAAAACAAAGCCAAAAAAACCGGTCAGCACTGTCCGGGAAAAGAAAAAGCTGGAAATTGCACTTACCGTTTAGGTAGTAGAGCCGTCAGGCGCCGACACCAACGATGGAGAAAGGTGTCGACGGCGAGGGTCTTCGTGGACTTGACGAAGCTCGTCAAGGCCATTCTCCGACCTTCGTTATCTTGGGATGTATATGGACCTGCACTTATAAAACAACAGAGAATTAGTGACTCGGTAAAGGAAAAGGCTAAAGGAAGGAACTCATGCTTACCGTGCTGAGCGGCGCGCCCGCGGAGATGGGTGAATTGGTAGCTGCAGACTTCACGCGGGACCATACCATATAGCTGTTACCTTTAAAAAAATAGCTGTTACCAACTGTTTATAAGGGGGGGGGTCCTTTGTGAGAGGTCCGCAGCCAGAGGAGGAGGATAATAAGGTAGGTGGTAAGAGGAGGAGGAAGCGGGTGGATGGTAGGAGGACCGCCTCCAGGCTCCGCGTTGCAGGAGGAACGCTCAAGGTAACCTCAACGGAAGAGGAATGATCGGATCTAGAATCTCTCTGAACTTCCAAAACGGAAGAATATAAAAAGAAATGACGGAGTGGGACTCAACTATATAGGGAATTCCGTGAGGGGAGAACCTCCAGGGACGGGACTTGAGAGACTGGTTTGGTGGTGCTGCTGCTGCTCCATTGTGGGTGTGCCTCGCCGCCATGTCAGAGCCGCGCCATTAAATGTTTGACTCCACATACAATTCAGCGGCGAACCGAAACGCGCACGCGGAGAATTTCGTGCAAGCCCTGACAAGCCTCACTGTAGCTGTTTTGGTTGGTGTACAATGGTGTAGAGTGTTGGTGAAGCTTGGTTAACTTTTGTGTTCTTTAGATTGAATTTGTTTTGGTTTCGTTTTGTTTCGTTTCGCTAAGCGCAAATAGTTTTTATTGGGTCAGGTTGGGAGTAGTGTGGGGCTGGCAAGTTCATGAGGAAATCGTGGGCAGGCACGAAATCCTAGGAGGTTGTTGACGTGGCACTAGTTTTTTTATGCGTAGTGGAAACCAATTGTTTTGCGTGAGGTGCGGGACGGCATGGGTGAGGAGAGCTAGAGTATGGGTTGAAGCCAGGGGCAGTTGAATTTAGTTGAGCTGCTTTTGCCGCTCGTTTTGCTTCTGCCAAACCACGCTTCGGGCAGATGAAAAGCATGGAATATCTGGGGGGAAATCTCGCGAACTAATGGGGATGGAAAGGTGTCCTCAGCATCACTTTGCGGTAGAGTCACAAGGTTATCACCTGGACTTGGCTTCACATCCACACCCCATATCGTCATGGAATAGTCAGTGCTAGACAAGACTGTTTTCGTAGTACCGTAGATAGTCACGCCTCGTAGCTTCGTACCGTGCCATATTGTCCGCTTCAAATCGCCGCACTATTTGTGCCGCTTCGTATCCTCGATAGTATTGGCTTGGACAGACAGATCCGTAACTAATTTCAGTCACGTCAGATCTTAGTTCCGTGGCGTATCTTAGATTCTCATTCATAGCTAATATTGGTCGCGACTCAGAGATGAATTTCTTGGCTTATGCTAGTCGCGACTCTGATTTCGATTCCGGCGTATCGATCTCAGTAAGGTACCTAAGATCTATGTCCTGAGGCCATAGTTAGCAGCAGTAGCATGCGAGCTCGCCACTCGTAGATCGTACGCCTCACTCCGAAATGCTTGCTTGCCATGCGTTAGCCCTATCGTTGCCTCAACCCGAAATGCATTTTAGTGCTCTGATTTCGGCGCAGATTTCGGCGCAGCCCTGAACCTATCGCATCGACAATGTCGAGCTGACGCGCGGAGACGAGGCGCTGACTCGCAGGCCTACTTGGTGACCTGCGGTGGTGGGTCCGCTACCGCTCGACCGGTCAATTGCGAGGGAAGGGACGGATCGCGGTAGGTGAGAGAGGGCGGGGGAGTGGGTAGTGGGGAGGGGAAGGGCTGGGGGGAGGGGAAGGGAGGGAGGAAGCGGGGGGGAGAGACGAAGGGAGTACATAAGTGGGAGGGTGCGAGGGGGAGGGACTGTTTTCTGGAGTTTTCTGGATGCAAGAGCATGACTGCGAGTTTAGGCCTTATCCTCTGTTCCCACCCCCATTCCCGTTCGTCTTCCCCTTCCTCCGTCGTTCACCCCTCACCCCCGCCCCCTCCGTTCACTCCTTCATTCCCCCGTCACTCAGCTCCCATCCCCTCCGCCGTTCACCCCTCCTTCCCCCCCCCCTTGACTCACCCCCCATCCCCTCCGCCGTTCACCCCTCATTCCCCACTTCACTCACCTCCCATCCCCTCCGCCGTTCACCCCTCATTCCCCCCTTCACTCACCCCCCATCCTCTCTGCCGTTCACCCCTCATTCCCCCCTTCACTCACCCCCCATCCCCTCTGCCGTTCACCCCTCATTCCCTTCTTCACGCACCTCTCATCCCCCCTCCGTTCACCCCTCATCCCCCCTTTTCCCCCCTTGCACCCTTCATCCCCCCGTCCCCAGGCCCTCCTCTTCTTCCCCTCGTCACCAGGCCCTGGACTTTACATGCATGCGCTCAGTGCATTCGGGCTGGTGGGGATATTGCGTCTCCTTCTCCCAATCCCTCTCCACCCCCCAGGACCGTTGCTCTCTATGCTATGCTCTCTGCATTAACCTCACTCATCCCATGTCATAGCCCCCCTTTTGGTATTAGTATTATCTGACCTCTCACCCGTTCACACCTTGCAATCTCCTACAGTTGGCTGGTGGCATGTGCCCAACATACCACATGACTCAGCGGAACGGTACTGGCCAGTGTCAAGCACGGATGGATGGAGCGGATTTGCGTTTTACTGATGTGGCTCAATCGGCATTTAAATCTGACTTGCAGCGTTAGAGTCATTAGCTAAAATAGCAAACCCCAACCAAGTTAGGTTTAAAAAAAAAGGATGGCAAGCTTTATACCACTTCGATCATGATAGCCGAATAAATTTAATTTACAGAAACAGCCACAGGCTCACTTCGAACTTGCCCCCACCACACATCATGCTCGCGGAATGTCGGCATCGTTGGGGGCGCCAACATTCAACTACGCTGCGCCCAGACAGAAAACCTCGCAGCGCAGCGGCGGGCCCTTTGCGGACACGAATCTGCTGGGGGCTCTGCGCGTCACCGCGAAACTCGTCAGTTGTGGGCCCACTAAGATTGTTCTCGGCCGTTAGATGCATCGGGATTGCCCATCGGCAGTTCCTGTACATGTCAATCTTCCGCAATCACTGGGGTTCCTGTCAGGTGTGCGGGGTTCATGGGGTGGCCTCCTGCTCAGGTTCGCAGAGCCGCGCGTGGTCCTAGTGATGCGGGTTTTCGTAGCTTTTCCTACGATTAGCGGTTACGTGTTTCGCGAAGGCTTTCTACAGGTGACGAACAGCAAGTTTCTTCCGTCAATAATTCCGTTCGCAAAAACTGACGGAATCAGTTATCCCCTCCGCCATGTATGCGGCGGTTTCCGCCTGGGGCTCGAGAGACTTCCCCTTCCTCCTCGTGCTCCTCCTCACCCGAAGCTACCGTTGTGCTCTCTCCGGAATGGAAATTCGGAATTCCCAAGGTTCGAGAAATTGAATTTCTCACATTCATGGCGTCCCTTCACTCCATGCATCGTCGATTACCTCAGCATGAGCGCAGACTACGCTTATTCCGTACCGCTAGCTTGTTGACTAAGGATTTTAACGCTTATTTCGCCACAGCTGCCGTCAAATATCCTTCCGTCAAATAGCCATCAGATTCATGGCAGATCCCGCTAGTCCTGTCCCATATGGTGAGAATCTGAGATTCCTATAGGCTGAGAATTTACCGTTTATTTATGGCTTACTTATTCCCTTCGGGAATGCGGTCTGGTCGAAGTATCCGTCTTTCCCGTAGTATGGTGGAGAGAATCCGGGTAGTTGAGCCAGCTTGTCGTTATTCGGATTATTTGCCGCTTACTTAGCTTCATATTAGACTGTTCTGACACATCAGCAAGCTTCCTAGGCTGACACTTTGATACTTCTTAGCTGAGAAACCTAGTCTCCCTGCTGTTGACAGTTCTTCACGGCTTCACCGCGCTTCACCGCTGACGGTTCTTCACGGCTCTAGTTCCCGCGAGTGCTTTCGCGGCAACGGCGCAACTCGCCGGACGGTTGAGCTTGAAAGATCGAGCAGCAACGGTGTAAACCGCGCATACATGGACGGTCGATCTTCGAGCACGGCGAACAGCACGCGAGTCAAACGGCGTCTCACCTGACGGCCAGACGACGAGTGAAGAGCACCGAGTGGCGAACGGGAGAGCGGCGAATGGTGTATGGCGAACGGCGAACGGCTTGTGAAGAGCTGCGAGCGACGAGCGGAAAGCCGTAAGCTTTGAACGGGAGAGCCGCGAACGGCTTGTGACGAGCTGCGAGCTGCGAGCGGCGAGCGGCGAGCGGCGAGCGGCGAGCGGCGAGCGGCGAGTGGCGAGCGGCGAGCTATGAACTTTGACCAGCGAAGGAGCGGCGATGGCGACGAGCCTTGCGCTGCGATGGCGACGACCCGCGTGCGACGACGGTGACGACCCGCACGCGACGACTGCGACGACCCGCACGCGACGATTGCGACTCGACGACCCGCATGCGACGATGGCAACGACCCGCACGCGACGATTGCAACGCGACGACCGGCGCGCGACGATGGCGATGACCGTTGCGCGACGACGGCAACGACCCGCGCGCGACGATGCCGACGATGCGCATGCGACGGTGCCGACGACCCGCACGAGAGTGCTGCTGGGAGTGCTGCTGTCTGGAGTGCTGCTGCTGGGAGTGCTGCTGTGGGGAGTTCTGCTGTTGGGGGTGCTGCTGGAGGGAGCACGTGCTGCAGCCACCATTACGGCTAAGTCTTCTCATCCTTTGCCTATCTTCAACAATTGCTTCCCATTAATGCTTGCTTATTCCTTCCATAATTGCTGGCTTTGCTCGTCCTAAAAATGGGGATCAAAAGCTCGTTTTGGGTTGATGGGCGCATGGCGATGGTAGCGCATGGCACCGGGGCGGAAGGCGTCATACTAGAGTTGAAGGGGCTTAGAAACGCATTCATCCTCATGCCTGCGTCCCTCTCTTACCTAGTCCTCCTCGCATGCTAGCTCCATGCCCTGGTGCCGTGTGCTACCATCGTCTATTCTCTTTTAGTTGGGCCTTGCACAGTGTTTCACAAGATGCATTCTCGTTATCGCTTTTGCTTCTCGCAAACAGAGTCATTTTTTTTAATATTCCAATTTTCATGCACGTATCTTTTGCTTGTTTTACCACGTACCTCTGACCAGCTGTGAGACCAGCTGTGAGACCAGCTGTGAGACCAGCTGTGAGCCCAGCTGTGAGACCAGCTGTGCGACCAGCAGTGAGACCAGCTATGAGACCAGCTGTGAGACCAGCTGTGAGACCAGCAGTGAGACCAGCTGTGTAACCTGCTGTGTGACCAGCTATGAGACCAGCAATGAGACCAGCAATGAGACCAGCTGTGAGACCAGCTGTGAGACCAGCTGTGGCACCAGCTGTGAGACCAGCTGTGAGACCAGTTGTGAGACCAGCTGTGAGACCAGCTGTGAGACCAGCAGTGAGACCAGCTGTGAGACTAGCTGTGAGACAAGCTGTGAGACCAGCTGTGAGACCAGCTGTGAGACCAGCTGTCCGACCAGCTGTGAGACCAGCTGTCAGACCAGCTGTGAGACCAGTTGTGAGACCAACAGTGAGACCAGCCGTGGGACGAGTCGTGAGACCAGTTGTGAGACCAGCTGTGAGACCAGCTGTGAGACCAGCTGTGAGACCAGCTGTGGCACCAGCTGTGAGACCAGCTGTGAGACCAGTTGTGAGACCAGCTGTGAGACCAGCTGTGAGACCAGCAGTGAGACCAGCTGTGAGACTAGCTGTGAGACAAGCTGTGAGACCAGCTGTGAGACCAGCTGTGAGACCAGCTGTCCGACCAGCTGTGAGACCAGCTGTCAGACCAGCTGTGAGACCAGTTGTGAGACCAACAGTGAGACCAGCCGTGGGACGAGTCGTGAGACCAGTTGTGAGACCAGCTGTGAGACCAGCTGTGAGACCAACTGTGAGACCAGCTGTGAGACCAGCAGCGAAACCAGCTGTGCGACCAGCTGTGAGACCAGCTGTGAGACCAGCTGGGAGACCAGCTGTGAGACCAGCTGTGAGACTAGCTGTGCGACCAGCTGTAAGACCAGCTGTGAGACCAAGTCTGAGAACAAAAGTGAGACCACCTGTGGGACCAGCTGTGAGACCAGCAATGAGACTAGCTGTGAGACCAGCTGTGAGACCAGCTGTGAGACCAGTTGTGAGACCAACAGTGAGACCAGCTGTGAGACCAGCTGTGAGACCACGTGTGAGACCAGGGTGCAACCAGCTGTGAGACCAGCTACGAGACCAGCTGTGCGAACAGCTGTGCGACCAGCTGTGAAACTAGCTGCGAGACCAGCTGTGAGACCAGCTATGAGACCAGTTGTGAGACCAGCTGTGAGACCAGCTGTGAGACCAGCTGTGAGACCAGCTGTGAGACCAGCCACGAGACCAGCTGTGCGACCAGCTGTGAGACCAGCTGTTAGACCAGCTGTGAGACCAGCTGTGAGACCAGCTGTGTGACCAGTTGTGAAACCAGCTGTGAGACCATCTATGGGACCAGTTGTGAGACCAGCTGTGAGACCAGTTGTGAGACCAGCAGTGAGACTAGCAGTGTGACCAGCTGTGCGACCAGTGAGACCGGTTGTGAGACCAGCAATGAGACCAGCTATGATTCCAGCTGTGAGACCAGCTGTGTGACCAGGTGTGAGACAAGCAATGAGACCAGCTGTGAAGCCAGCTATGAGACCAGCTGTGAGACTAGCTGTGCGACCAGCTGTGAGACCAGCTGTGAGACCAGCAGCGAAACCAGCTGTGCGACCAGCTCTGAGACCAGCTGTGAGACCAGCTGGGAGACCAGCTGTGAGACCAGCTATGAGACTAGCTGTGCGACCAGCTGTAAGACCATCTGTGAGACCAAGTGTGAGAACAAAAGTGAGACCACCTGTGGGACCAGCTGTGAGACCAGCAATGAGACTAGCTGTGAGACCAGCTGTGAGACCAGCTGTGAGACCAGTTGTCAGACCAACAGTGAGACCAGCTGTGAGACCAGCTGTGAGACCACGTGTGAGACCAGGGTGCAACCAGCTGTGAGACCAGCTACGAGACCAGCTGTGCGAACAGCTGTGCGACCAGCTGTGAAACTAGCTGCGAGACCAGCTGTGAGACCAGCTATGAGACCAGTTGTGAGACCAGCTGTGAGACCAGCTGTGAGACCAGCTGTGAGACCAGCTGTGAGACCAGCCACGAGACCAGCTGTGCGACCAGCTGTGAGACCAGCTGTTAGACCAGCTGTGAGACCAGCTGTGAGACCAGCTGTGTGACCAGTTGTGAAACCAGCTGTGAGACCATCTATGGGACCAGTTGTGAGACCAGCTGTGAGACCAGTTGTGAGACCAGCAGTGAGACCAGCAGTGAGACCAGCTGTGCGACCAGTGAGACCGGTTGTGAGACCAGCAATGAGACCAGCTATGATTCCAGCTGTGAGACCAGCTGTGTGACCAGGTGTGAGACAAGCAATGAGACCAGCTGTGAAGCCAGCTATGAGACCAGCTGTGAGACTAGCTGTGCGACCAGCTGTGAGACCAGCTGTGAGACCAAGTGTGAGACCAGTTGTGAGACCAACTGGGAGACCAGCAGTGAGACCAGGTGTGAGACCAGCTGTGCAACTAGCTATGAGACCAGCTGTGAGACCAGCTGTCAGACCAGCTGTGAGAACAGCTGTGAGACCAGCTGTGAGACCGGCTGTGAGACAAGCAGTGAGACCAGCTGTGAGACCAGTTGTGAGACCAACTGTGAGACCAGCAGTGAGACCAGGTGTGAGACCAGCTGTGAGACCAGTTGTGAGACCAGCAGTGAGACCAGCAGTGAGACCAGCTGTGCGACCAGTGAGACCGGTTGTGAGACCAGCTATGATTCCAGCTGTGAGACCAGCTGTGTGACCAGGTGTGAGACAAGCAATGAGACCAGCTGTGAAGCCAGCTATGAGACCAGCTGTGAGACTAGCTGTGCGACCAGCTGTGAGACCAGCTGTGAGACCAAGTGTGAGACCAAAAGTTAGACCACCTGTGGGACAAGCTGTGAGACTAGCAATGAGACTAGCTGTGAGACCAGCTGTGAGCCCAGCTGTGAGACCAGCTGTGAGACCAGTTGTGAGACCAACTGTGAGACCAGCAGTGAGACCAGGTGTGAGACCAGCTGTGCAACTAGCTATGAGACCAGCTGTGAGACCAGCTGTAAGACCAGCTGTGAGAACAGCTGTGCGACCAGCTGTGAGACCAGCTGTGAGACCAGCTGTGAGACCAGCTGTGAGACCGGCTGTGAGACAAGCAGTGAGACCAGCTGTGAGACCAGTTGTGAGACCAACTGTGAGACCAGCAGTGAGACCAGGTGTGAGACCAGCTGTGCGTCCAGCAGTGACACTAGCTGTGAGAGTGGCTGTGCGACCAGTTGTGAGACCAGTTGTGGGAACAGCTGAGCGACCAGCTGTGCGACCAGCTGTGAGACTAACAGTGAGACCAGCAGTGAGACCAGCAGTGAGACCAGCAGTAAGACCAGCAGTGAGACCAGGAGGGAGACCAGCTGTGAGAGCAGCTGTGAGACCAGCTCTCATACCAGCTGTGAGACCAGCAGTGGGACCGGCTGTGAGGCCAGCTGTGAGACCAGCTGTGAGACCAGCTGTGAGACCAGCTGTGAGACCAGCTGTGAGACCAGCTGTGAGACCAGCTGTGAGACCAGCTGTGAGACCAGCTGTGAGACCAGTTGTGAGACCAGCATTAAGTCCAGCTGTGAGACCAGCTGTGAGACAAGCTGTGAGACCAGCTGTGAGACCAGCTGTGAGACGAGCTGTGTGACCAGTTGTGAGACCAGCAATGAGACCAGCTTTGAGACCAGCTGTGAGACCAGCAGTGAGACCAGCTGTGAGACCAGCAGTGAGACCAGCTGTGAGACTAGCTGTGAGACCAGCTGTGAGACCAGCTCTGAGACCAGCAGCAAGACCAGGTGTGCGACCAGGTGTGCGACCAGCTGTGAGACCATCTGTGAGACCAGCGGTGCAACCAGCTGTGAGACCAGCTGTGAGACCGGCTGTGAGAACAGCTGTGAGAACAGCTGTGAGTCCAGCTGTGAGACCAGCTGTGAGACCAGCTGTGTGACCAGTTGTGAGACCAGCAATGAGACCAGCTGTGAGACCAGCTGTGAGACCAGGAGTGAAACCAGCTTTGCTACCAGCTGTGAGACCAGCTGTGAGACCAGCTGTGAGACCAGCTGTGAGACCAGCTGTCAGACTAGCAATGAGACTAAATGTGAGACCAGCTGTGAGACCACCTGTGAGACCAGTTGTGAGACCATTAGTGAGACCAGCTGTGAGACCAACACTGAGACCAACTATGAGACCAGGAGTGAGACCAGGTGTGAGACCAGCGGTGCACCCAGCTGTGAGACCAGCTATGAGACCAGCTGTGAGACCAGCTGTGAGAACACCTGTGCGACCAGCTGCGAGACCAGCTGCGAGACCAGCCGTGAGACCAGCTGTGAGACCAGCTGGGAGACTGGTTGTGCGACCAGCTGTGAGACCAGCTGTGGGACCCGCTTTTAGATCAGCTGTGAGACCAGCTGTGAGACCAACAATGAGACTAGTTGTGAGACCAACTGTGAGACGACCTTGACTTAGTTACTGCAGACAGAGATGCACTAGCCTCTGTGAAGGCTGGGCTTATAAGAAGACTCACTTGCAATGACCTAGGAGAGTTGCGTCGGTAATCTTTGCCTGCAGATCTTCAGGGACAGAGCAGCGCGCACCATCATTTTTATACAGTCACACTTGGTGCGCCAGGTCCTTCAGAGGTTCGATCTTCAGTTCTCCTCTGCCGCACAGCTCACACCTCTGCCAGTAGTTTATTGGCTCTCGGCTCAAGTATTTGAGGAGTCTGTAGAGCCTAATGGTTCTTACACAGAGCTGATGGGTTCCCCCATGTACCTGATGACTTGTACTCGTCCAGATCTCGCATACCGTCTCAGCATCCTGGCTCGCTTTGTAGCCACGGGCAGATACTGACCACAGCACTGGTCGACCGTTAAGAGGGTTTTGCGTTATTTAGCAAGTACATTGGGCATGAGGCTATTGCTCGGAGGACGTAGGCCAGTGGTCCTAATAGCGCACATAGACGTTTCATGGGGAGACGACGCTGAGACACTTAGGTCCTCCTTGGGCGATTGCTTTAGCCTTGGTGCAGGCGTCATCTCGTGGAGGTCCACTCGCTCCTCGTCTGTTGCCCAGTCTAGTTGTGAGGCGGAGATCTGCGCTGGTGCCATGGCGGCACAGGAGCTCCGTTGGCTAACTTTCTTGCACACAGACTTAGGTGAGTGGCCTAGCTCTGTCCTAGTCCTATACGCTGACAACAAGGTCATGATCGTCCTGTGCCAGGAGACTCGACTGGAGGGCAGAGCGAAGCACATCCAGCTGCGGTACTTTCTCCTGCGCGAGCTACAGCAGCGCCGCCAGACCCGCGTAGTTCATTTGGCATCTAGTGCCAACACAGCTGATATCTTTACGAAGGCGCTTGCGCCTTAAGGTAATCAGTCGCACTGTGTACAAGTTGGTCTAGTTCTTGTAGCTTCTCACTTGCTAATGTTAAAATTATATAAGTTATAATTTTATATAGGCTTTGTAGGTTGTTACTGAACCTTTCTGTAGAGGGTACAAACCCCTCCTTGTACTCCTCTCTCTTCCTAATCATGCCTCTTCTTTCTCGTCAACTCTTCTCCTCACGCTTCTAGATCTACTTTCCGCACGCCATTCCATGGCGCCCTTCCTTCCTTCCTAGCTAAGCTAGGGTCCTAAGTTTAGTTCCTATCCTAAGCTTCTTTGACATGGTATCAGAGCCGGTCGTGTCCACCGGACCCTCTCCCTACGTTCCCGTTGCGTACTCCTGCTGCATTCGCAGCCTTCGCGGTTTTCTGCCTGCCTGCCGTCGCGGCACTAAGATGTCGCGACGGCCCCTTGTTGCCTGCCGTCGCGGCGCCAGGATGTCGCGACGGCCCCTTGTTGCCTGCCGTCGCGGCACCAAGATGTCGCGACGGCCCCTCGTTGCCTACCGTCGCGGCGCCAAGGTGTCGCGACGGCCCCTTGGTGCAGCCGTCGCCCGTCCGCCTCGCCGCTGCGACATTGACGGTGCGCTGTGGCGGCGTCTACGGCAGCCGACGGCATCGTCGGGCTGCGGCCGGCCGAGCGACGTCTGTGGCGTCGCCGGGCCTGCCGCCCGCTCGCCAGCCACGGGCGTCCCTCAGGACGACGTCCTCCCGCCAGTAAGCGCCGCGCCATTTATGGCGCGTCGCTGAAGACTCGCCCCGCCCCCCCCCCCCCCCCCCCCCCATTCTCCCTTCCCCCTGCGTCTTCCCTTCCTCCTGTCGCAGCTGCTGTCTTCTGCCCGGACGTTGCCACATCGCCGAGAGCCCTCAGCCGCGGCGGTCGCTGCCTGTTATCAGCGACCCAGCCGCCTTGAGCCAGAGCTCCGCCGCTGCTTGTCGCTGACCCGCCCAGACGCCGTAGGCTGCCTCGTGTACGGGGGTGTGTCAACGCTTTGCACGAGGGTCAGATACCCGGCTAAGCACGAGCTTGAGGGTGTGCGGGGTTAGGGGGTGGGTTGGGTGGGTGTGTGACTACCAAGCCTAGGGGATGTGTGAAAATTATATAAGTTATAATTTTATATAGGCTTGATAGGTTGTTACTGAACCTTTCTGTAGAGGGTACAAACCCCTCCTTGTACTCCTCTCTCTTCCTAATCATGCCTCTTCTTTCTCGTCAACTCTTCTCCTCACGCTCCTAGATCTACTTTCCGCACGCCATTCCATGGCGCCCTTCCTTCCTTCCTAGCTAAGCTAGGGTCCTAAGTTTAGTTCCTATCTTAAGCTTCTTTGACAGCTAAGACCTTTATTGTGTATCACTTCTTCTACTATCTTGAATGGCCTTGTGGCTCTTGTCTCAGTGGCTGGACTAGTAGTGCCGCCCAGGGTGATTCTTGTTTCCTTTGTACTCGCGCTGACTGGTCTTCAGACCCTTGCCTCAGAGGTTGGGCTAGTAGAGACATCCTGATTTGCGTGTCTCTTGCTAGTCTTTGCCCCTTGTCTAGCCTAAGGGGTGTGTCAACATATATTTGTATATGTTATAGGCTAGATAAGTGCATGCTCATAGAGAGTACAACTCCTTAAGATAAAACCACCCTGTAGCACTCATTCTAGTCCATTGCCTTATTCTCAGACAGTTGTGAGACCAGCTGTGAGACTAGCAGTGAGACCAGCTGTGAGACCAGCTGTGCGATCAGCTGTAAGACCAGCTGTGGGACCAGCTGTGAGAATAGCTGCGAGACCAGTAATGAGACCAGCTATTAGACAAGCTGTGAGACCAGTTGTGAGGGCAGCTGTGAGATCAGCTATGGGACTAGCTGTGCGACCAGGTGTGGGACTAGCTGTGATATCATCACCCAGCATCACCCAACACCCAGCACCCAGCATCACCCTGCACCCAGCATCACCCAGCATCACCCATCTGTTGAGTGACCCGCTGGGGTTGCCCTTGAGATCCTCGGGGAAGGGCCACAGGTGCAGAGCCTGGGGGGCTATGGGCGCACTTACCCGCTATTCAACAAGCCCTTTTAACCCAGTGGTTAGTCACTGGGTTTCTGACATGGTACATCAGAGCCAAAGGTCATGGGTTCAACTCCCGGTGCTAGCGCAGCAGAGGCGCTCGTGTCTTCCACCTATCCCAGCGGGGGGGGGGTGTTGAGTGACCCGCTGGGGTTGCCCTTGAGATCCTCGGGGAAGGGCCACAGGTGCAGAGCCTGGGGGGCTATGGGCGCACTTACCCGCTATTCAACAAGCCCTTTTAACCCAGTGGTTAGTGACTGGGTTTCTGACACCATCACCCATCATCACCTAGCATCACCCATGAGTGAATCACCCCATGGCCGAGTGAATCACCCCTTGGCTGAGTGAATCACCCATTGGCCGAGTGAATCACCCCTCGGCCGAATGACACATCCGGCTTGCATCTGACCAGAAAGACCTAGGGGTGATTCACTCAGCCAGAGCCAGAGCCCTGGTCTTGACCCACTCAATTCCTGTTCCTCTTTTGTTTTCTGCTGCATTCGCGGAATAGCCTCTGCTGGGACCTTAGGCAGCAGTTTCTGCTTTAACTGGTGCAGTAAATTGCATGCATTGCGGAGAGGCGATGAGTGCATGCAAGAGCGTCAGAAGACCGCTTATCAGTCTCGCACGTCAATGTGTAGTGCGAGTTTGACACGAATCGGTTTAATGCGGTATAACTGTTCAACGCTTGGAACTCTCATCACTCAAGCGAATGTAGGAGTCTGATAAGGGCGAGTCTGATATGAGGCTTGTAGGTAAATGCTCTTAGGCATTTGCTTTAGTGCATGATAGTGTGTTTTATCACAAGACTTCACGAGTTTATCTCCTTTATTGCACATCGTGGTTGTGCGTTACACAATGCGGAGAGGAGAGGCAAGCTGACTAACCCAGTTACGAAAGCGGACCACCGCAGGAGGTGTTCACAAATGCCGGTACCATTTAGAGCACCAGGCGGTCTCGTGCATAGATACAATTCGGAGAGGCTATGTGGGGGTTGGCCCTCATGATGTCTGCTACAGAGAGCCCCTCTCTCACTGCGATCCCAGAAAGCGTCTCCCCCGGTTGCACCTCGTACACCCTCATCCCTTTGGTCCTACCAGCGGACTGGTTACTACCAGTAGGCGCATTCCCAGCCTTCATCGCATTACCAGTTGCAGCACTTCCCCTACCACCACTGGCCGTCGTCGTCTTGACGAGTGGCTTTAAGGTTGGATCATTGGCCACTTCTTCAGATATTCGGAACGCCACTCGCCTGCGTGCCCCTGCTGCTGCAGCGCCGGCTCCTACAGCAGTGGCTGCCTCTTGCGCTGCTGCAACAGCGGGCCTTGGGGCTACAGCCGTCCCTGCTGCTGCTACAGCTGGCCTGGTAGCCGGTGCAGGTGTTGCAGGTGTGGCGCGAGACTGGTGAGTGGAGTTCAGGGGAGCACGGGTGGCGTTGCGGTCACACGCACTGGCAGCGGTTGCAGTGTGCCTGCTGCTGCTCTTAACCGAACGCGGACTGCTGGCACTCTCCTGGGTGGCTCTCAGAATAAATAGATCCGGCACATGTTGCTGCCCAGACACCTTCCTGGGAGGGCTTGAGAATCTCTGCCCACCACCGTTACCACCACTCTTACCGCCACCATTACTGCTGGATCGGTTGGTGGTGCCTCGCTCGCATGCACCATTCCTCCCCTTGAATGGGTCGATGGTCAGGTGTGCTTCATCAAACGGCGCCCACTTGTCAAGCAGCTCACCACTCGCCTTGCCCCCACCTGTGGTGGTTCGGCCCCCAGGACTGGGTTCAGGTAGCAAGCGTGTGCCTCTTGTGCCTGCACCTAATTCCGCTCTTGCTGTGCCTCTTGTGCATGCTGCGGGTCTTGCTGCTGATCCTGTCACTGCTCCTGCTGGCACTGCTGCGGTTGTCTTAGCCGGAGCAGGAGCTGGTGTGCGCATGACAGCAGTGATGAACGACATCATCTCCTCCTCCTCCTCGTCGTTGTCCCCGTACTCGTTATCAGCTGGCCCCAGACAGCGCAAGAACTCTTCCTCCACCTCTATGGCCTCCTTCTCGAGCTCCTTAAACCTGACGCAAGGGGAGAAGAGAGAGTGAAGAGACAATGAGTTCCTTCCTTCAATTCCTGCTCGAGCTTTTTAAACCTGACGCAAGGGGAGAAGGAAACAAAATGAGACAGCAGTACTGAGCGAGAGCTATGGCTGTAACCACAGCCACGGCACCTGTTCGGCCGTATATCCTGATCAGCGTTAACAACACCCAAGGCCCAAAACAGCGCTACATCTCATCACCGCTTGTCACCGCCTGGCACCGCTTTACCTCTCGTCGAACTGCTCTTGAGAGAGCTTTGCGCCGGTCGGCAGAACCGATAGCCAGTGGGACAACCCCCCCTCGGGTTCCACCTTTGCTGATCCCAAAAGTGCAGAATCTTTCAACTTGCCAGTGGCCTGTGCTATGCTCCCCCCTGCCTCTACTGCCCCTCCCCTGTTCCCCCTAACTCTCCCAATGCCAGCAGCCTCCCCTGCTGGTCCTCCCACTCCTCCCCTAACCTCCCCTCTCCTCCTCCGCAGCATCTCCAGCTCGCGATCGCTGCTTGCCCCGGCCGCTGTGAGCCGTTGATGCCGCTGAGTTGCCATCACCACTGCTCCTCCCACCAACACCGCCGCCCCTGCTGCTGCTAGCATCTGCCACTTGCGTGCCCCCAGCCACCTCCCCTCCTCCTCCTGCTGCTCTACTAATAGCCCATCCTGTCGTTGTTGCTCTCCCACCAGTTGCCCCATATCCCCTCCTCCCCTTCCCACAGTGCTTGTTTCAGGGAGAGACTCCGGTTCCGATGGGTGCAGAGCGGTGGGGGTAGGGGAGAAGGAGCGGAGGGGGGAGACGTGTGTGCGGGGGGGTGGAGGTGGCTGTGTGGGTGGGGGGCGGAAGGAGGGGAGAGAAGTGGGGGGGAAGATGTGAGATGGGGAGAGGACAAGAGGGTCAAAATGTAGAGCAAGAAGAAATGGACACCGCATCAGACTGCATCACACCGCATTAAACCGCATAACCTACCCTTTGCACCGCAGTGACCGAAGCCGATCTTCTCCCCCGGATAGCCTCTGCCGGCCCTCCCCCTTCCCTCACCACCCACTGAGGCACCCGAGCCGGGGACCGCGACCGAAGCACTGCCTGCTGCTCCGAGCCGAGCCACGATGGCAGGTTCGGCAGCCGACCCGCCCGACCTGTACCAAAACCAGCAGCCGGAAGAGTGGCAGCATCAGCAGTAGCCGCAGCAGCAGCATCAGCAGGAACACCAGTAGCAGTAGCAGCAGCAGCGGCAGCACTGCTAGCTTGCCACGCAGTAACAGACGAGGCGTGGGCGAAGCGGCGGGAGGGGCTGTGCGGCCTGGGGTAGGCGGGCGCCCACCACCGGGGAATGCTGCGATCCGCTGCTGCAAGCCCTGCTGTAGCAGCAGTGGCAGCTGTAGCAGCTGTAGCAGTGGTAACAGTGGTAGCAACAGTGGCGGAGGTAGAAGCGCTGGTGGCTGTGGTGAAGGAGCGGGATGAGGTGACAGACGAGGCGAGAGACGAGGCAGAAGGGAAGGAAGGGATGGGCAGGAGCTGATCCGGCTCAGGCAGAGCAGAGGGGCTGAGGGAGGGAGAGGGGCAGGTGGGAGAGGGTGGGGAGGGGGAGGGTGGGGAAGCAGAGGGTGGGGAGGGACGAAGCACAGGGTTCCAGTGACTTGCTGCTGGTGGCAGCGTTGCTGGTGCTGGTGCTGCTGGTATTGGTACTGCTGGTCTTGGTACTGCTGGTGTTGGTACTGCTGGTGCTGCTGGTGCTGCTGGTGCTGCTGGTGCTGGTGGTGCTGGTGGTGCTGCTGGTGCTGCTGGTGCTGGTGCTGGTGCTAGTCTGCTGGCCTCCCTTTCCCTGCTGCTGCTTTGACGAGTCCCCCCAGCAGCACTGACAGCAGTGATGGTAGCAGCGCTGTAAGCAGGAGCAGCATCAGGAGGAGGAGGAGACGCCGGAGGGGCAGCAGGAGCAGGAGTAGGAGCAGGCGCAACGGCAGCAGCAGTAGCAAAAGCAGCAGCAGGAGCAACAGCAGTAACAGGAGCAGCAGGGGTAGCGGGGAGGTGAAGGGCTGAGTAGGGCAAGGTCAGAGGGGCACCAACCCGAGGGGAGGGTGGTGCTTCTGCTGGGGAGGGTATGGCTGTTGCTGGGGAGATGGGAACTAGGGAGGGTAGAGCTGGGGACGGAGGGACCGACTTGGAAGGGGGTATAGCTGGGGAGGGTGCAGCTGGGAAGGGTGCAGCTGGGGAGGGTGCAGCTGGGGAGGGTGCAGCTGGGGAGGGTGCGGCTGGAGAGAGTGCAGCTGGGGAGGATGCAGCTGGGGAGGGTGCAGCTGGGGAGGGTACAGCTGGGGAGGGTGCAGCTGGGGAGTGTGCAGCAGCTACTGTAGCTGATTGAGAGACAGAGGAGGAGGCGAGAGCAGCTGGGGAGGGCAAGGCTGGGGAGGGCAGAGCTGGGGAGGGTTTAGCTGAAGAAGGTAGGGCAGGGGAGGGTGGCGCTGGAGCTGTTTTGGAGTGAGAGGAGGAGGGGGAGGGGGAGAGAGCAGCCGTGGTGTGCCGGATGGTATTGGAAACGGACGACATGAGCCGGTGGCGGGTGGCTGACGTGGCAGTCACCATGCTCCCATCAAAGTCCTGATTGGAGGTCCCCAGGGGGGGGGGGGGGGGTTGGAAAAAGGAGTCACTGGAGAGGCGGTGGAAAAGTAAATCGCTCCCTCAGCCGCATAGATTCCTACCATGTTAACTTCCAGACTTCGTCTCTCAACTCGTTCGCGTATCTCGACTGACTTCCCTTTCTTGACTCGAATGTATTAATGTGACTTAGCTTGACTGCATGGCCTCACTTTGAGCCCGATGGTTCGCTTGCTGAGCGTGCGCAGGCACAGATACACCCGCCTCAGGTCGCGCCTCTCCACCAGATCCGCGGGCATGAACACGTTCACGTCGTACAGCCCGATGCTGCGGCACATCTGCGCGGGGCGGCAGGGGAAGTTGGGGAGAGGGGGGGAGGGAGGGGGGGGGAAGAGAGGAGGAGCGCGAATGCAGTTCTTTGGATCAAGAAAAACCGCAGATTTGCACTGGGTTGAGGGGAGGAGAGGGGCCGCACAACTACAGGCTTGGGTGGGTGGGTAGGTGGGGGGGGTGCAGGGGACAAGAGAAGGGAAGGGGAGGGAAGAAAAGGGAAGGGCCTAGTTGGGCGCTAGAGAAGAATAGATGGGTTTTCAGGGGCTTTAAAGGGCACTGGCTGCCTGCAATGCTTGCAGTCGCTGCTAGGTTCTTTCCTCACCCTTCCCAACCTTCTACGGTTACCCCCTCCCAGCTCCCCCCACCCCGCACTTCTGCCTCCCCCCCACCCCAATCCCACTCCTTTCCCCTCCGCTCTCCCCTCACGATTCTCCCCATGCCTCCTCCCCCCCCTCCCCACCTCCCTTCCTCCCCCCGTTATAGGCACCTTGAGGAACATCTCTACTTTCACACACGCGCGCCAAAACGCCATGTTCCGCCCCACTTCCGCGGGGGGCGCTCCCCCTCCCCCGGCTCCGCCTCCCTTCCCCTCCTCCCCCTCCAGTTCCTCCCCATCCTTCAATCCCGCCCCGCTGCCGCCCTTTCCCCTCCCCATCGCGCAAAAGATCCCCCGACTTCCCCCCAAGCGCCCCTCCTCCCTCCCCCCTCCCCCCGCCTTTCCCATAACGAGCCACCCCCTTGCAGCTCGCCGAGCCGCCTGCCCCACCTCCAGGCTGGGGGAGGGGAAGCGGGGGGATGGGGAAGGGGGAAGGGGAAGGGGAAGGGAAGGGGAAGGGGAGAGGGCGATGGGGGGACAGGGCAAGGGGGGTGGGCAAGAGGGAAAGGGAGGGGGGGATTAACGGGTGGGGTGTGATAAGGGTGAGCGGAAAAAGGAAATGGACGAAGCTACGGTTGAGTGCTGGAGTGAGTGCGCGCATGCGCCATAGCAGCACTCACAGCACGTGCCATGCTCACTCACAGCACGTGCCATGCTCACTCACAGCACGTGCCATGCTCACTCACAGCACGTGCCATGCTCACTCACAGCACGTGCCATGCTCACTCACAGCACGTGCCATGCTCACTCACAGTATGTGCCCATCCTGCAGGATATCCGGAAGTGAGCGGTCCGACGGAAGCTGCCGATCCAAGCAACGCTCGATCCACGCCCGAGCCTGCGGCTGAGGTACGCAACGAGCCGCGGGGGGGGGAAGGGAAGGAAGGGCTTTCGTTTTGCAGTTTTTGCAGCGCCCGAAAAAATGGATGAACAAGGGAGGGGGTTGCAAGGAAAGGGGGAGGAAGGGAAGAGAGGGGGGAGGGGAGGGGGGGCGAAAAGGTGAACGACAGAAGAGGAACGGCGCGCAAGCTGTTAACTAGCACTAAGCGAAGGCAACCAGTGGAAGAGTGCCACGTGGCTGCGGTACCTCGAGAACGGTAACGTCATCCTGCGCGGTCAAGCCGCCGCCGGTGGAGGCGCTGGTCGCTGACGAGCCGCCACCAGCGCTGGTCGCGGCGACAAGTGCGGCGCCAGATGCTGCCGACCCGGCAGTATCGTTTCGTGCTGCCTCAGACGCCACCATGATTCGCTTTAGGCTGACGTTTGAGTCGCCTAAAAAATGATTCGCTTTAGGCTTGCTGGTTAAGCTTGTTAGTGAGGCTTGATAGGCTTGCTCCTAACTTTGTTACCGAGCTTACCATTGAGCTTATCATTGGTTAAGCTATTCAATACGTTTCTTCGCGGCGCATTGGGCCATCGACTCTTAGCTTTGGGCCTGCCGACTACAATCGCTACGCATGTTGCAGGGACTCTTAGCCTTGGATTGGACTCTTAGTCTAGTCAATGGGGTTCGAGCGAGATGCTCGCGGCTCGACTCGGCTATGGACGAAGCAGGGCACGTCACGCCACGCTACAAGTCTTTCGGTTTAAAGCTTCTACCCAAGACGACTGTTCCCCGCGAAATAAGTACCTAAATTAGTACTTAAATACCACATCCTTCTACCACCAGCTCCTCACTTCTGCAATGCTCGGGGAGCAAGTTTTTGCTACCAGCAGATACTTAGCAAGTAGCATAGACGCGGCAAGTTGGGGTCGAGTCTAAAGAGCAGCGGGAAAGCGTGCGCAGCAGGACAGCACAGTGCACGCATATCTGCGAAACGCGGTGGGATATAAAAAAACTGCCGCTTCTAGTGTAATGCGGCGCGGGAAGCAACCCGCTTCACTGGCTGAGCGTGTCCTACGGCGCACAACAGACTTTCTGCAGCTATGGTTGCTCGAGTCAGAGACGCCGCAGCGGCTTACGTGGATGGGTTGCGGCGTGGTGTGGCTTGGCAAGCGCGCGCTCAAATGCGGAAAATGGCGCTCGGGGGGCGCTATTTGGGGGGAAAGGGGCGCGGGCGGGGAGATGGAAAGGGAACCAAGCGAGCTGCGACGGCGGGGGAGTGGGGGAACCAGGAAAGTATTGTCGCGTGGCGTGGTGCGGAAGGAGGGGGTAACGGGGGAACGAGCGGAGTGCAGAGGGAGTCAGAATTTGGCGCGAAGATTTGTGGGCTCGCTTCTTTTGGAGATCAGCGGGTTCTGCAAGATAGCCTCGATAACATAACAGTGTACTTCACTGTACTGGTCGCATTAACAACTAAAGAATGGAAACCACCAAATTTCTCCAAAAGGCTAAAAAACACATCACTTCATAGCAAAGACGGACTGCCCAGCAATCGAGTCCAAAATCGGGCAAAAGGCGATGCACGGTATTCAAGATCAGCTAATCCCTTCCATCAGCTAGTTCTGCAATCTCTCCTTCCTCGCCGCAGCAGCAGCACGTCTCGAAGCCAAGTTTTGCACCGCTCCTGCAAGCACCAGCTTCATCAGCACCCCCGCCTCCACGCCACAGACAAAAGCCAGTGCCGTCGTCGCCACCACCCATCCCACCCTCACCGTCGCTACCTTCTTCCCTCTCCTCTCCTCCCCTCTCCCACCCCTCACCATCACCTCACTGCCCCCATCCCAAGAATCGCTCCTCTCATGCTGGCCCGATCCAGACCGTCGCCTTCCTCTGCTGTCTCCAGATCCAACGGCTGAGCCTTCACCTGGAGACCTCTCACCAACATTTCCAGAACCGCTCTCAACCACCACATTGCTACTCCCCGCCCTGCCACTGCTACTCTGCCCCTCCCCCTCCACTTCCTCCACCACTCTAACCCTCCTCTCCTTCCTCTTCCCCCCCTCCTCCTTACTCCCCTCTTCCTCCTCTTTCCTGCCCTCCCGCTCCTCCCTCCTCCTCGCCTCCCCGGCCATGGCCAAGTCCGAGAAGCTCACCCACTTCCGCATCCCCATTCCCTTCCCCTTCTTCAATCCCCCACGCGGCCGTCCCTTGCTTTCCGCCCCGCCCTCCCTCTCCCCGTCCTCCTCGCCGTCCCGGCTGCTCCCAGGCGATGGCACGATGGGCGTGTGCAGGTTCGCCATAGACACACAGCGCGACAACGGCCGCGCCGTCTCGGCCCGCTGCCTCTCGTACTTGCGGATCGCGGGCTCCATCTTGCGCACCGCGCCCCACATGCCCTGCCGCACCCCCAGCTTGGCAATATCCCTCTGCAGGCCCATGTCCTCATGGTGGAAGAGCATTACCTCGGCTGCATCGCCCCCCTCAGCGCCAACAACGGGGCGGATGCGCCAGCTCGAGTAGAAGACCTCGACGCGGCGCGGCTTGTCGCGCTTGGGCACCTCGGGGTGGTGCACGCCCTTGGTGATGCAGTAGAAGGTGTCGTCGTGCGACCAGATGCGCCGCGCGATCACGTAGTCCCGGTCCTTGCAGAAGAAAGGGAACTGCAATAACGAGGGCCAAGAACGGCACGGAATAATGGGGGAAAGAGTGGGACAAGACGAAAGAGTGGAGGGAGTGTGCGGTGGTGCACACCCCTGGTGGTGCAGTAGAAGGTCACCTTGAACACGCAGCAAACAGCAGGCAGCAGCGACGCACCTTTCGGACCCAGTGAACGATCTGGGAGCCCGTGCGCTCGCACGCCGTGATGGTGCGCGCCTGCACGAGCATGCCGTCCCACCCTCCAGCGCACTCTAACCTTCCTCACTCAGGGAACAGCAAACAGCAGGCAGCAGGCAAGCAGGCAGCAGGCAGCGACGCACCTTTCGGACCCAGTGAACGATCTGGAAGCCCGTGCGCTCGCACGCGGTGATGGTGCGCGCCTGCACGAGCATGTCGTCCCACGCGGCGCGGAACTCGTCGTCCCAAAAGAAGTCGCGCATGAGCGCCGCCGAGCACCGCTCCATCACCGTGCGGCTGCGGTACTCCGTCGGGCCGTGCTGCAATTCAGAAACATCGGGTTCAGGAGCGCAAGAAACGGGGAAGGAACGGGGAAGGAACGGGGAAGGAACGGGGAAGGGGAGCACAGCAGGGAGAAGAGGACGGGGCGAGGCGGATTTAGGAGTTCGCGCATGAGCGACGACAAGCACTGCTCCGTGGCCGTGCGACTGCGTCTGCGACTGCGTTAGGAGAACGCAAGGACCAAGGGGAGGAGGGGAACGCGAGGGGAGCTGGGTGTGAGGAAAGTCGCGCAACGCAACGACGAGCACGGCCCCGTCAGCGTGCGGCTGCGGTATCCCGCGGGCCTACTCCGTGAGTCTAGCCCGTGGGTTGCAATGTAGGAACGACGCCCGTCAACCTATCACTGCGCGGCTGCGGACCCCCAACGACACACTATGGGAGATGGACGAACGGTACGCCACCAGTTCTAAAGCTAATGCTCCAACCGGGTCACCCCACGGAATGGTGAGGACCAGAGCCCATCCGCGTCGTAGCGCGGACTCGTTACAGCTACGAAAAGTCTCACCTCGGGGTCCCGCCGCCAGCCGGTGTACTGCATCCCCTTTATAGACTTCTCCATCATCAGCTGCCACTCCGGCCCGCCGTCCTTCCCCTCCACCTTGGCGCAAAACTCCTCCAAGTCATCCTCGGTAAGAACTAACTCCATATCCGACTCCGCAAGCCCATGCTCAGAACCCTGCCCGTGCGTATGCCCGTTCTCGTGCGCAGAGACGTGACCGTTGGCATGCCCATGCCCATGCCCGTGCCCGTGCACGTCGCGGCCAATCTCCAGCAGCTGCAGCCCGCCTTTCTGGAATCCCCCTTTCCGCAGAGCCGGAGGGAGCGAATCATTCGCCAGCGACTGAATTGACGGCCTGCGAAAGCCAGGAATAGGCCAAGGGTCAGAGACACCGGGTCAGACGCTGGTCGGACGCACTGGGAACTGTAAGGGTGGGGAGGGGTGGAGAAACTAGCCTAGAAATGAGAAGACAAAAAGGGAGACGGAGATTTCCTAACGGCTTGAGAGAGAAAGAGTCGTACTCGTCAGTCGACGCATGGCTCTCAGCACCGCCGTTCGCGGGACCAGTAACACGACTACCGTTCCGTTCGCCAAACTCCTCCGCACTTTCCGGCCTCCTCGCGCCCGCACCATCGCTCTCCCCAGCAGCTACTTTCCCATAACCACCACCCCTCTCAGCCGCTCTCTCGCCCGCCCGCCAAGGCAGCACCTTCTCACTCAGCGCGCTCCAGTCTTTTCCGAAGAGCACCCCTACTGGCTGAAACCTGGGGCCCTTAACTCCCTCAACTCCCTCCTTGGCTCCCGCTGCCGTAAATCCCGGGACTTGCACGTGGCCGCACGAGTCCAGCACGGCCTGGCCCCACGACCACCCCGCGGACCACGCGTCCTTGAAGGGCCCGCCGGTGAGGAGCGACCAGATGGCGGAGGAACGCGGGTCCGACGCGAGGGAGTTGACCCACTGCGGCCGCCATGACCACCCGAGGATCACGCCGACGAGCACGGCGAGCCAGAGGGGAGCGACGAAGGCGAGGAGCTCGAGAGCGAGGTCAGAGTAGCTTGCGTGGCTCGCGGCGATTGGGAGCATGTGGACGAACCAACTGCTGCTGCTGCTGCCGAGAACAGGAGTTGCCATGCGTCAGGAGGAGGACGAGTGGAATAAAGTCCTAATCGAAGCTCCCTGACACATGGATAGAGCTCGGTCCGAAACAAGAGCCGCCGAAGAGGGAGCCGAGTTAGCAGCGCAGCGCTTTCTGAATTTGTTGCTTGAGGTTCACTCGTCCGCGGAGGAGAGAAAAGAATGGCTTTGGGATTGTGTGGTCGAAGATAAGGGAGGAGCACGCGGAGGTTTATTTTGCTAGCCCTAGAGCTCAGCCCGACACACGTGGTCGGGTTCGGGAAAGACACGCCGAAGGGTCTGGACGGACTCCCGAATTGCTTGGGATATGTGCTGCCGTGAGTCCGTGACAAAGAGTCGTGTCGTGTGTCGTGGTGATGCTGGGTGGACTTCTGGTGGAAATCAAGGGACAAGTGCACTCGCTTGCAGTTCACACGACGCACCCAGTCAGCAGATTAACAGACAGCCATGGAAAACTTTTACTCGCAGTCAGCACCCATCAGAAGCTGTCATCACACGCGGAAGAGAGAAATAATCGCTTGTGCGTGACAAGCCGGGCTGTTGAAAGCTTGGAGAGGGAGCACTGCTGGAACGGAGATTCCCGAGGGCAGCTGAAGGAGATGGAGGACGAGCAAGGCTTGGGGATGGAGAAAAGAGCCGTTGGCTGGAACGGATATGCAGTCAACTGTAGAAAAATGCATCCTGGGTTTCGATTTTATCAAGGTTGGCTGAAATCGGGCAGCCGAATTGTCGGAAGGGCAAAGCAAGGGAAGATTGTCCCAGTTTTCGCCCCAGACCCTTCGGGCAGCGGGCAAGGCAAGGGAATGGCACAACACATGAAGGGTTGTCCGTGTCGCGAGGTTGATGGGAAACTTCTCCCAATCCCAAGGGCACACCGCTCCCGACGGGAGCGAACCAGGATTCTTGAAATGGTAGCGAGGAACACTCTCAGCCTTCGATTGAACTACGTGGCGGTTCGGACGTTCGAGATGATGTGATTGGATTTGGGCAAGGCATGCTTGTGGACCTCAAAGTTTTCCTGCCACTTAGAGCTTGCTGCTGATTTCATGCCACCGTCAGCATCATTCAACTGTGCTGAACGTGGACGAGCGACTCGCCTTGCGTGTGCCCCACTTTTCCAGCAGCGAATCAGCATCAACAACTGTGGATAACAAGCCAATCCAGCGGTGCCTTCGGGCATCAAATACTCACTAAGAACGTCTCCACAAAAAATATTGCTTCAACTCTGGCATGCCGACAAGTCGACTAGAGGTTACCAAGGAGTTGTTATACATATGCAGCAACCTAGTTGCCTCAAATTTTAACTCCACATATCCTTAAGGAATTTGGTTATCAAATCTTGGGTAATTTATTCATTCTTCAATCCAATGGCGCACACCACTCGGAAACCCCATTCTTCATATCTGATGACATATGCTGTATCAATATATATGAAGTGCGAGAATTCACCCACCCGCGTGGCCTTTGCCTTTGCATGCATACCCAATAGTGGATTTCCCCGTAATTTGCATTATCCTATAACATCTTAGCAAGCTTTAGTGTGAGGTGCTGTTACACATCACTTCAACAGGTCTGTTCTTTGGCATAAGGAGCAGCCTACCGTTCAGCACGCGGGTCAGCGTTGGTACGTGTAGGCGCAGATGTGGAGTTCGCCTATTTGTGGAAAGGGCTGTGTCACCGGATCATGTCCAGGCTGTAGGGGGCATGTGGCGGAACTCGACCTTCGAGTGGCACGTGTCACCGAGGAAGCGTTTCGTCCATCCATTTTCCGCCATATGTACAGCTTTGTGGGGTGCCTCAGATGAACTGTAACCGTTCCTTCCTTCTAGCACAAGCTGGGGGTACGGAGATCCACCCTGGAGCCCAACTGGAACAGGACGAACGATTCCTTGAACAGACGGATCGGTGTGGAAATTATGACTTCGCCAGCCAATTGAGCAACAGCGCGTAACTGTTGCACCCGACGTTCAAATAGAAGTTGCAGATTTTCTGGGTTCGTGCGATTTAGGATCTCGCCCAACCCAGCCTCGTGCCATTCTGACACCAGCGAGAAAACTTTCCGGGTGCAGATTCACCGCGTTGAAGTCGGGGCAAGAGGCATGTGTTGTTGGGCAGACCACCCATCCAACGAGCCTTTTCCAACAGCCCGTGATCTAAAAGCAGATCGGATCACGCTTCTGCGCTCAGGCACTGCACTTTCCAACTGTTTCGCAGGTTCCACCTCACTGGTCCTCCTTTTTAGGGTTGTCACTCTCTAGCGTGTCAACTGTCAAGCCCCTGTATGATCTACCCTCCAGCTCATCGTATCATCTCCCACCATGCCATTGCTTCTGGGTCCTTCACCCGCCAGCACTGCGGCAGGCACATGCCTTGCCCCACTTTGGCCTTGGGTGTGTGAGGAGCCACGCTCCCAGGACCGCCCACAATGGTGAGCGGTGGAACTCGGCGCTCGTACAAATGGAGATGGCCTTTCCTCCAACATCACAATCAGCTCTTTCATTCAAACACGTTCTCCGCACCGTTCACCGTCGAGCGATTTCTTTACTTATCCAGCCCGGAATCATTTTCCGCTTCACGCGCGTAGCCGTCAGCCTAACCACAGCTTCGACCAGGATAGTTCAGTGATGTCGACCACCATTTCTTCGAGTATGGGCGTTCCGAAGTTCGACGCAGAGCCCTGGAGCACGAACTTCAACCTAGATTTCCACTCGCCAAAAGCCGCGAAAAAGTCCCGCAGTTCCGAAGAGCTCAGCGACAATTCCCCCTGGGCCAACGACGCTGTGTCCGACTGCCTGACCGAGCTCACGCTGGGACTTCCGGAACCTCCCGTAGTTGCGACAGAAAAGCCGTCGCTTTCCAACTTAGGCGACGACTTGCTTCTTCACATTTTCCAGCTCGCTCAGCCTACCGCGTGGGACCTCTGCCGCATGGCGTGCGTCAACAAGACGTGGCGAGAGCTCTCTTACAACCAGATATTCTGGACCAAGCTTCGGATCGGACCCGGGAGTATGCGTCCGGGAGTGGAGCAGCTCGCAGCGCGCTGCACGAACCTGGTGGAGCTGCACATCGACGACCCTCGCTGCGAGCTGCACGTGCTTCACCCGATCATCATGGCCTGCGGGAATTCTCTGCGACGAATTGTTATCGACTGTGACCGGGATAACACGAGCCGCAACGAGGCGTCAATCTGCAGCGTGCTTTGGATTGTGAGGTGCGTTGAGTCATATCGCAGAGTCCACGCTTCAATAATTTGCGTTGTTTCGCTCTTTCGTTCCGCTGGTTTTGTTTTTTTCCATGCAGTTATCTCTCGCTCTCTTCAATTCAGAATCTCACATATCGTCCTCTTTTCCTGTTTTCGTTTTGCAGCTTGTACTGCAGTAATGTCGAGAGCGTGGAGCTCATTTCCGACGGGAAGCAAGGGAATTTCACGTACTTGGAGAACAAGGCCATGTGGTACCTCACATCCGGCTTCCGCCACATTCGCAGCTTCGCCTGTCTCTGCCAGAATAGCCTGTCGAAGCAAGCCATTTACCTCATGGTCATTGCGTGGCGGGAATTGACCTGCCTTCGCATCCATTGCGGAGCTCTCGGAACAGACGACCTCATGGCTCTGCGAAAATGCTACTCTCTGCGGGTGCTGGAGCTTGTCGGTGGTAACCTTGGGAATCTCATTAGCGACACCAGCGCTACCAGCGAAGCTGTGATGCATCGAGACCTCGAGATCCTGGTGCTGACGAAGATGGTGTGTGGCCTGGAAGACATCGCGAAGGCCTCGTTGCTGTGCCCGAATTTGGCGAAAATCGTTGTGCGACAGTCCTCGTTACAAGTTGGTGGTTCGAATGAAAGTCCAGCGGTCCGGGCGAAAGCCGTCAACGAGTTGCGACAGTGGCTGCTCGCGCGACGAAATGTCGATCTTGTTGTGGACGAGGCTTGAATGGCACACAAGAGGAGCTTGTTGTAGCAATGCAGCAGCTGGCTCTGTGGCGGTTGAGTTCGGTGGGGCAGGATGTGGCAAGGCGATTGGACCACATGACAAGCTCCCTGTGCGACTTGCCACAAGGCCAACAACATTCTTCTGCACCTGTGTGCAGTTGATTGGCTAGGTCGGTACGCGCGAACATTTGTGCCTCCTCCTCCGCGTATCCCTGACCTTGTCGCACTCGCGCACGCGAGAGCACTGTCGTCGACATCCTGCTGGTAACCAGTTGGGCTGCAACACCGAATCCTCTAGTCTCCGCGTTTTGCGAAACTTCACACCATCAATCCCAAGGGCCAGTGGCAAGCAGCCAATCAGTAAGCAGCCCGCCAAGAGAAGAACACGAACTCAAGGAAACCGCGTTTGCCAGCTGAGCCACCAACCCAAGGGAAATGGCAATCCCAAGGAGATAGGCAGTGCTGCTACTGCTAAATCATCTCCTGACAAAATTTCCGACTGGGCTTGAATTGAAATCTTATTACAGCTTCCTAGCTAGGGCCTTATGCTGCTACCCTCTGAGATAGTAAACAGCATCTACAGCCATCTTAAATCTTATTGATAGCTTGTGAGTATGACGATCGTATTGAGTTGTTGTAAACGATCTTATCAGATAGACTGTAAATGCGACGTGACGCTGCTCGGCAAAGATTTTAGACGAACGACTTGCTCAGGACCCAACATACCGTAGGCAAGATGTCACTCAAGAAAGTGGCGACTCCGTTTTACGAGGTCGACTTAGCAAGACATGTCGTGCTCACTATGTGTCCGCGTGTTCGCGTGGTCATTTTGTGTTCACCATATCATGCACCACATCGCACCTGAAAAGGTCGGCGAGAGAAAGAACGATGTCAGCATGCGCGATTCCGGGGAGGGAATTTATGGGGTTCCGGAGCGACGATGTCATCACAGTCAAGCTGACGGAGGATGTTAGAAGCACGATTCAGTACCTGCACGAGGGAATGTCCTTGAGTGCCCGAGACAAGGCTCGCCTGGCTGCAAACGAGAGCAGGTCGAAGAGCTCGTCCGCGTTGGACGGCGCTCGCATTCCCAGAATCAAGGGCCCAGCTGCAAGTGCAACAAACAGAAAATCGCAGATCAAGCAGCTGGAGTTGGGAGTTGACCATTCCCAATTTCAAGAGCTAGAAGTGGTGATGAAACAAGGTAGGAGGGAGGGATAGCCTTGCATGCTCACCGTTGAGAGTTGCGAGAGTGGAGCAGAGGAACATGGGTTGTGTGGCTTGGTTGTTTATGTACGCCAGCAAGGAGGCATTGAGCGTGTTCTGTCATGCAGGGAACGAGGACGACACAGGGAAAGAGAGGACGCTGGGAACGAGGAGCATGTCCAGGAGCTTCGCCATACGAGCCCTGTGCATCCAAACAAATGGTGCGTGACTGCGACTTATTTTCTGATCAGGCGAACAAAATGGATTGCTTTGTGCGTGCAAGAATGACAAACCATCAATGAATCTGCAGGTTTAGCTCATGCAGCTGCATGGCCCACTTGCTCAAGAGAAACCTTCACGATACCCGATGGATGCTACCTTCGCCATACCCGATGGATGCTACCTTCACCATACCCAATGGATGCAACCTTCACCACACCTGATGGATGCCTGCCTGGACATAATGGATGAGCTCTGCTTTCAAACAGATGGTGAGTGATCATGAATATTATCCTGGCCATGCAAACGCAAACGAATTCTTGATCCTTGGCAAGAAATGACAAAGAAACATCAATGGATCTGCAGGTACAGCTCGTGCTGCAGCAATGATCCGCTCAAGAGAAACTTTCACCGTACCTGATGGATGCCTTTACTTCACCTACCTGATGGATGCCTTTGAGTGGAATCCCTCTCATTCCAAACTCCAGCACTGAAGCTCCATCGCTTCTTCCTCGTCTCTCAGCAGCATACTCCCCCCCTCTACTGTCCAATGCTGCGTCAGACGCACAGACCTGCACTCGTCACGAGAAACAAATCCCACAGCAACTTGGAAACTACCCACTCAATGCCACGTCAGCCACAACCTTCAGGATTGCATCGCTCGCTACAGGAACATGGAGACAGGAGGGGACTCTCTTGTGTGTGACCAGTCCTGGGACTGCAAGCAGAGACTCGGAGACCCACCATCATCAGCTGTCCTGATCACCCCCTCCCACTGCTTCCCACGACCACCACACTGCCTCCACTACCCTCCCACTACCCTCCCACTACCCCACCAGTCGCTCATGTCTCTCACCCATCCTTCACCACCCATCTCACCTCAAACCTCTCATCTGCTGTCAGCATCTCCACAAGCCTTGCCGCCTCTGCAGCAGCCGAGCCTTCCCCACATGCCACCTCCGCAACCCCATTCCTTGACACCTGTTTCCCCTCTTTCTGCTGCTCCTGCTGTGCCAAAGACTCCAGCTCGGACACCAGACCTGCCAGCTCAGCAGCGTCCTGGCCAATGAGCACGAGGCGACAGGAGGGCGGGCAGTCCCAGGTGTCTATGGCAGTGCAGGCGCAGCGGCTGTGGCCACTCTGCTGGAACACAAACCGCAGATGGCTGGGGGGAGCCAGTGGGGGACGGGAGGGGGGAGGCGCTTGAGGGAAATGAGATTTCAGGAAAAGGATGCGGAGGAGTGCGAATATGGGGTGACGGAATGGGAGGAGATACGCGAGCAGAAGAGGGGGAAGGAGCAGAAAAACATTTCAGAAGAATGACACAGATGTAACATGAGTACGTGGTGCACAAGGTATGAAAGCCAAAAGCCCCAGGTTGCATTCCCCAGTCTGCAGACCCCAGACTACTCGCCCTATACCTGTAGCGATTTCCTCACCGCATCTCTCTGAAGAAAAGGAAGCCCTTGGCTCGAAGAAGACCCTGCACGGGAGCACACCCACTGCTGCTGCTGCTGCTGCTGCTGCTGCTGCTGCTGCTGCTGCTGCTGCTGTTGCTGCTGCTGCTGCTGCTGCTGCCCTTGCTGCTGCTAGTTGATTTGCCTTGCAGTCTGGTTGCCACAAGGTGCTGGAATGCAGCTAGAGGAAGCGGATGCTGTGACTCAAAGAGGAGTGATGTAAACGGGGTGGAGGCATGACCTGGTGCAGGTGCAACCTGCTGAAACCTCCTTGCTCCCTGCCTTGCACTCGACTCTTTCCCTACCTCGTGCAAGGAGGCAGTGAGGGAGGGAGTGAGGGAGGAGGGAGTGTGAGGGACGAGAGTGCGAAAGGAGGGGGCAGCCGTGGCTTCGTGGGAGAGGAATCCGGAGGAGAGGTGAGCCGATGCTGAGGTGAGAGGGGGGGCAGGCTGTGATACAGGCAGAGTATCTAGGATGAGATCTAAAGGGACGTGGCAGTAACGGGTGCGCACTAATGGGGGAGGAGGCAGGTCGGGCAATTGTAGGGAGGAGGAGGGAGGATGGGAGTGGGAGTGAGAGGAGGAGGTGCAAGTGTGAGTGCTGCCATGCGCTGCTTTTGTATCTCTATGCCCATCAGTGCTGCCAGTGGTGAGGAATCTCAGGAGCATGTCCTCTGCGTCTGAGAGAGCACCCAGAGACACCAGGTCACACCTGGGGAGGATGGCACAGAGGGGCGCACAGCAAAGGAGCAACAGCCACCGCAGCAAAGCGAGCAGATTCGTTAAGAAAGCGTGATGCAATGTAGGGCCTGAGACGTCTTGCGAAGTATCCTCAGCGATGCAAAGAAAGCCGAGAGCACCACCCAGCCTCTGAGCCCACCATCATCCTCCCATTGGTTCTGAACCAGAATATCTGATTCCACCCCAAACACCCTCCCCGTCCCCCTCCCCACCCCCACCCCTCCCCCCCTCCCTCTCCCCCCCCCCTCCCCGCTTCCCTTAGACCTTCCCCAATGCCAAATCAGCTCACTTATTCAGCAGCACCAGGTCAGCTGCTGCGAGCTGTCGCCGGACTATTGGCTGCTGCTCGAGGATGGTCGGCAGCGTTTCAGCCTCCACCACTGCCACCACTCGATCCAGCCTCACCCCCGCTTCCATCAGTTGAGCGGCTATTGGCTGTGGGTCAGCCAGGCCTGAAGTCTGGAGGACGAGAGAAGAAGGAAAAGAAGGGAGTAGGGGAAGCAGAGAGGAGGGTGGGCAGCATTTCAGCCTCCGAAACTGAATCCACTCGGTCCAGTCTCACCCGCTGATGGAGGCACATGGGCACACGGTCGAAGAGTGGGTCATGCTGACAGCCTGCATTGCTCAGGCTGCATCCCTCAGGCGGCATCCCCCGGGAGGCATCCCTCGGGCGGCATCCCTCGGGTGGCATCCCTCGCGCGGCATCCCTCGGGCGGCATCCCTCGGACGGCATCCCTCGGGCGGCATCCCTCGGGCAGCATCCCTCGGGAGGCATCCCTTGGGCGGCATCCCTCGGGCGGCATGTCTCGGGCGGCATCCCTTGGGCAGAATGTCTCGGGCGGCATGCCTTGGGCGGCATCCCTCAGGCGGCCCTCGGGCGCCATGCCTCGGGCGGCATTCCTCGGGCGGCATTCCTCGGGCGGCATCCATCGGGCGGCATCCCTCGGGCGGCATCCCTCGGGCGGCATGCCTCGGGCAGCATCCCTCAGGCGGCTTCCCTCAAGCAGCATCTCTCGGGCGGCATCCCTCGGGCGGCATCCGTCTGGCGGCATGCCTTGGGAGGCATCCATTGGGGGTCATCCGTTGGGCAGCATGCCTCGGGCGGCATCCCTTGGGCGGCATGCTTCGGGCGACATGCCTCAGGCGGCATACCTCGGGCGGCATGCCTTGGCCGCATCTCTCGGGCGGCATCCGTCGGGCGGCATGCCTCAGCCGGCATGCCTCGGGCGGCATCCCTCGGGTGGCATGCCTCGGGCAGCATCCATCAGGCGGCATCCCTTGGGCGGCATTCCTCGGGCGGCATCCCTCGGGCGGCGTGCCTCGGCTGGCATCCCTCGGGCAGCATCCCTCAGGTGGCTTCCCTCAAGCAGCATCCCTCGGGCGGCATGCCTCGTGCGGCATCCCTCAGGTGGCATCCCTCGGGCGGCATCACTCGGGCCGCATCCCTCGGGCGGCATCCATCTGGCGGCATCCCTCGGGCGGCATGCCTTGGGCGGCATCTGTCAGGCGGCATCCGTTGGGGGGCATGCCTCGGGCGGCATCCCTCATGTGGTACGCCTCGGGCGGCATCCCTCGGGTAGCATGCCTCGGGCAGTATCCCTTGGGCGACATCCCTCGGGCGGCATCCCTCGGGCACCATCCGTCGGGCGGCATGCCTCGGCCGCAACTCTCAGGCGGCATCCCTCAGGCGGCATGCCTTGGGCTCGGGTGGCACGCCTCGAGTGGCGTGCCTCAGGCGGCTTCCTTTGGCCGGCATGCCTCTGGCGGGAGGGGTGGGCGGGCTGCTCACCTCGAGAATGAGGTAGTCGCATGCTGACATGGCGCCGCCAACCGCTGCTCGAACAGCCTTCTTGAGTCCATTGCTGACGTGGCAACATGCACAGCCTGCAGAGGAAGGGACACGGGGATGTGTGTGTGTGTGCATGGGGATGTGGGGTGCATGGATATGTGCGGGCATGTGTGCACGGGGATTAGCCTGGGTATATGACTGGTGGAGAATGGGTCCACGGGGAATGGTTCCATAACAAGGGCGGAAATAGCATGGCAAAGGGATGGCTTCAGTCAACGTCCAGCACACATGCACTTACTTGCTCTCTGCATTCCCTCCCACAAAACCATCCCCTTAGACTACCTCATAACTGCTCCCTTACTTGCTCTTCCTGACTCATTTCCTCTCTCCTCCTCCCCAACTCACTCCCTTTCTCCCACGCTCACCCCCTGCCAGATCCCCATGTCCAGGAGGAGCCCCAACTGCCACGTTGGCACGCTGTGATTGGAGCAGCAGGGAGTCCACGTCGACAGGGCTGAACTCGTTGACCAGCACTGCCACCCGCAGGTCGCCCTTCTCCTTCAACACGTGCTGGTAGGGGGGGGAGGAGGGGGAGGAGGGGGAGGGGGGGGAGAGAGCGGCAGGACGAGGGAGAGGGGGTGGAATTATTCAGGACCGGTGGGTTGCAGCCACTACCAGCACTGCCACCCGCAGGCCGCCCTTCTCCTTCAACACGCACATGCACACACACGCACATGCACACACCCACACATACACTTACACGCACACACCCACACATACACTTACACGCACACACCCACATCTACTTACACGCACACACCCACACATACACACACACACACACACACACACACACACACACACACACACACACACACACACACACCCACACATGCACACACACGCACACGCACACACTCTCACACTGTACAAGCACGCCCGATACACGCACACACCTGCAAGAGAGTGGTTTTGCCGCATCCCAGGAAGCCGGTGACGAGGGTACACGACACCTGATGCCGCCCAGACACCCCAGTGGCGTCTAGCACGCGCGACTCAAACGAGAGGCTCATCTCGTTGCCCTCTAACGCTAGCGATGGTGACGACGACAAACGCGGCTCAGGCGCTGCAGCTGCCGCTGATGGAGCCGTCGCGGCTGCCGCTCCTGCCGCTCCTGCTGCTCCTGCTGCTGGTCTAGATGCTGCCGGCGCTGATAGTGCTGCTGCTGCTGCTGCTGAGACGGCTGCTGGAGCTGCTGTCGTGGCTGGCCCTGCAAACGCCGCGTGGTGAGCAAGCGACAGTTGAGCGGCTCTCGTCTGACTGCCAACGCTGTCGCCAGTCGTCGCATCGCCGCAGGTACTAGATTCTCCGCCGCCCCCACGCTCGTCCTCTCCTGCTGCCATCTTCTCTAAACCTTAGGGATTCCCAACCCCGGAATGGAAGCCTTACTCCAGGCCTTGCGTTTTCTTGGTGCTCCTTTTCCCGTGAAATCCAGAATCCTGCGCCGCTCTATCGTGCCTATATCCCAGTAGTCTGGGAATCTGACGACCTAATCAAATCAAAGGCGCAAAATTCTTTGCTGGGGTTGCATGGCAATTGCGTCTGCGATATGAGTAACCTCGTTTGGCTCACTTGCAACCTATCCTCGCATACCGCAGGAAAAATTACGTGTAATATCGGAGCGTACTTCAACGGAGCACGGTTGGAATTGATGACATGGCAACAGTGCTGGATTCGTTTCGACGTGGCGAATTGTAAGAGGGATGCGCGACGTGGAGTGTGTGGGTCAGATTCCGAATGCTCCCCCAACAGGCTGGATGAATTCTTGAACCGAAATTACTGTGAGTGATTTCACCTGCCCTTTTTTAGGGGCGGTCTGCCTGCCCTGCACCGGGGGCTGCTTGCTTTTCAGCCCACTCAACTGTTTTTCGATTGGTCATTTGTGCGCTTTGGTCCGCACCGCACAAGGCACGCTTCACATTCCAACGAGGCGCAGAAACATTCTTCCGAGGTTGTGGAGAGAATCGCATTTTCTTTCGCAAACGTCGCCAGCGCAGCCAAACCGACCATTGTGGACCAGCCCTTGCCGAGCGCTAGGGAGTTCCATTTCGCGAACATCATGCCCTGCGGAACTCGCTGCGTCGTAGACTTGCTGGAGTCCCTCGCCAGCCTCAAGTCTTCTCGTTCGAACGCGTGCGACATTTGGCTTCCATTCCCTCTCCCTCCCTACATGCAATTTGCCCCCCATGCCCATGTGTTCAGTACAAGGCGCAAATTCCGTGCCTCCCTCCCCCAATCTTATTCCGCCCCTTCTCGTCCACATGCACTCTCCCTTTCTGTACCATCCACATCTTCGGATTGGGCATGGGGCATCCTTTCTCCCCCTCCACTAGTTACGGTATGGGATTGGACACCGTCCAGCCAACGGGGGACAGCTCCACTACAGTAGTCTGGATTTGGGTTAGTGCTGCTCTTGGAAGGGATAAACCTGACCAGTCCCCTGGGAGCTTTGCTGAACCTTCTCGCTTCACCTCGTTTGCTCCAAATTTATATTTTTCCAAGCAGCGACGAGAGGGTGTGGAGTAGGTTCCGCCATTCTTCCAGCCTCCCACAGTGCTCCGCTTCCTTCCTCCAGGATCCCCTAAAAGCGGAGCCTTGAAAGCTTGTCGGATCGTTCTCCCCCTGCGAGAACTGACCTGCGTCGTTGGTTCGAGACGCCTCAAAACACGACCCGCGTCGGGACCTCTGTATTGGCTTGCGGCTGTCCCCATAAGTCGTCGCCATGGCGACTCAACCCGGGCCGCTGTACGAGTTCCCGTGGCACTCACTCGGCGGATACAAGGTGCAGCCTCACTTTTTTTTTACTTTTTTTTTTTCCCTGTCACAACCGCTGCTTGATTCCTTCACTAGATTGCGTGCACTCGTTCAGCACGCGTTGGTGACCTGTGAATTAGTTGTTCACGCACTACCCATGCGTGCGCGCATCCGCGTGCCGCCAAATACTTGGTGGCAACAAGGTGATGACTCTCGCTCCCGCTTTGCGTTTTCGAGGTTGACAATCGTACGCCGCTGACGTGCCAATATGGCCGTCAATCCAACGGGGGATGTTGTCGCAACGCCTGGACTTACAGATCTCTAATAAGCTCGCTTCCGCGGTCGACCGCGACCTACCAAGATCTATTCTTTATATCGTGCAATTTCCCTTTGATCAACCGCGCACAATCTCCTCCGCTGTATTTCGTGCTTGCCCCGCTGGTTCCTCGGGCGGCAAAGACTGACCTTGCCACGTCCTCTCTTCTCCCTCTCCCCAATCCCCCTCTGGCAGTATCTCGTGCTGGCGCCACTGGTCGCTCGTGCCATCGACGCGAATTTCCACGGGGGAAAGGACCCGGACAACTTCAGCCTGCACCTGCTGATCGCGTCGGCGCTGCGGCTGCTGGTGGGCATGGCGTGGATGACCGTGTCACGCTGGCCGCACCTCGTGCCGCGCTACAAGATCCAGCGCAAGGGAGTCACGTTCAAGCAGATGGACCGAGAGGAGAACTGGTGAGTGCTATTTTAAATTCGGAAATTCTTGGGTATTGGCATTTGTTTCGATATAAGAGCCAGCGGAAGGGAGTCATGCTCAAGCATTGGACTGGTGAGTGCGTAGTTTTGGAGCCTCACAGTATCGCGAATAGTCTTGGCGAAGAATTCGGCTGGTGAAAGGATGGGATGAGAGTAGAAGCCGTACGCGGTACAAGGCGTGATGGATGTGTTTCGGCCGCGGAACGCGCGTGTTGGCGTCCTTACGGGACGGCATTTAGGCGCATGAAGGAGCCCCACAGAACGAGATGTAGACGCCTCATAGAAGGGCGTTCATGTGCCTCACAGAGCGGCATCTGGGCGGTTCATATTGGCGAGACTGACTTTTGAGTCGACTCAAAGTTCACCTCGTTACAATGTCACAGGGCGTTCATGTGCCTCGCATAGAACGGCATCTAGGCGCGTCATATAAGCGCCAGGGCGTGGCGAAGCGAACACAAATCGAGAGAAACGCGAGGCGAAGTGGGATATTGCCTGTGTCTAGCGGCTTGTGGCGGCGGGTGGGAGGCGGCAGATGAAGAGCTGACTGGCTTTCATAGTCGAGACGCTGACTGGTTTTCATAGTCGAGACGCTGAGCTAACCTCGGGCTAATCTAGTTAAACGGATTAGGAAAGGGGGCGAGGAATTACAAAGTTTGCGGATGGATCTACGACCATCACTGCCCGCCTGCCCGCACGCTCATTCCCCACTCCTCGCACGCCTCCCCCCCGCCCCGCCGCCCCCCAGGGACGACTACATCATCCTCAACGCCCTGCTCGGTTTCATCTTCCACGAGTGGGTGCCACACTTCCAGAACCTGGGGCCGTGCACGGCGTCGGGGCTGCTCATCACGGCGCTGATTCACATCGGCCCCGCGGAGTTCCTCTACTACTGGCTGCACCGCGCGCTGCACCACCACTCGCTCTACGCCAAGTACCACAGCCACCACCACGCGTCCTTTCTTACTGAGCCCGTCACCGGTACGTGCCTGACTCGTTATAAGCGCAACACTCGTTATAGGTCATCTCATCCACACCGGCCCCGCCGCGTTCCTCCACTACTGGCTGCAACGTCTGCTGCGCCACCACTCGCTTTACTCCCAGTACCACAGCCACCACCACGCGACCTTTCTTACTGAACCCGTCACAGGTACTTGACTGGTTGCATGCACAAGGCTCGCTATTAGTTCCTCCACAATTGGCTGCACCGTCTGCTGCACCACCACTCGCTTTATTCCAAGTACCACAGCCACCACCACGCGTCTTTCCTTACCGAGCCCGTTACCGGTACGTGCCTGACTCGTTATAAGCGCAATACTCATTATAGGTCATCTCATCCTAATCGGCCCCGCAGAGTTCCTCCACCACTGGCTATACCGTCTGCTGCACCATCACCACAGCTCAGCCGAGGAAAGCTCTCCAACGCGAGCATGCCTGACCTCTTCCCCCCCTCCCCCCGCCCGCCCCCTTTATCCCCTCCCCCCGCCCACCCCCTTTATCCCCTCCCCTTACCATCGCACCGGCCGCTGCAGCCATGGTCCACCCGTTCATGGAGCACCTCATGTACGCCGTGGCCTTCGTGGCGCCCTTCTACGCCACGTGCCTCATGGGGCGCGCCCGCACGCACGCACGCACGCACGCACGCACGCACAGTTCTCATTCTTCACTGAGTGTGCCTCTGCTCTCCTCTTCCTTCAACCTCCTTCCCCCCCAGCCACGGTCCACCCGTTCATGGAGCATCTCATGTATGCAGCTGTGTTCGTCGTGCCCTTCTACGCCACGTGCCTCATGGGGTGCGCGTCCGTGGCGGGCGTGTACGCGTACATGCTGGCGTTCGACGTGCTCAACTTCATGGGCCACTGCAACTTCGAGTTCTTCCCCGTCTCGCTCTTCCGCGCGCTCCCCTTCCTCAAATACCTCATTTACACGCCCTCGTGAGTCGCCATATCTTTTAGCCCCAACCCCTACCCCCCCCCATACACACTCCCCGGTGCGCGCACACACTCACTGCTCCTTCCTCAAATACCTCATCTACACGCCCTCGTGAGTCCACCATTCTGCTTCTTCCCATCGTCTGCTTATTCCTCTCCCTCCCCCGACCCCCCCCCTTACCCAATGCGAACACCCCCCATACCCCCCCCCCCCCCTCCCCCACACACACATCTAGTCCCCTTCCGCAAGCACCTTACCCTCACCCATTATAAGATCTGAGTACTCGCTACCTCCCCTTGTTCCTCCCGTGATATAAGGTTGGTTTTGAGACGTCTCAAAACCAACCTTATATCACGTCCCATCATAAGATTTGAGTACTCGCTACCTTCCCTTGCTCCTCCCCAACACTCACTCGAGTACCTCGTTAACCCCTTCCCCCCTCCCCCCCCTCCCCGCCGTTCCTTTTCGCCCAACCCCTTCCCCCCTTCCTTCCCCTGCTTCCAGCTTCCACTCGCTGCACCACACGCAGGTGCATACCAACTTCTCGCTCTTCATGCCCATCTATGACTACCTCGGTGGCACGTGGGACCCCAACTCCGACGCCCTTCACGAGGCCTCCCGGACACGTAAGTCCTCATTATAACATTCGACTCATTATAACGCCAAAGAAAAGCTAGTACTGGACAACTCCTGAAGAAAACAGGATTCACAAGAAGAAACGCACCGGCTTGCCACTACGAGTGCTGTTGTTCTTGAAGAAAAGTTATACTCCCTTTCCTCTTGCAAGAAGCCATCTCACCACAATACAGGACCCATCCCCTCTCCATCTCCCCCTGCCTCCCCCCACCGCACAGCCAAGAAGGAGCAGGTGTTCCTGGCGCACGGCATGGCCATCCCCTCGGCCCTCCACATGCCGTTCGTCAGCTGCGTTTGCCCCCTTTTCCCATACCTCCCCCTCTCCCTCTGCACACGCCGCTTGTTCGCAGCCAACAAGGAGCAGGTGGAACTCGTCTTCCTCGCACACGGCATGGCCATCCCCTCCGTGCTGCACACACCCTTCCCCCCTTCCAAATTCCAATGCTGTATCCCCCGTGGTCCTCCTACACCCGCCACCATCCCCTCCCTCCCCTCCCCGTGCTCTGCCCCTTCCAGCCAAGAAGCAGCAGGCGGAATTCGTGTTCCTCGTGCACGGTGTGACCATCCCCTCCGTGCTGCACATGCCCTTCTCCCCTTCCAACGCTGAATCCCCCGGGTTCCCCCTGCTCCCCCCCCCCCCCCCCCTCCCTCGGTCTCCCTCTCCCTGCCGTGCCCCGTGCAGCCAAGAAGGAGCAGGTGGAGTTCGTCTTCCTGGCCCATGGCATGAGCATCCCATCCGTGCTGCTCATGCCCTTCTTCCTGCCCCACTTACTCATTCCCCGTATCCCTTCCTTCCCCCACCCCCCCTTTTCATACGCCACACAGCCAAAAAGGAGCAGGTGGAGTTCGTCTTCCTGGCGCACGGCATGACAATCCCCTCCGTGCTGCACATGCCCTTCTTCCTGCCCTACTTCGCCTCCAAGCCCTTCGCCATCACGGCCCAGCAGATCCTCCTCCTCCCCGTCTCTGTCACGCTCTGCCTGCTCTACTGGGCCTTCGCTGCTGCCTTCCCGCGCTCCTACACCTATCTCAGAGGGAAGAGGCTCGAGTCGTGGGGCATTCCCCGGCTTGGATTCCACGTGAGTGACAGTGGGTGGTTGGATTTGAAATCAGTGGTCTTGGTTGCACTACTGGGCCTTTGCGGCTGCCTTCCCGCGCTCCTACACCTATCTCAGAGGCAAGAGGCTGGAATCATGGGGCATCCCAAGGCTCGGATTCCATGTGAATGGTAATTGGGTGGGGTGGGGTGGTGGCTGTATCATGTGGTCCTGGGTTTCTCGGAGGTCTTTTGAGGCGACTTGGTTATCATGTGGTTTGAGGCAAAAGTTATCATGTGGTCCTTGGTTTCTCGCAGGTGTATGTGATTTTTGAGTCGACTAAAAAATCATCCTGTGGTCCTAGGTTTCTCGGAGGTGTATTTGAGTCAACTCAGAATACACCGTTCGCCATCACGGCCCAGCAGATCCTCCTGCTCCCCCTCTCCACCGCCCTCTGCCTGCTCTACTGGGTCTTTGCTGCTGCCTTCCCGCGCTCCTGCACCTATCTCCGGGGCAAGAGGCTCGAGTCGTGGGGCATCCCCAGGCTTGGATTCGACATGAGTGACAAGCGATAGAGTCTCCCTGTGCCCCTAGTCTTGTAGTTTCTCATGGCCCAGCAGATCCTCCTCCTCCCCATCTCCACCACCCTCTGCCTACTCTACTGGGATCCTCTAGTGTCGTCCCCCTCCCCCGCTATCTCCGGGGCAAGAGGCTCGAGTCGTGGGGCATCCCCGGGCTCGGATTCCACGTGAGTTGATAGAGCTTAAGATAGATTGCGGTTCAGAGCGGTGCCAGGTGGTGCTCGGTTTCCTTGTAGAATGAATGGGGTTGAGATAGAGATAGAGTACTAGGAATACAGGGATTGGTGTTCGGCCCCCTTCACTCTTCAAATCACCCACTCTTTTTTTTGGCCTCTTTGTAGAGATTTCACAACAATCCCCCCTACCCTCCCAAATCCCACTTTTGAGTCGACTCGAAAATCATTTTTTTTTTGAGTCGACTCGAAAATCATCTCTTTTGAGTCGACTCGAAAATCATCTCTTTTGAGTCGACTCGAAAATCATCTCTTTTGAGTCGACTCGAAAATCATCTCTTTTGAGTCGACTCGAAAATCATCTCTTTTGAGTCGACTCTAAAATCATCTCTTTTGAGTCGACTCTAAAATCATCTCTTTTGAGTCGACTCGAAAATCATCTCTTTTGAGTCGACTCGAAAATCATCTCTTTTGAGTCGACTCAAATGTCATCTGTAGAGATCTCACAACAATCCCCCCTTCCCCCCCAAATCCCACTCCTCCCCCTATTTCTCTCCCCCCCCGCCCCCCCCCCCCCCCCCCCCACCCCCTCCGCCCCTCCCACTTCGTCCTGCAGTACTTCCTGTGGTTGGAGCAGAAGCAGATTAGCCACCTGATAGAGGGGGCAAGTAGTGTCTCACACCAAACACCAACCTATCGCCCGCGCACAACCTTCCCTTCTCCTCTTCCCCCCACAACCTCCCCCCTCCCTCGCCTCTGTCCCGCAGTACTTCCTGTGGTTCGAGCAGAAGCAGATCAACCGCCTGATAGAGGGGGCGATTCTTAAAGCGGACAAGCAGGGGGTGAAGGTGTTTACACTGGGAGCTCTTAACAAGGTGACATAGGATGAAGATTGGTTGTTATTTTGCTTTCCTCTCGTTCTTCTCTTTTTGCTGTGCCAATGAGGTCAGTAGCAAGAAAGTCTATATTTCAATTGCAGTTGGGATAGTCCCACTTCCCCCCCCACACACCTCGCCCCACTCAACTCCATGAAGTGAAGCACGGCAACACCCTCACAGCAGCAGTCATCCCTCCTTGCCCTCCCCTCCATGTATCCACACGTTTCCCGACCCACCTACCCACCTGCCCACCTACCCACACCAGAACGAGGCGCTCAACGGGGGCGGAACGGCGTTTCTGAAGCACCATCCGGACCTGAGGCTACGGCTGGTGCACGGCAATACGCTCACAGCTGCCGTCATCCTGCAGGAGATCTCCCCCGACGCCAAGGAGGTGTTTCTGGCCGGGGCCACGTCGAAGCTGGGCCGCGCCATCGCTATTTATCTCGCCTCCAAGGGTACCAGAGTGCTGGTGAGTCGGATGGGTAGTGTGTTTTTTAGGCGTCGCAAAAATAGTGCTGGTGTGCTGGATGGGCAGTGTGACGGCGGGTGGGGGAAAGAGGGGAGGGGAAGGGAGGTTGGGGTTGAGAGTGATTGTCGAAGCTGGGCCGCGTCATCGCCATTTATCTCGCCTCCAAGGGCACCAGAGTGCTGGTGAGCTGGGTGGGACTGTGGAGTGCTGGTGAGCTGGGTGGAACCATGGGGTGGTGAGGGTTGGCATGGGACTCGCAGCAGCGTTCTGCTGAAAGGGGTTTGGCATGGCAATGCGAAGTGGGCCGTGGGCAAGTGGCTGACGGCATTCCTTTCCTCTGTCTTCCCCTCTCCCCCCACTTGCCCTTTCCCCCCACACCAGATGCTGACCACTTCCAAAGAGCGGTTCGAAGCCATCCGCTCAGAAGCCCCAGAAGAGAAGCAGCACCTGCTGGTGCAAGTGACGGACTGCAAGCACGCCGCCCACTGCCGGGAGTGGATCGTGGGCAAGTGGCTGACGGCCAAGCAGCAGAGCCACGCGCCCAAGGGCACCTACTTCCACCAGTTCGTGGTGCCGCCCCTGGACGAGGTCCGAGGCGACTGTGTGTACGGGAAGCTGGCAGCCATGCGGTTGCCCAAGGACATCGAGGGACTCAACACGTGTGAGGTGAGCAGGGCTCAGGGAGTGCACGTTGGCACGTAGGCAGGTAGGCACGCAAGCAGCAGAGCCACGCGCCCAAGGGCACCTACTTCCACCAGTTCACAGTGGCTCGCCTTGGGCGACTGCGTGTACGGGAAGCTGGCGGCCACGGAGCTACCAGAGGGCATGGAGGGGCTCAACACGTGCGAGGTGAGGCGGGCTGAGGGATGGCTTATGGGCACGCAACCGAGCAGAGCAGCGCAATGAATGCACTGCACGAGGGCGAATTGAGGTGGCAATGAAGCCATTTTGGAGCTTGCTACATGTAGAAAACTTGCCTGTGTCATTTACTTACCTACCTTCCTCCCTCCCCCTTCACACTCCCCTGTTGTCCCCTTCCTCCCCCTCCCCCTCTCTCTCCTCCCTCCCCCCACCCCCCTCCCCTCTCTCTCCCCCTCCCCCCACCCCCCCTCCCCCTCTCTCTCCTCCCTCCCCCCACCCCCCTCCCCCTTCCCCCTTGTGATTGGCCAGCTTCAAGTGGTGCATGCATGCCATGTGGGGGGGCTTGTGCACATGCTGGAGGGGTGGGAGCACCATGAGGTGGCAATGATGCCATTTAGGAGCTTGCTTCATGTGCAAAATCTGCCTCATCGTTTTCCTGCCTACCTTCCTTTCCCCCCCCTTCACACTACCCCTTTTGTCCCCCTTCCTTCCCCGCCCCGCCCCCCTCCCCCCCCACCCCCCTCCCTCCCCTCCCCCCTCCCCCCTCCCCCTCCCCTCCCCCTCCCCCTCTCCCTTCTTCCCTTGTGATTGGCCAGCTCCAACTGCAGCGGGGAGTGGTGCATGCATGTCATGCGGGGGGGCTTGTGCACATGCTGGAGGGGTGGGAGCACCATGAGGTGGGAGCCATAGATGTGGCCCGCATCGACATCACATGGCAAGCCGCCATGCGCCAAGGGTTCTCACGGGTATAGGCACGATCAGCGTAGCATTTGATGATACGAGCCTTTATGGGTACTTCTGCTTGTCCTTGGATTTTGAGTTGCTGTGTCACAAGCACATGGACGGGACATGGAGTTGGTTAGGACATTAATATACTTTCCTAATTGTTTGTGGAACAATTGACGGTACACAATCAAACTTCATACAAGAAGCTGATACCATAACATTCAGTGATGAGGCCTTATCAAAAGCATTCGCTTAATACAGTTCAGTGAGGTGCTGTGCCTTTTCTACTGTTTTAGATGTAGAAATGTTGGGTTGGGTAGGGTAGGGTTGCTAACAAAAATGAATGCTCATGACACGCCCTTGGCACACGCAGCCTAAATTGTTCATATGCGGTGTGTATGAAAAAAGGGCGTTGGGTTATACGAAACACATGGAGAAATGTTAAATTATATATTTTGTTATATGATGTTAGCTAGAATGAATGATTAGAAACAAGGGGGAACAAGAGAGCTATAGTGTTGGAGTTGTACCCTCTAACAACATACATCTATCTAGCCGAGGGAGGCAAGGACCCGAGGAACAAGAGGACGAGCAGCAGGAAGGTAGTTGGACAGAGGGGGAGGCGCGACTGTGAGCGACGACGGAGGAGGCGAAGGCAAACGGGGAGGAGAGACGCGTGGGAACGAAGCAACATAGGGTGAGAACGCTGAATAGGAGAGACAGGACGAGCACGAGAGGGACGGCGAGACCAGATGTGAGACGGAGGCGTCGGGTCAGGAGACAGAGGAGGAGTAACAGGAAGGGAACGAGAGGGGAAACGAGCCGGGGACGAGTCCGGTGGAGGAAACGCAGGACCGTGAACAGGAAGAGGGGGAGACGGGGAGGGAAGGCCGAGCAGGCGAAGGGCGGACACCGGCGGCGACTGCTGCTGCTGCTGCTCAACGCCGACACCTGGACCACCAGCTGCACCACTGCTACCTTCGGTACACTCCACGCCAGCACCCCTAGAACCAGAAACGTCTCCAGCGCCGGTGCCACCCCCGAGCCCGCCGGGACAAGCCACGACAGGAGCCCCAGGACTAGCACCCTCTCCAACTCCAGCACCCCCAGAGTCCACGAATGGCTGCGGCTGCGACGACGGCTGCAGCTACGGCGGCGGTGACGGCGGCGGCTGCGGCTGCGTCGGCGACTGCGACGAGGGAGGAGGAGACACTGGGGGAGGGACAGGCGGTGCAGACTGTGCCACGAGGCCACCGAAGTCAGCCGACTCCTCGATCAAGACAACCGACGGGAGGGGAGTGACGTGAGACACACCCGACGGAGCAGGACGGGGAGGGAGGGGAGCAGGGGCGACCGGGGGAGTGGGAACCAGAAACAGGGGGGGGGGAAACCGAGAGACCTCGGTTTGGAAAGCGGTGGAAAAATGAGACAGACTCGTCGAAAGTGATGTCACGGGAGTGGAGGAAGCGGTGAGACGGCGGGTGGTAGAAGTGCCAGTCAGATAAGTCAAGGGGGAAACCGAGGAAGACACAGGGGACGGTGCGAGCAGTGAGCTTGTCCGCGCTGGAGGCACGAACGTGAGCAAGGCAGCCCCAGACGTGGAACGCAGACGCGTCACCAGGGAACCCGGTCCAAAGGAGGGTCGGCGAAACCTGTGGCTGCTGAGAGCGAGGCCAGAGGTTAAGCTGGTGAGCGGCGTAGCGAACGGCGAATGGCCACATAAAATGGGGTGCACCGGCATGGATCATGGAGGTACGAGCCACCTCCATGACCAAACCGATGCGTCGCTCAGCGACCCCATTCTGGTGCGGGGAGTTCGGTAGGGTGTACGTCTGGGTAATACCCTCCGCACGACAGAACTGACCCAGCCGACCAGAGGCGAACTCGCCGCCACAGTCAGAGTGGAGACACAGTACAAGGAGACCGCGGTGGAGGCGCGCAGCGACGAGCCACGGGATAAGAACGTCAAACCTGTCGCCTTCCGCTCCAGGGGAAACACCGTGTTGTAGCGCGTGAATTCGTCAACGAGAACAAGAAAGTAGCGCTCGCGATGCGGCCCAGGGACAGGGGCTGGGCCCCAGACGTCCAAGTGCAGGGTCTGAAGGGGCGCAGTGGTAGGGCGAAGTGAGGAGGAGTGAGGAGCACGGCGCAGCCGGCCCTCGACGTAGGGCGAGCACGGTGGTGCAGGCGAGGGAGGGAGAGTAGGGAACAGCGGCTCGGCCGCACGGCGGCTCTGCAACTCGGCGGCTCAGAGGTTCGGCGGCACGGTGGCTCAGGGTCACGGTGGCGCAGCGGCTTGGCTGCACAGTGGGACTACGACTCGGCGGCTCAGCAGCTCGGCGGAAGGCGCGAGGGGCCAGTGGGGGCGCAAGGGGTCGGCTCGGGCGCACGTGGCCGACAAGGACGTGAGGGGCTCGCTAAGGCGCGAGGGGTCGGCTGGGGCGCGAGAGGCCAGTAGGGGCGCAAGGGGCCGGCAATGGCGCGAGGGGCCCACTAGGGCGCGAGGGGGCCGGCTAGGGCGCAAGGGGCCGGCAGGGGCGCAAGTGGCCAGTAGGGGCGTGAGGGGCCGATAGGGGCGCGAGGGGCCGGGAGGGGCGCGAGGGGCCGACGACAGCTCGAGGGGCCCGCTAGGGCGCGAGGGCCCCCCTGGGGCGTGAGGGGCTCTCTGGGGCACGAGGGGCTCTCTGGGGGGGGTGGGGGGCTAGCGAGGGGCGGTACGCTAGGGCACGGGGCGGAAGCGGGTGGGTGGATCTACCTACTCATGATACCATGTTAGCTAGAATGAATGATAAGAAACAAGGGGGAACAAGAGAGTTATAGTGTTGGAGTTGTACCCTCTAATAACATACATCTATTTAGCCTATAACTTCTACATATGAACATATTTATAAGTTGACATATAATTGGTAGGCTTGGTAGGTGTTACTGCAATCAACTGTAGAGGGTACAATCCCCCTCCTTGTATGCCTCTCTCTTCTATTCTCCTACTCTTTTCTGTCGTAACTTTCACCTAGCTAAACCCTCACGCCATTTTCATGGCTTCCTACCGTTCCTAGCTACCTAGCTCTCGTGACATGGTATCAGAGAAGGTTGCCCTTCCCGAGCCTGCTCCCTACACTTCCGCCGCGCACTCCTTCTCTCCCTCTCGTGCTGCCATGGCAGCCGCGTCGTGCTGCTGTGGCGGCGTCGTCGTGCCGCGGCCGTCTCGACGCGCTGCCATGGCGGCTGCATCGTGCTGCTGTGGCGACGTCGTCGTGCCGCGGCTGTCTCGACGCGCTGCTGTGGTATCGCGCCGTCGCGGCGTCGACGTCCAGCCGTGGAGGCGACATCGACGTCCAGCAGTGGCGGCGTGACGGCGCCGTCGTGCCACTAGCCGCGTCGTGCCGCGGCCGTCTCGACGCGCTGCCGTGGCGTCGCACCGTAGTGGCATCGACGCCGCTCTGTGATGGAGTTGTCGGGCTGCAGCCGGCCGCGCAACGCCTGCGGCGCCGTTAGACCTGCTGCCCACTCGCCAGCCATGGGCGTGATTCTGGACCACGCCCCGCCCCCCCCCCCCCCCCCCCCCCCTCCCCTCCCTCCTTACCCTGCACCCCCTCTTCCTTCCCACAGCCGTCGACTGCCTCGTGAGGGCCTTCTCCACTGCCGATGGCCATGCCGCCAAGAGGGCGGGGGCCGCTGCACTCGCCTCTGACGTTGAAGTCGCCGCCGCCGCCGCTGTTGCCGCTGGCCTGTTGCCGCTGGCCTGCTGCCGCTGGCCTGTTGCCGCTGGCCTGCTGCCGCCGCACGCCGCCGCCACCGTCGCTCTCGTCACTGCCGCGAATGCCGCCATTGCCATCTCCCGAGCCGTGGGTGTTGACCGATTCCGGAGTCATCGCGGCTGCTTCTGGGAATGGGCGGGCTAGGTTAGGGGGTGTGGGTGTGTGTGGGCTTGTTACTACCAAGCCTAAGGGGTGTATTAAAATATATATTATGCTATAACAGAAGCTTTTGCTGAAGTGCCTGACGCAGATAGAGCTCTCTAGCTCTGTGGTTCTCTAACGAGAGAGTTGCCTTCAGAATTGTGTGCTTCACTGAGTAGCTTGAGAAAGATTGGGCACACCAATTCACTTGAATCAAGATTACACAGTATGGTACACAAGGCAAACACTAGTACTAGCTCATTGAACCTCATTGAACACGGAGAGAATGTTCGCACGAGAACGTTTACATAACTACTCTAAGCTGCGCTTAGCCAAGTCAGCAATGGCAGGTGAAAATTATAGCACATGCTTAGTTGGTAATATTTACCCACTCAGAAGTAGTTGTTTTAACAGTTTCATATATGAAACTGTTAGATGCTATGCACATTTCCGCAGTTACAAAATGTGCGTCACGTGTTCAATTTCTCAATGTCGCAGGTAGATTTCGCCGTTTTCGGTCGAGATTTGTTCTGTGGTTAACTTACGAAATTGCAAATTTCTCGCGATTTCGGAACGTTACCTTCCGCAGAAAAACAAAGTCCCCGATTTTCTGTCGAAGGGGTCGCTCGCAGAAGCGAAGTCCGAGATGACTCTCTACCGCGCTTATGCCGAATTTCGTCTCTGCCGAGGGGGTCGACAACAGAAGAGATAGCCGAATTGCCTTTCTGCCGAACTTTGGCAGAACGCAATTCTTTGCGAGCAGGTCCTTACGCCACTCTGCCCGAGTTCCTGTTGGAACGCATTTCCGAGAGTCGATTCTGCCGGAAGGATCGCCTGCAGAAATGTCTTTTGCGCGATACTTTGGCAGAGGGTCTTGTACACTCTCGATTCTGCCGAGACCGCTTCTACAAAAGCATATGTCAATGCAGAAGCCATATGTAGAAAAAGCACTCCTGTTCTGCCATTCCAACAGAACCGCTTTTCTTCCACCAACGAAAACTGCTCCCCTGCCACTTCCCGCAGAGCCTCGCCTTGTCGACAAATTTGTTCTTCGCCGATGGGACTTTCTGCAGGGCTCGTGTCCGCAGACTTCGTTGATATGTCGCTTCAGCAGACTTCTGCAACCTTCGCAAGTTCAGGGCCATTCTCAACACTCCCCTGCCCTGGTCATGCGAAATTACCAACCAGCAGAGAACCGATCTAGAGGAAATCCTAACGAAGGAAAACACACAAAATGAACACACAAGAAATTTTGAGAATCTGCACTTCTTCGCACGCTGGAATCACCTCACCAGCCATAAAAGAG